GTGTAAAGGAATGCGATTGTCTTTTGCACATTTATTTTATATCCTGAGACTTTGCCAAAGGCCTTTATCAGTGTAAGGAGGTTTTTGATAGATCCTCTTGGGTTTTCCATGTACACAATCATGTCATCTGCAAAGAGAGACAACTTGACTTCCTCTTTTCCTATTGGAATACCCCTGATTGCCTTCTCTTCTCTGATTGCTCTAGCCAGGACTTCCAATACTATATTGAACAGGAGGGGTGAGAGTGAGCATCCTTGTCTTGTTCCCGTTTTCAGGGGAAATGGTTCCAGGTTTTGTCCGATTAGGAGTATGCTGGCTATGGGTTTCTCGTAGATGGCTTTTACTATTTTGAGGTATGTTCCCCGCATACCTAGCTGTTCGAGGGTTTTTATCAAGAAGGTGTGCTGGATTTTATCCAAAGCTTTTTCTGTGTCTAATGATGTAATCATGTGGTTTTTGTTTTGACATCTGTTGATGTATTTAATTACATTTATGGTTTTACGAATGTTGAACCAGACTTGCATCCCAGGGATGAAGCCTACTTGGTCATGATGGATGATTTTTGAGATGTGTTGTTGAATCCGGTTCGCTGGGATCTTGTTGAGAATTTTCGCATCTATGTTCATCAAAGATATTGGCCTGTAATTCTCTTTCTTTGTTGGGTCTTTACCTGGCTTGGGTATCAATGTGATGTTAGCTTCGTAAAATGATTTGGGGAGAGTTCCGTCTTTCTCAATCACCTGGAATACCTTCAGTAGGATTGGAATCAGCTCTTCCTTAAATGTCTTGTAGAATTCTGCTGGAAAGCCATCTGGTCCAGGGCTTTTTTTTTGTAGGTAGTTTTCTTATTATGTAGTCAATTTCCTCATTTGTTATTGGTCTATTTAGGGTCTCAGTTTCTTCTTGTTTTAACCTAGGCAGGTTGTGTGATGACAGAAAGTCCTCCATATCCGAAAGGTTTTCAAGTTTGTTTCCATACAAGTATTTCTTGTTGATGGATTGAACCTTTTATGATTATGTAGTGGCTTTCTGTATCTTTTTAAATTTTTGATAGCTTAAAGGGTATTTTGTCTGAGATTAAGATCGCGACTCCTCCTTTCTTTTGTGTTCCATTCGCCTGAAAATTTGTTTCCCATCCTCTTACTTTGAGTCTGTGAGTGTCCGTTCTAGTGAGGTGAGTCTCTTGAAGGCACTAGATTGTTGCCTGGTGACATTTTATCCATTTTGCCATTCTGTGTCTTTTCAGTGGTGCATTTAGTCCATTCACATTCAAACTAATTATTGAGATGTGAGAGTTGATCCCTATCATAATGTTCTTACAGAGTTGTTGTTCTTCCTGTTTGTGTGTTGTCTTTCTTTTGGTTTTAGAGTTGGATCATGTGTGTTTTAATCTTTTGCCTGTACTCTTGTGAAGAACGTTGTTGTTCTTTGTTCCTTTTCTTCTGTGTTCAATACTTTCTGAAGTGTTTCTTGTAGAGGTGGTCTGGTGGCAGCGTAGATTCATAGGGATTGGATATCTGGCAAAGATTTCAATTCTCCCTCACTGATGAAGCTTAGCTTGGCTGGGTAGGTTATTCTCGGTTGAAATTGTATATCTTTTAGAACTTTGAAGATAGGGCTCCAAGCTCTCCTAGCCTGGAGGGTTTCTGTAGATAAATCTGCTGCTATTCTAATTGGTCTTCCCTGGCATGTAGTCTGACCTTTTTGTCTTGCAGCCTTTAGGATTTTTTCTTTTATACCTACTTTGTTTAGGCGAATTATTATATGTTTGGGAGTTGGTCTTCTCATTTGTTGTCTTACAGGGTTTCTCTGAATCTCTTGTGTTTGAAATTTTTCATCCTTGATGAGATGAGGGAAGTTTTCTTGAATGATTTCATGAAATGTTTGTTCCAGTGTGACCTCTGTTTCTCTCTCTGCCTCATGAAGGCCAGTTACTCTTAGGTTTGGTCTCTTGAAGTGATCATTCATCTCTTGAACTTTTTGTTCTGTCTTTTTGAGCTTCTTTTCTATGCTTTTGACAGTGTGGGTTAGTTCTGTGTTTTGGTCTTCGAGCTCTGAGATTCTTTCTTCTCCTTGACTATTCTGCTTTCCATGCTTATTAGTTTGTTATTTACTTCCATCACAGTATTCTTTACTGCTGTTATTTCTGACATCAGCTCCTTCCTATTTTCCTCTTGTCTTTCCTCAACTTTTTAAAATTCTCTCTATTAATGTCTTGATGTCTGGGTTTGTTGCCTGACCAGTCATTCTGGGGGCTCTTCATTGTTTGTGTTCCGTAATCTGTTTTTTCACTGTCTGATCTCCCAGGGGTGTGTGTGAGACCTATATTCTTCTTTTGGTTTTTCTTCATTTGTCCAGTTTTTCCCCCTCCGTACTTTTTCCTTCCCTCCACGTCACCATCTTCTTTAATTCTTTTATTCAGGGGTAGAGGAATTGGTTTTACTTCTGTTTGTTCAATCTCCTATTCTTTATGTATGTCCTCTTACTTTGTTCAATTATGGAGTTGCACTGTAGCTTGGGGGTGGTCCTTTTTGCTGTTTTGAGATTTACTTAACGGGGAAGCTGTGATTCAAACTCTATCTGCAGGTCCTGGTATTCGTTGAGAGTGTATGGATAATCTGAAACCCACTTGCCACTGCCTTGGAATCTGTCCGTGCAGTGGGGCTGTAGGTTTACTCCCTGAAATAAAATGTGGTTAGCAGAGGGAAGAGAATCGAGCAGACAGTGGGGGAAGAGGGGGGTGGACAGAGAGAGGACTAAGGGTGGAAACAAACAAGTGTATCAACAAATGGAGAGAGAGACCTAAACTGAAACAGATAAAAACAATAGACCATGGCTACAGACTAACCAGCTCCCATACAAATTTAAATAAAGCATACAATGATGCTAACATACAAGCTAACCAACCACCTTATTGGTGTGCTATTCCCCTATACAAAGATATGGTTTACAGAGAGGAAAAAAGAGAAGAAAAGGAAGAGAAAAACAGGAACAAAACAATAGGTATAGAATCAAGTCATTAAACTAAGAGAACCAATCGAGCACACTCTGAAAACTTTTCGTTTAAGTTCAGTGTCCGTTCTTTCAGCTCTGATTTCTAGCTTTCTTTTCAAGCTGGTAAATTAGTTTGAAATTAGGGTCAGTTGCCCCTGGCCTGCTGTGAAGGACAGTTCAGATCACCATCCGTTCACCACTCAAACCTGGCCTGTGTCTCTTTTTCAACCTTGTTTCTCCCGTTTTGGTGTTGATACCTTGAATCGCCAGCAGGTGGTGCTATCTCAGCTGCTCGCCCCAGAGGGGTGTGGCCGGACAGGAGCTGGGCCTATGGAAGTCTGCCTTGGGGCACACGGGAGGAGACCCACGACTGGCAGGAAGTCAAGGTGGCAGCGATCCCAGCAGATCTTGCCTGCAGGGGCTTCAAGGGCTGAAGTCCTGGATCACCTCAGGCACAGGTGGTGCCATGCGCTATGGCCACCACAGAGGCTGGGGTGTCTCCGGCCGCTGCTGATTCTGCGGTTGCAGTGTCTGTCCAGACTATTGTGATGCCCCAGGGGTGGCGACTGCCGAGCTCTCTGTGAAGAACAGGCTGCTGATGTTGGGGTCCGCAGCCCCAGGGGAGAGAGCCAGAGACCCTCTGTGTTCTCCTTTGCAGAGGGTTTCATAGACCAGGTTGCCCCATCGCCATCTTGCCGGAAGTCCCCTAGACCTATATTTTAAAGGATGTTAGCAGAAGTCACTTTTTAAAGTAGTTAGTGTAAGGTAAACGAAACCAGACCAGGCAAAAAGGAGCAAAGAAAAATTTATCAGCGCAATCCTGGGTGAGGTTCACTGGTCCATGTAACTGTGGGCCGGAGAAGTCGCGCCCAGCAAGATGGGCGACAGGTTTATAAAGGGCACACTGAGAAAGCTGTGAGGGGGTCGGGGAGAGCAATCACTGGTTGGGACAGGTGTCACGTCTGCTGGCGATTGGCTGGACGGGGTTGCTGGAGTCACTGTAACAGGTACTGGCTGGCTTTGTGGCTGGAGTCTTAGTTCTGATTACTCATTTTTGCTGGCTGACTTCTGCCCATTGTTCTCCTGGTCTGGGTTGGAGCCATCTTGTTGAAGCCCGCCCCGCCCTTCAGTACCTCTGGCCTTACGGTTAGTTTTGTTATCGGTAGTACTTTATGTAAGTTCTAAATATTTTTGGCAGTATCTGCTTATTTTAGTTAAAGTCTGAATAGTACCTTATATTCAGCTCTCTTTTAACTTTTACTATGGTAGAGTTTCATCATGATGAATGAGTATAGTAACAGCAACAACAATATTCAAAATTTTGGATTGCGGAAAATTGTGCCACTACCTGGTGACCTTGGGTAAATTCCTTTCCTTTTCCTAAGTTTCTTTACCTATAACAAGAGTGTGGTAATGTTGACCATACAGAGTTATAAAGATTGAAGCAGACAATACATATGAAAGACTTAACTTAGTATCTAGCACGTAAGAACAGAGTAAATGTTGTTCTTAAATGTACATATTTACTTCTGATATATATATCAGAAGTAAGATATATATATCAGAGGAAAGGAAGAAGTTCCAAAGAAACTACCTTTTCATTAATAAACAAATCATGGATATCCAATAATCATGGATGCACTCACCTTTGAACTCCAGATTCCTGGTGATATATTTTTAAAACATTTATTTTTGCTCAATGTGTAGCTTAATCACAGTTTTATAATGAGGGTTTTGGAAATGTTTAAGGGGATAGAATAACACTTTAAGGAAATTTAAAAATATAGTAACTACTTACTGGACAAAAGATCTGGGAAGAGCCTAACTGTTCTTTCCCTCTCCCTTACCTACTAAAATACTTGACAGAAATTCAAAGTCTTTCTTATCTCTCAGATCCTACTTTTCCTGCTGAAAGTCCTCCTTAAAAAATTCTCTAGCTTTACTTTCTTCGGGTTCTCTGACTTTATTGATCCACTTCCTTGTGGAGTTCTTCTCCTTCTTAAATGTGGATGTTCTCCTTGTGTTCTGTGCTTGACTCCTCTTCTCTTCTCTTTGTCTACTTCCAGACTTACTTCATTTGCTAGGTCAGCTCCATAATTTAGTAGCACTGTTCTTTTCTACAGGTTGGGCCTTGAGCACCAATTCTTCACTGGAGCTCCAGAACTGTGTTCAGTAGTCTTTTAGACATCATCGTTTATATGTTCCATAGGAACCACAAATTCAATCTAAAACCAAATTTGTTATTTTATTTGAACCATCACATGCTGCTATAGTTAATTGCTTATTATTAGCAAGCATGCCTCCCTTTAAAAAAATTTTTTTTAAGGTTAATTTATTTTTTTATTTTAAAGATATGGATTAGGTATACAAATGGTCATTGTACAGGTAAAGTTTGGGCTTCCCTTTGTTCCCCACTTTGCCTGGTTTTAATTTCTTCTTTTTTTAATTTTAAAGATGTAGGGTACAATTCAGGGTTAGGTACTTAAGTAGTCATCGTACAGGTGAAGTTTGGACCTCCCTTCCCCTGATTTAGCATCAGGTACCCTTGTGCCTCCCTTTTTAAAATTTAAATATTAAATATTCTCAAGATGTATCTTTATCTACCCAGTGCTTGACTTACAGCCTCTTGTCTGCATGAAACTCCTAGTGCCAGATATAGTTGAGAATTTGATTTTTTTTTAAAGAAGATATTATGGCATGTGTACTACATATTTCATAAATTCCTGTTGGGATCTAGACAGTATTCCACTTTGAAATATTTAAATATTTCTGCAAAACATTAATGAGAACTCAGTGTGAGATAAATGCCCTCTAATCAGTTCAGACCAGAATTTCATCTCACCTTAAAAAAAAAAAAAAAGATTTCAGAACTGTGGATTTTGGAGGTGCGGGTAAGAGACTGTGGACTGATGTTTAGTGATTGCTGATTTTAAAATTACTAGATTTCAGCCAGGTGTGGTGGTTCCTGCTTATAATCTCAGCACTTTGGGATGCTGAGGTGGGAGAATTGCGTGAGTCCAGGAGTTTGAGACCAACTTGGGCAACAAAATGAGACCTTCATCTCTATAACAAAAAATTAAAAAACTAGCCAGCGGTGGTGGTGTATGTCTGTAGCCCCAGCTACTTTACGGTCTGAAGTGGAAGGATTCACTGGCCCACGAGATTGAGGTTGCAGTGAACTGAGTGTACCACTGGACTCCAACCTGGGTGTCAGAATGAGACCACATTAAAAAAAAAATTACTAGACTCTCTAGTTTATACCAGTTTTTTCTTATCTTAACCAGTAATACATAAAAGTTAATTAGAAATCTGTACGTAGGTATAAATGGCATCTTTGTCTTTATACTCTACTTCTAAATTATAAGTCGTTAGTTTTACTATAAGTCTGCAGTGTATGCGTAAAATTTCTAAATATATGACTTAGCATTTTTACTTAGTGTATTGATTGATAGTGTTTTGGCATCTAATATTATTTTTATTATTTATCAGGAAACAAGGCAGTGTGGTGTTGTGGCACATGTTTTAGAACTTGATTTATAATTAAAAAAATATGCTGCTTACCTTTCTGCATACTGAAGGGTGGTGACTGTACGTTTCAAAAAATAGTATTCCTATTTCTCAGCACAGATTCAGATTACAATCATATAACTAATAATTTTTTTATTATATAGTGCTATTTATTTGAGCATGTCCTATTAGTGGTATTTTTTAATAGCACTTTATTTGGCACTTTGGAAAGCAGATTGCTGTAGGAAGCAGAATACCTTAATTCTGTCACCCATCCTCCAACATGATAGTTACATGAGCTCTGGCAAGACACAGACCTCTTTTTCTCGCTTCTTCATCTGAAAAAAAAATAACATGCAACATCCCTAACCAAAGGTGATTGAATGAAGTGATCAGTTGAAGCCCTTTAGTTCTAAGATCTTTGATTTATGGTTTCTAGTGTAGTATTTTTTTAAAAAACATTTTTTTCTTGTTTTTTATTTTTTTATTATATATATTTTTTATTTTAAAATTGTGAGTACAATTAAAGGTTAGGTATACAAATATTCATTGTTCAGGTACCTTGTATTTTTTCTTTTTTCAGTCTGTGCTCCTTGGAGCTTTCATGGATCCATAGATATTTCTCACAATCAGGAGACGTTTGGGCTGAGCAAAGTTCATATTGCCTGTTTTATGTAAGGGAGTTATCTGTGGAACTTGATTTGATGGAAAGGTTTTGTGCTTACAGTATTAATAAACCTCTGTGTTAGTGGTTTTAAGGGGCTGTGTGTTAATTTTTTGGCATTTTATCTTATATAGGATGAAGGAGTTGAATCTGATGATTTGAAAAAAGATCTACCTCTAATGCCTCCACCTCCAGACTCATGTAGCATGAAGCTGACCATTAAAGAAATTTGGTTTAGTTTTGCAGCTCCCACCAATGTGAGATCTCACACACATGCATTTTCTAGGTAAAAAGTTTTTTAAATGTAGTATTATCTCTTAATGTTTTTTCTTTATTTCAAAAGTATGCAATTCTGTTTCATATGTTTTTTGAATTATTTTTCTGGTTTATCTGGTATTAAGATAGCTACTTTTAGGCCAGGCACAGTGGCTCTCATCTGTAATCCCAGCACTTGTGGAGACTGAGGCAGGAAGACTGCTTGAGCTCCAGGAGTTTGAGACCAGCTTGGGCAACATAGTGAGACCATGTCCCTACAGAAAATATTTTTTAAAATATCAGTCAAATGTGGCACACATCTACAGTCCCAGCTACAAGGAAGGCTGAAGCTGGAGGATCTCTTGAGCCTGGAAGGTCTAGGCTGCAGTGAATTGTGATCATGCCACTGTACTTCAACCTGGATGTTAGAGTGAGATCCCAACTCAAAAAAAAAAAAAGGAGATTGCTACTTTTCCCATCATTCTTACTTTATACTTTCTATAGACATTATTCTCACCATGCTTACTCAATTTCTTTCCTAGTATTTTAGTTTTATTTTTACATGTCCCTCTGCCTTAGACTTTCCTTTATTGTTTTTACTTCTGATAGGTTCTTGTTTTCTTTTCCGTTGTCCTTTTTTTAATATTTCTTAGTTATGTTTTTATAATTTATCAGTGATCAAAAGCAAAAGGAAGTAATTTTGCTTGAGTAAAATAGCTGCTAAGTCCAGTAGGTATGGAGATTATTTGAAATACAAATTTTCACACTTATTTTTATAATTTTTATTTTTTTAAAGGCAGCTGAACCTTTTAAGCACTGCAACTCCAGCTGTTGGTGCATGGCTTGTTCCCATTGATCAACTCAAGTCATCTTTAAACAAGTTGGAAACTGAAGGAACCTTGAGAATTTGTGCTGTTATGGGATGCATAATGACAGAAGCACTAGAGGTATGTCCTTAAACAATAAAAGGCATCATAGAAACTTTAGTATTCAAGTGTCCCCTTATTATTAGTCACTGTTGGAAAATAACAGGCCTGCAAGTTCTTTATTACTGGATATCTTTTATTTGTAGGATCTTTCATATATATCATTCTAAATTTGTTGTTGCTTGATTTCAGAATAAAAGTGTACATTTTCCCCTAAGAAGTAAGTACAACAGACTTACAAAAGTTGCTCGCTTTCTCCAAGAAAATCCTTCGTGTTTACTATGTAATATACTACACCACTACCTGCACCAGGCAAATTACTCCGTCATTGATGATGCTACAATGGTGAGTAACTGAAACCATGTTAGCTTTAAAGAAGCTTCTATTCTGTTGTGGAACCACTGATACACAGGGTTTGAGATACATGTGGGAAGTTCAAAGGATAAATGTGACTAGAGATACAGGTTAGTAGACAAGAATATACTCAGATTAATGATTTGGGAATTGTTAGTATAAAGGTGTTAATAGATGAGATTTCTAGGGATGATATGTTGAGTGAGAAACTGGTCAAAGATGGAATCCTGAAATAAAAATGCCAAAATTAAAGGGTGGTAGGGAGGTTCAACAGAGGTACGCAGAGTGATAAGAAGGAAAAGGAAGAAGCCGGAGAACCAAAAAAGAGTGATGTTTTGGGAACTAAAGATATAAAGAGTTTTTAAGCAAGAGAGTAAGCACTGAAGTCAAATTTCATATATAGTTTAATAAAATAAGGACTAATTAATGATTGAGGGGTAAATATATAATTGCACAAAATAAATACAACTCATGTCTGCCCCTAGAGAAATAGATAACCCATCATATTAGGGTTTTAGAGCTTTAAGCTTCTCCCTTCTTTTCTCCAAGCTTCTGGCCAATAGTGCATACACAAAATTATTTATTCAAATTAGTGACCCATGTATCAGCATTATTAATGGCCAGTCAAACTATTGGCCAGGCCAGTTAAAAATCTCTAGTAAGTGATGGATTTGAATAAGACACTTAGACCTAAGGCTAGTGTAGTGTTTTCTACTCCCTTCCTATAAATTGAAGACTGGAAGGTCCATACTGCAAGCCTAACTTGTCCATCTAGATATATAGGCTGAGAAGCTAGGACAGAGAGAATGGCACACATTTCCCATGGATGGGTCTGCTTTCCACGTAAGAGAACACAGCACAAGATGGCCCTCCTCACTTGAGTCTCGGAATGGAAGGGCAGGCTAGTGGATTGGATTTTCCTCAGAAAGTAAATGGGAATTCCTGTTCTCTAGTAAACAGCACTCTTCAGTCAAATCAGCCATTTCTCCTAACATGAGTAATTGTAGGAAGGAGAATGGAGAGAAGCTAGATAGTTTTTCTTAGGTTAAGGCTGTAACTTTTGGAAGAGAGCCAAAAATTTCTTTCTTATAATCATCACAATGTGGAATAAAATACATTTTAAACTGTATAGTTACTATTGATAATACATTTAACTTGCAAGGCAGTTACACAGCCGTGTCCAGCGTTTAACTTGTTACTTATTTTTTTAATGTTAAAATGGAGGTAATTACCTAATGTTTGAGGGGAATAATTTTATTTCCTCTTTTCTTATCAAATGTTCCAAGTAGCTCACATTTTGATTCTTCATTTGGGCAAAAAAAGTAAAGTGGGTGGAATGTTTATTAAGGAGAATCCCAATTTTGCACCTCATATCAAATGTCGTAATGACCTGGTGCTGCTGTGTTGTTGTATGACAGCCAGATGAAATGTGTTTGGGGGTTGGGTTCTATAGCCTGCTTATAAATGAAATCCTAACTCTCTTGGGTAACTTTGGACAAATTATTTAATGTCTAAATTTCAGTTTTTTCTTCTCTTAATGGGGATTATGAGATTTAAATAAAGAAATATATACAAAACACTTAAATGGGCACTGTCATTCTTATTCCATCGGGTTATTTCTAACTGCATCATTGTTGTCACAGAGTGATGGACTTCCTGCTTTGGTGACCTTAAAAAAAGGGTTAGTTGCATTGGCGAGACAGTGGATGAAGTTTATTGTGGTGACACCAGCCTTTAAAGGAGTTAGCTTACATAGACCAACTCAGCCTCTGAAACCTCAAATAGCTATGGAGCATGAGCATGAAGATGGACTTGGGCTGGACAATGGAGGTGGTCTTCAAAGTGATACTAGTGCTGATGGAGCAGAATTTGAGTTTGATGCAGGTAATTTTGTAAGCTTTTGTTGAGTGTGTGTGTGTGTGTGAGTTTTTTTTTTTAGCCCTCACAAGTAAGGTGTTTCTTATCCACACAAGTGCTGTATGTTTTTTGGTGTAGATGTATATATCTTCTATTAATAATGTTAATATACCTCTTTTAAAAAATCAACACCTTTTGATTTTCCCTACAGTTCTTAGTAAATTACTAATATAAGCTAAATTTTCAGCTAGATATTGCATACTTGTTGACATGGTACTTGTGATAATTTTAATAATTTGTGTCCAAATTTGAGAATGTCATGGCTTAACTAATACATGTATGATTTTTTTTATTAGTCCAAATAAGTGGTAATAATGTTGAAATTCTTACAATGATATGGTTTTATAAGTTTAATATTGTGAAATACAATAGATTTCTGATCTGTACAGTAGAGACATCTTTATATAAGTAGAATGTTTTGAATGAAACACATAAGCCTCATTTTTAAATTTGCATGACTGTTTATCATTTTCCCTATGCCACATTCTTTTAAAGGGACCTTTGTCTTTCTACCTGGAGCTTGTTTGATCCTAAATTTATGTAAATTTTGGGGGCGTGCACTAGGCCTACAATTCTGTCAACACGATGACTGTGTCAGAACCAAGACAGTGTATATGCTTTTTGAAGTGTGTGCATACTTTAATGCTTGGCTAAAGGTGAATTTTTATTATGGTGAAGACATGTAATATTCAGTGACAATATTTCTTACTTACAGTATTTAAAAAATAATATTAAAAGTGCCATAGGAAAGAAGAGTAGTCTTAAAGTTAGATATTTTAAAACAGTAAAATATAGTACTTTACCCAGTTTAGATTTTTAAAATAAAATAACTTTATATTTAACAAATAAATGTGTTACAAATAATAGACTGGATTTGATTTGTTATTTATTTTGCAAAACTTCAAATCTGCACAGAAACTGAAAAAAGTACAGCGAATATCCCTTCCAATTATATGCCAATGCCTATGTTAATCTATGAACAGTCTGCACTTTTTTTTGGCATTTGGTCTGTATATCATTTGTGTGGCATATGTGAAAGATTGAATAGAAGCTATTTATTCTATTTTTTGAGACTGAGTAAGAGGATTACGGTTGGGAAGTAAAAGAGAAAAGAGTAAACATCAAATTCCACAACTTAATTTGTCAAGGAATATGAAAGTTGAGAGTAATTATACAACCAGGAATAGGTTGATATTTCAAGAAAATACGTGATAATATATTGCTTACTTATTCTTTTATACTGTTTCAGCCACTGTCAGTGAACACACAATGCTTCTAGAAGGAACAGCTAACCGGCCACCTCCTGGTAGCTCCGGACCTGTAACTGGAGCTGAGATAATGAGGAAACTCTCTAAAACTCATACCCATAGTGATTCTGCATTAAAAATAAAGGTATAGTATTGCTATTTTTGGTTAGAGTTATTCAGACTTACAGTGAAGACCTATACTTTTACCCCAAATTTAAATATTAGTTATCTGCCCTAAATTTTCAAGTAGTGTTTGTATATTGAAATTAACATGATTTGTAAATTTAATATACATATTTCTTGAAAAATTGTGTCATCAGAAACTAGTATTGATTAAGTATTATTATACCTTAGGGCTCTCACCAATTTACTGAATATTGTATTCAATAAAATCCCATATTGAAAATGTTGATAATCTTATAATTATCATTCTTAATGAGAAGCATTTTAGGTAGCACCTGATCAATGTTTGGTTTGGGTTAGATTATTTTAATCATCTTAATTACATTTTGTTTTAAGATACTTAATGAATGCTTGATAAAAGACTTATATAGCAAAATGGTTGGATTATCATCTTGGAAGTCAAACTGCCTTGGTTTGAAATCTGCCCCTGCAGATTTAGCTGCTCTGTGACTGAACAGGTTTTTAACTGCATTGTGTGTCCCTTTCCTCATTGTACCTCATTGTAAGATGGAGATTATAATAATAACCACCTGCAAAGGGTTGTTGTGAGAAATAATTGAGTTAATTAATGAAAAATGCTTAGAACATCTGACATTATTTGTGGGTTTTTTTTGTTTGTTTTTTTGCTAGTCTGGTTTCTGAGCACTGAAAAATAATGGTAATATTTTAACTTTCTTTGAAAGTCAGTGCATATGGTCACATGAGCACAAGATGGAATTGGCAGATGCTGGACACAGCTAGGGGAAGAAGAGGAGGGATGAGGGGATCACCTGGCAACACATTGGGTACCTGGTCCACTATCGGGGGAGAGTGGGCCAGCTAGAAGCCTGCAAGCAACTTACTTATGTAGTAAATCTTCACTTATACCCCACAACTCTAAAATAAAATTTAAAAAAAGTCAGTGTACAGATTTACAGTGATACCTAGAATCCATAAAATAATTGATAATTTTGACAGTGTTAAAATATAACATTTCTGCACTAAAAAACTAATGTACAGTTATGTATCACTAAACAATGGAGATGTATTCTGAGAAATGCACCATCAGGCAATTTCATCATTGTATGAACATCATAGTGTCCTTATGCAAATCTAGATGATATATCCTACTGCACACTCAGACTGTATGTTATAGCCTGTTGCTTTTAGGCTACAAAACTGCACAGCGTGCTACTGGACTGAAAAATTGTAGGCAATTGTAAGACAGTGGTAAGCATTTGCGTATCCACATATATCTAAACATCTAAACATAGAAAAGATTCAGAAAAAATAGGGTATTATGATCTCAAGGGGTCATTGTATATGTGGTCTGTCCCTGACCGAAACATTGTTATGTGGAGTGTGACTGTACTGTAAACAAAAAGACACATGACTAAGTGCTCATTTTCTAAAATATAATTATCCTAATGACTAAGAAAAGGACCAAAGACCAAATAGAAAAAAATGACTAATGGACAAAAACAGGCAGAAACACTGAAAAATACATACACATATGTAAAAATGTGTTCTTATAACTAAAGAAATATGAATTAAAATGAGATTTCCATTTTCATATTTCAGACTGAAAACTAAAACTTTTTAATAGTGTGCATTGCTGGTGAAGATGTGAAAAAAATAGACATTCTTATATAGTATTGTATAACAATGTTCTTTAATAAACAATGTGTCAACAGTATGTGTCTAGTTTAGAAAATGATATTCTTACCTAGTATTTCCATGTCCAGGAATTGATTCTGGAGAAATAGTCATAAATCCTCAAACCCATGGTCTAAGAACATTTTTTGAAGTACTGTTTATATAAGGAAAATAATGGAAACAACATAAATGGCTCACCATTAAAGGACTAGTAAGCTAGCGTTCACTGATACAGATGAATACTTTGAAACCTTTAAAAAGATGAAGTAGACCTGTCAGCAGATAAGGGATGGACACAAAAGTACTTTGATAAAAGTGAAAACAGCCAGGCTCGGTGGCTCAGCCTGTAATCCCGCGCCTTTGGGAGGCTGAGGTGAGTGGATTGCCTGAGCCCGTGGGTTCAAGACCCGCCTAGGCAGCGAGACCTCATCTCTACAATAAATCAAAAAATCAGCTGGGCATGGTAGCGCATGCCTGTAATTCCGGCTACTTGGAAGGCTGAGGCGGAAGGATCGCCGGAGCCCAGCAGGTTGAGGCTGCGGTGGCCGGGAGCGGCCATTGCACTCCAGTCTGGGTGACAGAGTGAGACTCCAACCCAAAAAAAAAAAAAAAAACTTTAAAAGTGAAAACAGAGTATAGGACAGTATGTATTTGTGTTAAAAAGGATAAACGTGTTATATGTGCTTATATAAGCATAAATGATTGTGGAAAGATAGATAAGAAACTGTTAAGAGAACCTCTAGGGAGGGGATCCAGAATACTAAACACAGGGGACACTCGTATTGAAGTCTTTTGTGCTTTAGAAGTTTTTATTCTGTGTAAGTATTGCTCTTTTAATTATAGATTCAATGATAGTTTGGTATACTTTTTTTTAAAAGTTTGGACTAGTGGGCTTACTCTGTTTCCACAGAATAGTTAGAAGACTGGGACACTAAGTTCTCAATCCCTAAATCTGTCCCAGCTATTTTTCCTAATTGACAGTTTTTCCAACTTCTCTGATCATATTTAGGTGTTTTTCTTCAGAATGTTTGAACATTCTTTTGCCTATGGGCTTATAAGTTATGAAAGTTCTTCAGAAATTTGTCATTCCAAATTCTTTGTTTCAGATCTTTAATTTTTAAGATCTTTTTGTCTGTGTAGTATTCTTTTAACTATATTTTGAATTGGTCTGAACTTCTAATCTAAGATGTTAACAGAAGATAGTAATCGAAAGTTCTATAACTTTTTTTTGTTGTTGTTCATCATTAACAATTGCTAGAAAGTCTTTGGGGCATTTTATTTTTATTTTAGGATATCGTACAGGTAAAGTTTGGGCTACCCTTTGGTCCCCAGTTTGCCTGGTTTGAGATCAGGCACCTTATTGATGTTGTGTTTCTCCCTCCCCCATACCCTCCACCCTGGCAGTGTCCCGCTATTGCCAGTCCCTTTCTTATAGTATCATGGTAAATGTTCAGGGTCCACTTATGAGTGAGAACATGTGGTGCTCTGTTCTTTGTTTCTGTGATAGATCACTGTGTAAATACCTCATTGTGTATATGTACTACATTTTTTATCCAGTCCAGTTTTGATGGGCAGCACTGTTGTCTCCATGTTTTTGCTATTGTGAATACAGCTGCAGTAAACATGTGTGCGGGTATCTTTTTTGTAGAATGCTTTGAGTCCCTCCGGGTATATTCCCAGTATGAAAGATAAACTTCTAGTTCTTTAGAAATCACCACACTGTTTTCCATAGAGGTTGAGCTAGCTTTCATTCCCACCAGCAGTGTAGAAGCGTTCCCTTTTCTCTGCATCCTCACCAGCATCTGTTGTTGTTTGTTTTATTAATGATGGCCTTTCTTACTGGAGTTAGGTGTTAGTTATCTCAGTGTGGTTTTGATTTGCATTGCTCTGATGATTAGTGAGACTGAGCAGTTTTTCATGTTGGCTGTCCATATATCTTCTTTGGAGAAGTGTCTATTTATGTCTTTTGCCCACTTTTTAACAGGTCTGTTTCTTTTTTTCCTTTCAACATACTTGAATTCCTTGTACATCCTGGTTGTTAGGCCTTTGTCAGATACAGTTGGCAAATATTTTTTTTTCCATTCTGTGGGCCATCTCCCCCCTCTCTTGCTTTGCAGAAGCTTTTCAGTTTAAGGAGGTCCCACTTGTCTGTCTTACCTTTATGGCATGGACACCTTGGGTTTTGATCAGGAATTGGTTGCCTGCTCCTATTTCTGTAAGGGTGTCTCCTACATTTTCTAAAATTCTTGTAGTTTGAGGTTTTATGTTTAAGTCTTTGATACATTTAGAGTTGATTTTTGTATATGGTGATAGATAGGGGTCCTGTTTCAATCTTCTGCATATGGTGAGCCAGTTTTCTCAGCACCATTTACTAAATAGATTCTCCTCTCCCCAGTGTTTGTTGTTGGAGGCTTTGTCAAAGGTGAGTTGGTTGAGGAATTCGGGTTTTGCTTTGGGAATCTCTCTCCTGTTCCTTTGGTCCATATGCCTGTTTTTGTACCAATACCAGGCTGTTTTGATTATTGTAGCCTTACAGTAAAGTTTAAAGTCTGGAAGTGTGATACCTCCCACTTTGTTTCTTTTGCTGAGGGTTTTGTTTGTTTGTTTTTGTTTTTTTGCTATTCATGGTCGTTTATGTTTCCATATGAATTTCTGTATTGTCATTTCCAAGTCTGAGAATGATGATGTTGGTATAGTGTTGAATCTGTAGATCGCCTTTGATAGGATGGACATCTTAACAATGTTGATTCTTCCCATCTATGAGCATGGAATAATTTTCCATTTGTTTGTGTCTTCTTGGATTTCTTTGAGCAGTGTTTTGTAGTTTTCATTGTAAAGGTCTTTCACTTCTCTCTTTAGGAAGATACCGAGGTATTTCATTTTTTTGGCTGTTGTGAATGGGATTGTGCTTTTTATTTGCTTCTCTGCCTGTTTGTTGTTGGTGTATAAAAATGCAACTGTCTTTTGCACATTTCTTTTGTACCTGAGACTTTGCCAAAATCCTTTATCAGTGCAAGCAGGTTTTTGACAGATTCTCTTGAAGTTTCAAGGTATAGGATCATATCATCAGCAAAGAAGGATAACTTAACTTCTTTTCCTATTTGGATACCTCTGATTTCCTTCTTGTGTCTAATAGCTATTGCTAGGAGTTCTACTACAATGTTGAACAGAAGGGGCGAGAGTGGGAAGCCTTGTCTTGTTCTGGTTTTGGGGGAAAATGCTTCCAGTCTGTCATTTTAGCAGTATGCTGGCTGTGGGTTTATCGTAGATGGTGCTTACTATTTTGAGGTATATTACTTCTACACCTAAGTGTTCAAGGATTTTTATCAAGAAGGGATCCTGGATTTTATCAAAGACTTTTTCTGTATCAAATGATACAATCATGTGGTTCTTGTTTTTACATCTCTTGATGTATTAATTACATTTGTGGTCTTCTGAATGTTGGACCAGCCCTGCATCCTGGGCATGAAACCTACTTGGTCATGGTGGATGATTTTTGAGATATGTTGTTGGATCCGATTTACTAGAATCTTGTTGAGAATTTTAGGATCTATGTTCATAAGGAATATTGGCCTGTAGTTCTCTTTTTGTTGGATCTTTACCCGATTTGGATATCAGTGTGATGTTAGCTTCGTAAAATGATTTGGGGAGATTTCTGTCTTTCTCAATTGCCTCGAATACTTTCAATAGGATTGGTATTAGCTCCTCCTTGTACGTTTTGTAGAATTCTGCTGGAAAGCCGTCTGGTCCAGGGATTTTTTTTTTTTTTTTGGTGGGTAGTTTTCTTATGACGGAGTCAAATTCCTGGGTTTTTATTGGTCTGTTTAGTGTCTTAATGTCTTGTTTCAACCTTGGGAGGTTGTGTGATATCAGGAAGTCCTCCATTTCATTCAGGTTATTAAGTTTGTTTCCATACAGGTGTTTATAGTAGTCTCTGATAATATTTTATATTCCTTCAGGGTGAGTTGTGATTTGATCTTTTACATTTCTGATTGTGTTTATTTAGGCTTTTTCTTTCTTTTTCTTGGTCATTCTGGCTAGGGGTCCATGAGTCTTGTTTATTCTTTCAAAGAACCAGCTTTTTGTTTTATTCATTTTTTCTATGATATTTTTGTCTTCTATGTCTCTTATTTGTACTTTTACTTTGGTGATCTGGATTCTTCTGCTAAAGTTAGGGTTTTGGTGGTCTTACCTTTCCATCTCCTTTAGGTGGTTTGTTAGGTTGTTGACTAGTGATCTTTCTGTTTTCTTGATGTGCTTTTTGGCATTTTAGAGCTCTTTGGAGCTCTAAATCTTAATACATTTATTATTAGGGTCCCAGGAAGGATAATATATTGTTAAGAATTATGGAATAGAAGTCATGTGGGTAGGTTAGAAATCTGATTTTTTCTTTAGTAGGTATGTAAGTGACTTTTCTTCATTTGTAAGACAGAAATAATCTCTTACCTTGGAAAACATAAGACTTAAATAAGATAATATATGAAACATTCTTAGCAAGTATTTAATATAAGTGCTCTTTTGCCTCTTATGTCAGTACTCTTTTCCTCCACCTTTTTGCATCTGAGGATGACTGGTAGGTCGTGGAAAAGGGTACAGACCCCTTTGCTTTCTAGAGAAGGCTAAGATTTTAGAGTGCTTTCTAGTACTAGTGGCCTTTATCCTGTCACTTTTTGCTTTTATCAGAAAGCCTCTAGTTTTCTCTCAGGTGGGTGTCTATACTGACTTCCATAAGAATCTGCAGAGAAGGTCGCTGAGGTTGTCAACTTTCCTTTCTCTAGAGTCTGTGAGTACCTAGACCTTACTTTTAATGGTATCAGTCATGTTACAGATCATTTTCAGTGTGTGTATTTTTTAGGGTTTTTGTAGTGTCTGGGCTATCACTTTGCTGGTTCAGTAAATAAGCAGTGATGTAAATAATTATTTCAGGCTTCTTCTTTTCTTTGCTATCAAAGAAAAGAAGACAAATTCCTTAGCACTTCCATGAATACCCTGTCTCTATTTCTGATGCTCTGTCTACTGTTCCGTAGGTATTAATAGTATTTTATTTCTTACCGTCTGCTTGATATGCTGTGCTATGGTCTGTATATCTTGTCACCAGACTCCCTCATCAGATTAAGAAGAGAATTAATGATCCACGGATAAAATAATATAATAATATTGATAATAAAAGTGGCCCTTTGTATTGTATAGAGTTTTGAAACATTTCAAAAATACACATTTGAGATTGACCATAGTCCTATTAGACACAATCAGTTTTGGTATTAATGTGCAGAATAGCTAGCAGTAATAGCAACAGTAATAGTAGTTGTAGTTATCAGTAGTCATTACATGCATACGAAAGAACCCTAAGTTGTCTCTTCTGTAGGGCATTCACCCATATCATTCTCTGAGCTATACCAGTGGAGACACTGCCACAGATTCTCCAGTTCATGTTGGACGTGCTGGGATGCCAGTAAAGGAGAGTCCAAGGAAGGAGAGCCTCCTCAGCTACCTGACTGGAAGCTTCCCCAGCTTGCACAACCTCCTGGAAGGGACTCCTCAGAGAAGTAGCACAGCAGTGAAAAGTAGCTCCCTAACAAGAGCAGGTATGTACTCTTGATTGGATAATTAGATGTTTACTTTTTTGGGGGGATTAAAACAAAACAGGATTTACATTCAGTTAGCAATATGCTTTGGTCATGTAACTAATATTTTATATTATACCTTCTCTTAGAAAATATTTTAGGAAACAGTTATTCTGTTGTTGCTTTTTGGTGTCTTTGAGCTTAGTTTGCATTTTTAAATTGCAACAACTGATGTCAATCTAACTATTTAGTGTCTAGAGAAGCCAACATAAGATTTCCCACCTATTTTAATAAAAAGCTGTTTATTAATATCTTCACATCTAAGTGTCACCATCATGCAGCGAGAGTTTAAAAAAATCCAAAGACAGATGTTTTAATCTGAATTTTCAAATATGATATAAATTACTTTTTTTATTAAGTACATAAGTAATACTGTACTCAGTAAAATCTTATTTTTAGGAAACACAGTGGCCACTGATATGTTATCTGAACATCCCTTGTTATCTGAGCCATCATCTGTGAGTTTCTATAATTGGATGTCAAATGCTGTGGGTAATCGAGGAAGTGTGGTACAAGAATCTCCTGTTACAAAATCAGGACACAATAGTCTTCCAACAGGTACTGGATTATCACATTATTTTGCTTAACTGCCTAAGGGGCACATATAGTTACAGCAAAATCCTGTTTTTCAGAAGGTGGGTAAAAGAATCTCAAACATTTAAGTACTGTTTGGTTGAAATTGGCTTATTTATAAATATCTTTAATGATACGCAATTAAGAGAGTAGTAAGCAGTCACTTAGTGTTCTTGTGAAAAGATAAAGATATCAAATATAAGATTGTATATAAAGAGTTTTAAACTTCTTTTAATGTGGCTGGTTTAATTTTTAAAACATCAAAAAGAAGTAAATGAAAAAATGCAAAGTATAATTATAACATCATATAGTTAATGATATAGAAAATGTTTTTTAGTTTGTCCAGATCCCTCTGCAACATAATAACTATCATTCTTATACTCTATATAGTTGCTTAACAAATACTTAGTTAAATCTAAAGGAATGCTAAGAAGAGAAAACTCCTTTTCTCAAGGAGGTAGACAAATGAGGGCTGCTTTTTGTTAATTTTAAGACTGACAGGAAATTTATCAAAGAAGTAATGATAGTTATATCCAGAAATATAATTGGACTCGTTTCTTTTCTATTATTTTTGTCTTATTGTGTATTTTTCCAAGTTTACTAAACTTATGTATTATTTTCTTATATGCACATATATATGTGTTAAGGAAATATGAAGTAGCTTATGATGATAGTTACTGAAAGCAACTAAAATTAATTTGTGTAACAGCTATTTGGACAGCTATGTAAATTCTTTTTGGACACAAAACATGAAGTATGAAAAATGGTTGGCAGTCTTTTCTCTTGCTGGGGTGTAGACCACTTTGAATCTGGAGCACATCGTAATTCTATCTGCTTGCTAGTTCTTAACATTTGCCCTTGGCTGAAGAAGATAGAAAGATGGTGCTTCTGCCAGCTCTTGGTACCTTTCCGGTACTAGTGTCACTATTGCACAGAGTGCATATAATTTAAATTGAAATTTCAAGAGAACCAGAAGGGAACAAATCCCCTTTATTGTGGGTCCTTTGCCTGAGGAGTTAAAGGATAGAGGAAGTACAGAGTAAAGAGTTGGTGCCACTTCATTTTTGTTCTGCCTCAGGAAAGCATATGTGTGGTTCTGTGTTATCTGTGGCTTTTGCACTGCTACACCTACTTCTTGTATCCCTGCTACAAGAAATTTGAGAAATGATGTCAGCAAATTTGAGAAATGATGTCAAATGCTCTTTGGAGATCTTCCAGCTGTAAAATTCTGCATTTTGGACTGATTGGCTCTAATATGGATTTTATATATAAGGATGACTGATGTTTTATGAAAAATTAGTTTAATTTCATTTTTTACTAATAAATCCAAGGCTGTAAAATAACCTAAAGGTATTAATTTTTTTTTAACTCTTCAACTTAAACAGTCTGGTAATGGTACTAAAATACATTTCAAAAGTTTACCCCGCTATGCCCTTTTATGTGTTTGTTTCCCAATAACTTATATTTTATTCTTGAAAATTTACTCTGTTAGGTGTTGCACCCAATCTTCCTACAATACCCTCAGCCTCAGATTTCAACACTGTCTTATCTAGTGACCAGAATACTTTGGATGGGACACATTCGCAGCATAGCACTAGTCAGGATGATGTGGCTGGTGTAGAAGAAGCGAACCAAGGGTTTCCTGCTGTTCAGCTTGCTGATGCACAGGTGAGCCACCCATCAAGCAATATGCACCTGGGAATTCTAGTGAAAATCTTTGTTCTGTGGTTTTCTGCTTACAGCCTTCATACAAAATGGGAGCCTGTAAAAAGAACATGGGTTAATTATAAATGCAAATTAAGCATCTACTCGTAACCATTAAATAGAAAAGGCTCATATAGTAACATTTTTGTTATTTGTAACAAGTTGGTTAAGTAACAAGACTAGAAAGTTAAATTTAATCATGTAATCATACCCTATAGTCTTTAACCTTTATTGAGTGAGTAGTGGAAAGGCATTGGTGATTTTAGAGCAGAGGAATAGAGGAACTAAAATTGTAGATATAGGAGTATCATATGAGTAAAAATATGTGTTAAATGGAGTGAAATAGGGAAACTAGTAAAAAGATGAGTTATTGAAATAGTTAGAATATTAATATCAAAATTCTTTGAAATCTACTTTGTAGTTTTGAGTGACCAGAAGGCAAGTGGTAGAGTGGGACATGGGTGAGATGAGGTATCATTTTTTTCAGTATGAGGGAGTCATATGAACATATTTACATATGGTTGTTCCTTGGTATCTGCATAGGATTGGTTTCAGGACCCCTGAGGATACCAAAATACACACTTGCTCAAATCTCATATATAAAATAGCATATTCACATATAACATGCACACATCCTCCTGTATACCTTAAGTCGTCTCTAGATTACTTTTAATACCTAATACAGTGTAAATGCTATATAGGTAGTTCTTATACTATATTGGTTTTTTATTTGTATTTGTTTTTTTTTTTTTTAAATAAAGGTTTATTTATACATGCATGCAGAGGTCACTCAATAATGAATAACTCCTATTATTTTTTATTGTTATTTTTACTGTTTCTTCCCCCTGGGTTGGTTGAATCCTTGGAGGCAGAACCTTCCGATATGGAGGGCCAACAGTACTTATGAGGAAGAAGGGAAGGTCATGATCAAAAATGGAGAAAGGGTTAACAGATGGAACAAGTATTTTTAGAAAGATGAAAGATATTGGAATTTAGTGTTAATTATAGAGAGAAATGATTTAGACATAAAAAGTACTTTTTCCTCCAAGAGTTTTTGGGAAATTAATAAGAGTAATTCACAACTGTGGTAGAGAAGTAAGTGCAAATTGTTGACTTCAATTTTTCTCTTACACAAGGAGGTAATTTATGTTAAGAAGTGTGTCAGTTGTTGTTACTTCTCCAATACATTGAAGTAATTTTTAGGGACTCCTTCATTTTTAAAAAAATAAAGAGTAGAAAAAGAAACACTTTTTGTTTAGGCCTCTATAATAAGCTCATTGTATTTATTATCATTTAGTACACATTTTTAGAGATAACTACACTATTTTGCATATAACTTTAAAATCCAGCAATAAATAATAAATAATTTTTTATTATTGTAAATAATACAATAAAAAAGTTGTGTAAGGTGATGTAGACATGTGTAAAGGTTGGAGTGAATGGGACTGAGAGCTCATCATGGACCATAGACCCCCATAATGATTGCCAAATAGTGTTGAAGATCTAGTTAAGGGTTTAGGCAAGCGTTGAAGTACCATTGAATGTCATTATATAATTTAATCTTACTGTCCTTAGCAGTTCAGTTATAGGAGTAGAAGAGCATTGATCCAAAGCAGACATAGTAAGAAAACTGAGGTGAAGAAATGTAATATGGAGTCTAGGAAATTGCTGAAGTAGATTTTAAGCCAAGGTTGTTGTGGGAGACAAGGAAGTGATATAACTTTGTGACTAAAGTACTGGTTTGAGTCATCTGCATGGCCATTGAAGTCATTCAGGATGCTAAATTGGGATAGAAAAGAAAAAGAAGAAAGCTGCAACCAAAGTCCCTAGTAGGTATGGAGGATTATCCAGGAGTCATAAATCAATTACAAAGGTTAGGAAAGATGTTGAATGGTTTAAGCTTTGAAGAGGAAGAATTTTTCCATTGGGATGAAAAAGCCAACCTTAAAGAGTAAACTCAAGAAACAGTATGCCACATAAGTATGCAAGTGAGAGAAAATTTCTCCCTAGGATTCCAGTCTGGAATAAAATTGTTTGAATTCTCTCATTCTAGGCCTTCAGACTTTCATGAGAGTGGCCTGTCTTCCTAAGCACAAAAAATTGAAGTGACTTAGGACAATGGAAAATATGGACTTGGGTCTCATTGCTTAAATAACACTTGTTCATTTAGACAGGGATTTTTAAGCTTCAGGAAAAGACACGAAGGGAGAATGTACAGTGAAAGAGTTAGAAGGAGGCTGAGGGAAGCAGTGGATAGCACCTATATTTCGGTTTTAGAAGGAGGAAAAGGAACCATGCAGCAGAGAGTGAGTAGTCAGAGTAATAGTAGTGCTCTGGCATTGAACACTTGCAGTTTCTTCTGTTCGGGTTCTCTCTCAGTAACTGTGAACTTCAGTTAACTGGAGATTTAGCCAGAGTAATGTGTTTCCATAAACATGCATGATACTTAAAACGTAAAGGAAGTTCTCTGTCAGAAAATAAATGTTAGATGTTATAACTAAGTGATACCATTTCAAGAGAGTCAGATATTCATAATATAACATTACAAATGTTTTATACTATCAAAAGTTGATAAATCACTTTATGAACCTAGTATGTCAGTTTTCTATTTTATTTTATGGAAATAGTTGATATTCATGCCTTTTTAAAAGCAAGAGATAGAATGATTTAAACTAATTTGTAATTTTATTTTCCTTGTGTTTTAAGACACTCAGGCAGGGTCAAAGAATCTTTGACCTTATGATTAATTTGAAGATGAGTATTTTAAGTAAATATATTGTTTTAAGTAAAATTAGAACCAGTGGTATAAGACTGTTTTTCGTTTCATGCTATGGTAATAATATGTACTATGGTAGGATTTTAAAAAGCTACAATTTTTCTCTATATAATTTCTACAGTAAATGATAACTGTAAATTAAGCTAATATGAATGTTTATGTCTTTTAGGTTGTTTTCAAACCTCTTCTGAGTCATACAGGGATCCAGTCACAGGATACAATGCCACTATGCTACCGAATGTACTTTGGAGAACACCTTTCATTTTCAGGGACTTTGGACTGCCTCAGAGCAGATATTGTGGATTCAGACACAGCCAAAGAGAGAAAAGGCAAACAAACGAGAAGGTGTCTTACATTTCTATATAAAGTGTTATGCAAGAATTATATTTGTTTTTTAGTCTTGCTTCTAATCTTAATGAGAATAATTTTGATATATTAATGAGAAGATAATTACCATTTAATAAAAGTAGTAGCCACATTTTCTTATTAATAACGGGTTGCTTTTATCAACAGATTATGATGATGTTTTTTGCCTTTTAAAGATCATGTTGGCACATATGTGAGAATCATCTGAAGTATATATGTTGCTGTATACACTTAGCATTTATTTATTTGGCTGTTGCAGTGGTGGAATTTTTATGGTCTTAAGGATTTTGATTTTACATATTTTACTTAGAATTTATTCCTAACTTCCTTTCTGAGTTGACTTGTATCAGGTGTTACTTTGTATTAGAAACAGGGTAGAAGTCACATTGAAAGTGTAAAACCATCAGAAACAAATATACAGGAATACTAATGTAGCATGATGAAAATTATGAACCATCTTTTGCTACTATTGTCATGTTCCTCAGTTTCTCTGCTATTTACATAGACAGTAATATACCCACTAATTGGACTTGAGTAGTCTTTCAGGAACTTGGAATTTTACTTTGAATGAGTCTTAATTAGGTAAGAATGGTAGAATATGTTTTTGCAGCATTTTTTATTTCATTCTTTTTTATGCTTTTACAAGGTGGTACCAAATAAAAGTGAAATGCTTGTATCCAATATATAGCTAAGTGAAATATATTTTTTCACTTGCAGTATCCTAGTTAAAGTCTTAAATAATTTAACAGAATTAGTTTTTTAAAATCCCATGGAATTTTGTGTAGAAAAATGTAGCTTTCTTAAAATTTATTTTAGTGTACATTAATGCCTGCATACACTCCCTATTTAGGGTAAACTAGGCTAAACTTGTATTTTTATTTGCAGTAGCCAGCTTTCACAACTTTAAATATTTTTTATATATAAATGTACATATATCCACAAAATATCTGAGGATTTTCTAATGACATATGGACATGAAGATTGCATTATTTTTTCTATTAAAATCCTTGCTTTTCACAGTACCATAACAGTGACCTTGCAAGTGGAAACTATGTGAAGTGATTTTAATAATTGGTGGGAAAGATTACTTTTTTGACCTTGAAAATATTTGTTAAAACATGAAAAACTTGGTTTATTATACATGTATGGAGAAATTTTAAAAATAGTAAAACTACTATTGAACATATTGGAATTTAAAGCATTTGAAACTTGAATTTCTTTGTAAAAACTTTATCAAAAGGTAGTTTGGATAGTCCTTTCCTCCTCCTTCTTATGATATAACTTACTATAAATAGCAGGCATCTTTTGTGTGCTTTGGCAAAATGTCATACTCCTTTGAAAGTATGAATTGAGTTTTCAACATTTTATCCTTTATACTTTCAATGTTTTACTATTTTCAAATTATGCATTTTTAAAAATTAGAATCACTTCCTTTGGGAGACCTTCGTCTTTTTTATTAGAGCCACTTTTCTCTTTATGTCAATAACTTACCTTCACTGAGTTTTTCTGGCTGCATACGTCAGAGTCTTTGAAAATTGAAAGTGTCAACATGTACTTGGTCGGTTATTTTTTCCTATAATTCGATTTTCATTCCATTGATTTTTTTTTTTTTTTTGCTACAGGTATTATCATTGTTTGTTTGTTTGTTTGCTGCATTTTCATCTTTGTTGTCCAGTTCCCTTGTTTGATTATTCCATTTTGTAAACTTTCATGAGGTTTTATCAATGGGAGACAAGGAAGCAACACAGCTAACTTAACTACATACTATGCTGTCTTTGGTGAACTGAATAACAAATGTGTTTTAGCCAATCACTATCATTGACAGACTGAAAGAAGTGGTGTGATTGGGCCATGATTATGATGTACACTTGTTTATGTAGTGGCTTGTAGACTGAAGAGTTAACAGTAAGTTTGTACTTTATGCAGTTATTCACAGGAAATTTTAGTTAAAAGTTTGAGTCACTGGGCACAGTAGCTCACGCCTGTAATCCCAGCACTTTGGGAGGCTGAGGTGAGAGGATCACTTGAGCCTAGGAGTTTGAGACCAGACTGGGCAACATAGTAAGACTTCGTCTCTAAAAAATAAAAAATAAAAAGATTAGCTGGGTGTGGTAGTGCATGTCTGTAGTCCCAGCTACTTGGAAGGCTGAGAGGTAAGGATTGCTTGATTCTTGGAGGTCGAGGCTACAGTGAGCTGTGATTATGCTACTGTACTTCAACCTGGATGACAGAGTGAGACTCTGATTCAAAACAAAATTTTTTTGAATCGTGTTTTTGGGAAACTGTTGTTATTTAACCAAACCACAGTAACTTAAATTGTTTTATGTTGGAACCATCAAATCAAGACCCAAAACATTAATACCTACATACAGTCCCTATTTAGGGTTAAACTGAGCTAAGTTTGTATTGTTATTTTCAATAACCAGCTCTCATATAAGTACAAATAAAGTATATTTGTATATAAATGTACATATAGCCTTATACATTGCATAAATCATATGTATAATTGGATTATATAAAACTCAATTATATCTGATTTATATATCATAGGTTTATGTAGAAATATAAGTAAAATTAGATTATAGTTACAGCCTCTTTATTGGCCTAGTAAATGCCATGTAATAAACTGCTACAGACCAGACCTTTATCTTACTATCTTTCTCTCTTTGTATTCCCAGATAGATTCTTTGAGTGATTTCCTAAGGTTAATTGCCTTTTGTCTAGCCAAACTTAACATTACCTTTAATTTTTCTACTATCACACCAGCTCTGAGTGTTCCACATTCTTGTAACTAATGCATGGTTAGCTTTGATTTTTCCAATCATCTGTAGTTCCACCATAAAATCTTATTTATTTAGAGGTCTTCACCACAGTCATACTTTCAGTCTTGCCTGGATTTTTTGTTTGTTTTTGTAACACATTGTTTATTTTGCTAATTACTGCATATTACTTCTGGTGTATAGTTTATTATATAAACATATATAACTTTCCTACTAGGTTATAAAGCCAGGGCAGTTTATAAAATATTTATCTTAGAGTCTGAGATGTAGTAAGTCCTCATAAATATTGGTTTTTTTTTTATCTCTTTGATATCTCTAGTGAAAGTAGCTGTGGCTTAATAAATATATTACTAAATATATATAACTTTTTATTGTAAGTTAGGCTTTATAATGCCCATGTCAGGTCTTTACTTGTTTGACTGCTTTTGCCTTGAATGACTGCTTATCATTTACCCATTTTTTCCTTCTTATTTATTTGAAGTTCCACTCTTCAAGGTTTTCTTGTCACCCTACATATTTTAGATTCTTGCTTTTACAGTTCTGGATTATTTAAATCTCTTTTGAGTTGTCTCTCTCCTATCCTAATTCTCAAAATCCAGTTTTTTCTTCTCTAACAACATACTTAGCAGTGATTATATGCTTCCTGTGAGTTTGTTCTTTTACATAAATTATACTACAATATGACATTTTTCTTATTAAATAAGAATACTAGTGTTCATTAAGGAATTACTCTTCTTTGTAAATTCCTTAAGTTAAATTGAAAATATCAAAGCAGCTTTTTTTTTTTAAGTAGAGAAACTTCTATGTTTAATTTGACCTGTATGGCTGTACATTCATAGACATTCATAGTATACATGGAAAAAGTGGGGAAAGTACCTTTTATAGTTCTGATGCTTGAATTTTATTGTTATTGTTGGTAATTGGCTTATGGATATTTGAGCCATTTTTGGCTTTCTATATTAACCCTTTGCACTCAGAGACATCTCAAGAATCACCTGCCAGCAACTTGACTACACTTTTTAAATAAAATAGTGAAAACAAATCACTTCATATTAAATAGTATAATGTTGGAACCAATTATTTTATTATAATGATATTTGGCTTATAATGGAATTTTGTACATTGAGGAACTTATTTATGACCAAAAAAATCAAAATTTTGTATCTTATATTTTTCTAACATATGGTAATGCGTGAAACAGTCACCAACTTGGAGTGCAGGTTATATATATTGTGCAGTAGTAATTGGTTTGATGTCTCCCACCTGGTGTTTTGCTATTTGAGCAGACAATGCAAGCTCGTTTTCTTCCTCCTAAATGAATAAAATGTAATTTATTGTCCAGTCTATTGTTCAAAGACGATGTAGAAGGCTGTACTCATGATTCCTGAAAACCACCTTTCTACTGATTGATCAGAACGTTGACAAATTTCAAATGGGACATGGGCTTTTCATTGTTTTTGAATGGAAAACTTCAAGGAAACATATGTTTTTGAAAAATTTGTACTTGAATAAGTTTGTCCTGTATAATCACCAGCAATGTCTTTATGTCTCCTGAGAGGGGACATCTGAGTGCAAAGGGTTAAAATTGACTATAATATTCTTACATGAAAATCTTTAGGTAAGTAGGATTATTTGCTAAAATAATTTTTATATAAGATTTTAGGGGATCTTTTGTGTGTACTTCTTGTTTTTGTTTCAAGTGCTTTTACTCTCCACTTTCAACTTGGCAAAGTATGCCATGAGACTTTCCTTTCTTATAACAAATGAAATTATATTAAATTTGAAAAAATTAAATGTATACTTATGAGAGAGTAAATAGTTAAGGCAGTCTCCTAATCTAACTCCAAATTCCAATACTATAGGGCTTGACCATGAGATGGCAAAAAAAAAAAAAAATTGTTTTATCACTTCACTGAAATAATTTCTTAACATAAGAAAGCTATTTTGACTTTTTAGTCAGTTTACAATAAGATCAAGAAGGAAGACTTAAGGCCTATCTTCCAACATAATTCCTAAGGAAAACCATCTTGTACTGGAAATTATTTAGATTTATATTTCACCATGGAGATTATTTTGCTTATAAGTTGATAAAGATATGTAGTTCTGGAAAAAAGAAAGTAAAACTTTGTCTTTTTTTTTACATTTTTAGGCAAGGCCATGTGAATCTTCCTCCACTTGAGTTCAAACCAGCATTAATGTTGGAAACCTTTAGCATCAGTGCTGTTGTAATGGAAAAATCTGTGTGCACCCCTCAGAACTCCACTAGTGCCCTTTCTTTTCATGATCTCAGCAAGCGTTATTATAATACCTTTCACTGCAACTTCACCATTTCTTGTCAGTCAATAAGCCAGCATGTAGATATGGCTTTGGTTCGTCTTATTCATCAGTTTAGTACAATGATAGATGACATCAAAGCAACTCAGACTGATATTAAACTTAGCAGATACACAGCTGGATCTGCTTCTCCAACACCTACCTTCAAAACCAGAAAACATCGGGATTTTCGTTCATCTGACTTCAGCCGCAGTTCTAGAGGAAGTCTTAACGGTGGCAATAGAGTCAATAATGCAAAGAACAAACGGACCAACAATGAGAATAACAAAAAGGAATCTCGAAACAAAAATTCATTAGGAAGATCTGAAAGAAGAACTTCAAAAGTGTCTAGGAAAGGTTCAAAAGATGTGGTAGATCACATGACTATCCATATGGATGACTCTGATTCAATTACAGTGTCAGAACAAAGTGAGCCTTCAGCTGAGTGCTGGCAGAATATGTATAAATTACTTAACTTTTATTCACTTATCTCTGATCCGACAGGAATATTGGAAAAATCTTCAGAAACATTTGGGCCAGCAGGTAACAGACATTTTTATGTTTTTAAAACTTTTGTTTAGAATAACAGTAATACTAAAAAAGCAGCAGATTGTTCATCATGTTGTCCTAATGTTGTAAGCAGATAACTGAAATGCAGAGAAAATGACGATCACTGAGGAGGGAAAATAGTAATGACATTTAGATATCCTGCCCCCATATTTTCCATCCTTTTTAGCCTTTATACAGTGTGTTCTTAAAGAATTCAGACCTGATTTTAAATATCTAGCTCTACTATTTATTTTCAGTAGGAACTTGGGAAAATGTTGAAACATTTTAAAATCACTTTGTTGGGGAATAAGAGAGGACTGTTAGGGAATGTGGAAGAGAGAAAGGTAAGATGATGTTTGTAATGACCTTCCATTTTGTGGTTTTCATATCTAAAACTAAATATTTACGTTTACTTTTAAAGGAGTCCGGAGCCCTACAGAGCCAACATGTAAAGTTGTGTTTGAGAATGAACAAGACAACAACAGTTTGACTAAAACACAGAGGAAACGCAGCTTGGTAACTTCTGAACCCCAGTATGTTACTCTGATAGTGTTTGGGATTGGCATGGTGAACCGCACACATCTAGAGGCAGATATTGGTGGACTGACAATGGAATCAGAGCTGAAGAGGATCCATGGCAGTTTTACTCTTAAGGAAAAAATGAAAGGTATGATGAGTTTCTAATACTGTAGTGCTATACATTCATAATAATAAGTGCTACTTTTCTGAAGAAAACCATTGCCATGTCTCCAAAATTCCTACTTGGCAATTTTTCTTCAGAAAATGGGACTTCCCAGATTCTGAGGTAGAGTAATACTGAAAACTTTGAATGTAATTAATGGTCAATGAGTTGAGACAGTTTTGTTATCTAATGAAAATATTTTGGCACATAACTATCTAGCTAATGTACCTAGTTCCTAGTGACAATTACTCTTGGACTGTCTTTAATATCAACTAATAGGATGTCTCTAATGCCTAAAAATTTTACCAAAGCAGTGAAATTTGTGAAAAATTTGCTTTTCTCTGTTATTGTTATAGAAAATCTTATAATCCAGTATTCATTTTTGTTATCTCTATAAAAAGATATCCCTTTAGTTGATCTAAACTTTTCTAGATTAATGACAGTGTACCATTCATTTTGAGAATGATTGTAGATGGTATGTGATCTGGGAGACCATCAATGTGAAGGTGCACCATTATTTCATGTATCACAAAGAAAGAAAATAATGTTGTCAGATAGGGTCAGATGCATTTATTGTAAAATGCATTCTAATTTCAAAGACGCTAAAATAAAAACAAGTGTTTCTCGGTGTCAGTGGGTAACAGTAGCATGAATGTGGATTTGCAGGGATTCCCTTGCAGCAATGACTCTATAATAACAGTGTCTTTTCTTTCTGGTTGTAAAAATAACCTGACAGATTATATTATGTGAAAAAGGAAATTATGACTCAGCTTCTACATGTTTTTATTGTTAACCCTGTGATTACCAAGTACTTAAGGTCTAATTGAAAGTTCTTTTGAACCTACTTTTAATTATATGCACCCCTTTACCTGTTTTGTTTTGTACCCTGAACACTTACTATTTACTCAAAAACTAATTTTAAATTAAAAAATTATGTACTAGTAAAGAAAATTCTGAAGGAATTAGGTGGATTATAAATTGCTAAGAAAAATACAAACACATCAGGCCTCCTTAGAAATATCACAAAGGACATAAAGAATACCAAAAGTTCAGATGGCTAAGTTGACAAAAAATGTGTTCAACCTCACTGGTTAAAAAAAAAGTTGGTAGTTTTCCATATGTTGAAAAATTGAGAATAACCATACCCACTTTTGGTGAGAATTAGGGAAATTGCCATTTTCATTTACTTCTAAATGGATATAAATTGGTTTAACCTTCCCAAAGGATAATTTAATGGTTTCTATCTGTAGTCTTTTTTCTTATATATTTTAAAGATGTGTGATATAATTCAGGATTGGGTATACAAGTGGATTTCGTAGGGGCAAAGTAAGGGCCTCCATTTGGTCCCCACTTTGCCTGGTTTGAGATCAGGTACCCTTACTGATGTTGTATCTCCCCTCCTCCACTCCCCGCCACCCTGGCAGTATCCCACTACTACCAGTCCCTTTCTTATAATATTGTGGTAAAGGTTCGGGGTCCACTTATGAGTGAGAACATGTGGTACTTAGTTCTTTGTTTCTGTGATACATCACTAAGTATGATCAACTCTAAATCCATCCAAGTTGCTGTGAAGTCCATAAATTTGGCCTTCTTTATGACTGCGTGTCAGTAGTCATTAAATCACATTTATCCTTTAACTTGGCAATTCCAGGTCTTCAACCCTAAATAAAAGAAATAATCAGAATTGTGTGAAAATATGTCTTCATAAAGAAGCAGCCAAATGTTTGGCATTAAATAATTGGTTAAGTTATTTTTACAGACATATGACAGTTTACAATTTACCTATTAAAATTATATTATAAAATTTATTAATATGAAAAAATTCCTAACTTGAAATGTAGAAAAAATGGTGTGTGTGATTTTATTTGGTTTTGCAAGCAATAAAAATATTTATGCCCCCCACTAAAATCACAGGAATTACATGGACCAAGAGTGCTACTTTATGTGGTTTCTTTTTCCAATTTTTTTTTGAATTGTTCAAATTTTCTGCACTAAGTATTATTTCTGAGATTTAGAATACCATTAGGCTATTTAATGCCAGTATACTATTTCATGCCTAAGTGGCATATTAAAGTATATATTTTGCATTATTCCAATTTTGGCATGTAATATATATGTATATATGACTGCAAAGAAATAAAAAACTATAAGGAAATTTTTTAAAAAGTAGTTCTACGCTGGGCTTGGTGGCTCGGTGCTTCCAGTACTTTGGAAGGCCGAGGCGAGTGGATTACCTGAGCCCGCAGCTTTGAGACTAGCCCAGGCACCTTAACAAGACCTCATCCCCACAATAAAATAAAAAAATTAGTCAGACATGGTGGTACGTGCCTGTAGTTCCAGCTACTTGCACGGCTGAGGTGGAAGGATTGCTGGAGCCCAGCAGGTCGATGCTGGGGTGGCCATAAGTGTGCTACTGTTCTCCAGCTGGGCAACAGAGTGAGATTCCAACTTACAAAAAATAAAAATAAAAAAAGGTAGTTCTGAAATAGTTGAACATATTATATATTTTGCCACTGAATACATTATGAATAAAATGCAATTTTAATATGAAGTGCATTTATTTTCAGACGTTCAAATTTTTTTTTCTCATATTTCAGATGTTTTACATCAAAAGATGACTGAGACATGTGCCACTGCTCATATTGGTGGGGTTAATATTGTGCTGCTTGAGGGGATTACACCAAATATACAGTAAGTTTGTTGATGTTTATTAGTTTCTTATACTTGTTTGTTATAGTTTTAGAGAAAGTTTTCAAACTCTTTGGTTGAACCTATATCTGTTGTGTTTTGAGGCTCAGACACATACATAATCTGAGTTCCCAGATACTGAGATTGACTGACATTAAGAACATCACCAAATGCAATGTTTTTGAAGAATAATTTTTTTGTTTTTTAAATTGATTTTACTTTCTGTTTCTAACCCCCTAAAAACACCAGTACATTATAAAATTATCTAACAAGAAAACTGATTACAGTGTAAATTTTAGTTCACACAATTCAGATAGTTAATTAAAGCAAAATTACAGACAAAGAATATAGTCTCTCTTAGTTTTGAATAAAGTAAACATTACTCATAGAGACCCCGGGTTTGAAAACTTTCTCTTGTCATTTTTGCATTTAATGAATTTAACAACAAAGCCTATGAAATCCCTGTGAGTATATCATATGCTTTTATTTTGACTCTTTGTTCTTCCCTCTTACTATTAAATTCTTCTGTTCTCAGATCTGTTTAGAATTGCTCTTAGAATGATTACCTTAATAAATGATATTCAAGTCACTAATGTGTTATTGATACATTTAACCATTTAACTTGCTTCGTATTCTTGGTAGCGTATGCCTTCATTTCTAACTTTCTTTTGATGGATATAACTATAACTAAAAAATGGATTTTGGTCAGATTTTGAGAATTTGCACTTTCTTAATGATACCTAGTTAATGTTGTGCTACTGTTGTCCTAAAACACATCCACCATGCTAAATGCTGACTAAATAGAAAATTTGATCCAGTGTTATAAAAATTAACTTAGTCTTAAATTTACTTAGAAAGGTGATATTTTACTGCTCTAATTATAGCATTTTTAAAATTTGAACGATGTGATAGCTGTCTTGGGGAACATCTCCTGAAATGGATGTTTATAAATAAGTCATAGCTTTTTTGCAATGAGTTTTAGATAAATCTGCAACCCCAGAACCCATTCTCAAGAATTCCTGAAGGACCCTCTCAGGTTTAAGTCTTTCTGGAATAGTTTGGACCTGTAAGTCTAGAAACAAAGACTGTATGTTTTATAATAGCTGTGTAGTGTTCAGGCACATTTTCTAAGCAGTCTTTTCAAGAATAGGAAATTCCAGTGGTTGTGAGAAATGAAATCTATCTCATAAATTAAATATGAGAAAGGAGATTATTATATAGGTTAATTACAATATTTTGAAATGCCTACTGTAGGTCAGGAGCCTCACCCAGATTTATTTAATCCTCTTCACAATCCTCTAAGCTGGAGGGGGCTTTATTTCCCTTTACAGAACAATAAATTGAGGGTTAGAAAGATCAACATATTTTCCTAGAATACTTAAAATCATATAATTGGGAAGAAGAGATGCCTGAGCTTATGCTCCTTTCAACTTATTGTGATGCATCTGTAAAAAGTCGTCACTTGCCATGGATTCTATGATTCCTTCATTGACTCTGAACCTGAATGTCATGGCTATTACCTATTCAGAAAGTAAGTTTCCTAAGATGGCCCATGTGTTTTATTTATTCTATCTTCTTGGATCTCTTATCTCCATTACCTATTGTCTCTTAAGAGAAGTGATTCAAATAGTCTCTAAACTTGCAAAACGTGGCATTTATAAAACATTTTTTAAAAAGTATTATACAGTTGATATTTCTTACCTTTTATCCCCCAAGTAAGGATCCCTCAACTGTTTTCTTTGAAAATAAAAGTTATTCATCAATCACTGCCAAACTTGTAGTGCTAAGATTTTGGGGATGTATTCTTTGGTATTTCGTTTTCAAATGCAATGAAAGAGAAATGGAATGAAAAGCATAGTTCAAACGGCACTTTGAAGGAACATTTTAAGAGTGGGAAATTAGAAAAACTTTCCAGATGATTGGTCATATTGTAACTAATTTGTGCATGAATGTTTATTTGCTTCCTTTTTGTTTTCCTGCTTTCTCTTGAATCTTCATCTGTAGACTGGAGGATTTTCCTACATCTCCAACAAGTACAGCCAAACAAGAGTTTCTGTATGTCATATTATTCTTTTTTGTGGTTTTGTGATTAATATAGTATTGCATAGTTTTAAACCTTTGTGGCTGTGAAAAGATGTAGCTATTGTTTTGTAGCTGTGAAATAGACCCTTTTATAGGTGAGAACTTACTGGTATTCAAGGGAAACACAGGTAAGGGCTACCTTTTTTGGTAATTCATACCCTGTTTTGTTGTTATTGACAGATTGTAACCCTTAGTTGTGTGTTGCTTGTGCTTTTTCAGACATATTACGGTTAAAATTTCTATGATCACAAATACTTGTTAATTTTCATATGATAATAGAAACTAAAAAGTTTACTTTTCATAAGAGTTTTTACTAATTGCAAAAATAATTATTAAAACACTAACAAGAAAGCATCTGCACATCTCAACCTTATAATTCCAGATGACAGATTTTATCTGTGCCTTTTACTATTTATTTATTTTTAGTATATTATATCTTAAAGATGTGGGGAACAATTCAGGATTAGGTATACAAGTGGTCATCATACAGGTAAAGTTTGAACCTACCTTTGGTCCCTACTTTGCCTGTTTTGAGATCAGGTACCCTTATTAATATTTTGTGCCCCCCCCTTCCCCTGGCAGTTTTCAGCTACTGCCAATCCCTTTCTTACTGTATTATGGTAAATGTTTAGGGTCCGCTTATGATTGAGAATATATGGTGGTACTCAGTTCTTTGTTTCTGTGATGAATCACTGAGTATTATAGACTCTAAATCCATCCAAGTTGCTGCGAAGTCCAAAGAAATAACCAGTGCTAAGTACCATTAATTTTTCATAGTGAAAAACTCGGGATGAATATTTAAATATAGCATGTTAGTATAGCTCACTACCACAACATATCAGTACAATGGGTCAAATCAAGTCTGTCAATATATGAAAGTAAAATAGTAAATTACTTTTATTGGGGTTATCTGTGATCTGTGTCACTTCATCACTAGAAGTCCTAAAAAAAGATTAAATGCACTAATATTAAGTTAGAGAATTGAATGCTTTCTGAAAACCACTCTCTGACATTAGTGTTATCTTAACAGGTATAAAAAAATTAATTCCACTTCAGAAGATTCCCTGTTTCTCCTTTTTTTCTCTGAGTTCTTGAGATATATAACAAAAAATAGAGGGAATGCTCTTTCACTGGCTCAAGGTCACAGCTGCTCAATAGTTATTTATTCGTTTGTATATGATGTGCTAGGCACTTATTAGGCTCCAGTAAGAAAATGAGAGGTGATCCCTGTGTCGATATCACTTAGAAGCCACTCCCTCCCCTTTTAGAGTATCTTCTTCAGAGAGTTAAACATGTAAGGTACAATTGCCAAATGGGATCATTACAGTGATTTTTACTAGTCGATGACTAAGTAGCCTGTGATTACAATACTCCACACTCCTGTTGTAGAGATTTTTAGGCAAAATTAAAATGAGGCAGACAGCATAGGTTAATTGATTAAATTAATCTCACTCTTCCTGCCTCTGAAGCTTGGGATCTGCATGGTGAAGTCGGGGGGAGGGGGCATGGAGCTAAAGGTAGAAGCCTCAGTGCCATCTCCAGACCATTTACTCAGCCTTTTGTATGCATGAGAATAGCTGGCCTGCCTTGAAAACCCTCTGCCTAGACTCAGGAGGTAAAAGAAAATAGAAAAGGTTCTTGCCTGATTTTACGCTGTGGTCATTGTAACTAAGGCTCTCAGTGGATCTAGGGAAGCCTTATGAAGTAGACTACCACTGTCAATGAATTATTTAATCCTCTTAGTCACCTGTCATAAACTTTTCATGTGTATCAACCATAGCTAGCATGCTACAAGTTTTTGTAGTCATCAACTTAGAGAGATTTTGACCACTTATTTTTGTGTAAAAATCTTATATATACACTATAAGTTGTATGGCCTAGAATAGAGGACAACTCCCTTCAAGAATTACAATAAAATTATGAATACGTAACGCATATTGGCAGCCTGTAGACTAATTTGTCGGTTTAGGTTTTCTTAACATCCTTCTCATGTGCAGCTTGACCTCTGTGGCTTCTGGGTCAGTTTGATCAGTAGAGTGACAGGCATCATCTACATGGGCTGTAGTGTGAATAGACTCTCTGGAGTTGGGGAGCACATAGTCCCAGAACTCCTTACTATCAGTTTCCACTGGGAATGTTATGCTGCAGTAGGACCTGCAGTAGAGGAACTGTCAAACCATTAACTTTCCATTCTGACTTTGGCATATAATTGAGAGTCCAGTGTTGCATATGTGCTTATATAATCAAAAAGGATTATTTAGGAGACATCTGCAGTTTATAAGGAAAAACAGCAGGATAGGTATGGAATTTTTTTACAGCCGTGGTAGCAAGACAGATTTGTCAATATTTGTTTAGTAATATTTAATAGATGGATGCTGTTCACAACTAAAAAGCCATTTGCATCTCAGCACCATCTAAGTGTGTTCTGGCTCATGTTGAAACTGAACTTGAAATATCATTGGTGATAAACGTGATTTTAATTATTATAATGTTAAAAAAGATTCTAAATTCATTAAGTAGCATTCTAGAGCCTACCTTCATGCTGACAGACCAATTCCATAGATTGCTCCTCACCCCGAGCTGCCCAGTGATCCTCTTTAAGAAATAGTGTGTTATAGAAGAAGGAATATAGTTCTTTAGTCATCTAGTAATCTAAATTTTATGTAGTACCTGGATTTCTTTTTGTTTGTAAATAATTAAGACCTCTGCCGGACTTGGTGGCTCAGCCTGTAATCCCGCGCTTTGGGAAACTGAGGTGAGTGGATTGCCTGATCCCACGAGTTCGATACCCGCCTGGGCAACTTGGCGAGACCTCATCGCTACAATAAATCAAAAATCAGCCGGGCGTGGTAGTGCATGTCTGTAATTCCGGCTACTCAGAAGGCTAAGACGGAAGGATCGCCAGAGCCCAGCAGGTCGAGGCTGCAGTGGCCGGGAGTGGCCACTGCACTCCAGTCTGGGCAACAGAGTGAGACTCCACAACTCAAAAAATAATAATAATAATCAAGACCTCTGATAGAACTGTTAGGCTTCTCAAGGCTTATCCTAATAAAAGTAAATAGTCCTTGAGACTATAAATAAATTCTTGGTGAAGCTTCTGCAGCCTAAGCAGAGATTAGTATATATAAACTGACATGTGATTAATATGAAATTTGCATTTTGTTTATTTTGCCATGTCTATTTATTGTCAAGAATGCTTTGCCCATTTGAAGGATAACATTTATAATAGAAGCTGTCTTTTTACCATCTGGGCCCTTAGTAGTACATGCAGTTTATTGTCTTTCCATTTTATATGTCAAAGATTGCTTAATCATGGCTTCTACATTCATATCCTATTATATACTCTCTGTGAAATTCCACAGTTGTAGCATTGAGAGACATTTTTCTGCTTTACTTCTTTCTGCTCTTTCATTTCACACATGTTTGGTGAGTGCTTATCATCTTCCAAGAATTGTTTTATGTCTGAACCAGTAAAGTGCACTAATTCTTAACTAGGAATGGTAGCCTTGCTCATTATGAATCAGACTTCTGTCACTTCTTTGCCATTCATTGAAAATATAAATTGAAAATAAAAACCAAAAATGCAAGTTACAGTTTTTTCTTCCTCTCAGTTTATTTTAGCATAGTAAGATGATTGTTAGTATAATTTCTTTGACTTACTAATTAAATTTTAATAAGTATAGTGAATTTTTTTTTTCTGTCCAAATTCAATGCCTTGTCACTTAGTGGTTGTACAGATTCCTAAAATAGGTTGGGAAAGAAAAGATGAGTTCTGAATGGAGAAAAAATAAAAATGGAATTTTGTGTGTGTGTGTAATATAATGTGTCAGTATTCATGCTTTTACTTATATGTGAGCACATACTTATCTTCTATAAATTCTTCCTATTAAAGAAATAGAATACTATTCAGAGTAAAGAATGTAAAGTAAGTGTATTTTAATATTTTTAGATAACACTTTTTAATATATAATTTAAACAAAAGATTGTGAGTCATTTTAGTTCATTGGATTACAAAGGGACTTCAAAAAGGTCATGAAAAAGTGGAATTCAGCGATAAAAATTAAATATGTAAACTTTCTTTTTCAACATAATCTCTATCAAATACAAGACATTTTTGTAAGTGATGATATCAGCTATTTATTACATCCCTAAAAAACTAAGTGGCCTAGGAATTTAACCATGTCAGTGCAGTCTTTTTTACATTATTAACTGAAGAAAAATGGGTGCCCTTTAAAGATTTTTTGAGATTAGGAAACAAAAAGAAATCAGAAGGAGCCAAAATAGGATTGTCAGGTAGATACTTAATGATTTTTCATTGAAACTTGGACAATTGCCCTTGTTTGATGAGAGGAATAAGCAGGAGCATTATCGTGATGGAGAAGGACTTGGTGAAACTTGCCTGGGCATTTTTCAGACAAAGTTTTGACTGACTTTTGCCAAACACTCTAATAATAAGCAGATGGTTTCATTCTTTGACCCTCCAGAAAGTCAATCAGCAAAATGCCTTGAGCATTCCAAAAAACTATTGCCATGACCTTTGCTTTTGACCTGTCTGCTTTTGCTTTGATGGGACTACTTCCACCTCTCAGTAGCCATTACTTTGCTCTTTGTCTTCAGGACATGGTAAAGCTATGTTTCACCTCCTGTTAGAATTTTTAGAAGAGCCTGAGCCCGCAGGTTCGAGATCCGCCTGGGCAGCGAGACCTCATCTCTACAATAAATAAAAAAATCAGCCGGGCATGGTAGCGCTTGCCTGTAGTTCCGGCTACTCGGAAGGCTGAGGCGGAAGGAGAGGCGGAAGGATCGCCGGAGCCCAGCAGGTCGAGGCTGCGGTGGCCGGGAGCGGCCACTGCACTCCAGTCTGGGCGACAGAGTGAGACTCCAACTCAAAAAAAAAAAAAAAGAATTTTTAGAAGAAATCCTTCAGGATCTTGATCACACTTACTTAAAATTTCCATTGAAAGCTCTACTCCTGTCTGCAGCTGATCTGGGAGTAATGAGTGGAAAGTTGGCTCAACTTTAATTTTTCAGGCAGGATTGTGTAAGCTGAGCCAGTTGAGATGTCTGTGGTGTTGTTCTGTTAATCATAGTTCCTCTTCAGTTAGGTCACAGACAAGAAATTTTTTTCTTTGCAAATTGATGTTTAGTCTGCTATGGGCTTCATCTTCAACATTGTCTCATCGCTTCTTAAAATGGGTCACTCATTTGTAAACTTCTGATTTCTTTGGGACATTTGCCCCTAAACTTTTTGTAAAACATCAGTGATTTCACCTTTCAAGCTTCACCATACATTTGATGCTTGCTCTTACTTCAATTTTAGCAAAATTCACATTGCTCTGATAGGAACTCTTCTCAAACTGATATCCTTTTTAATAACTCAAACTAAATAATGTTGTTTTCACAAGTTAGTATGAGTTTATTTTGCTGCAAAAACATTTTGAAATTCATATTTTTCTCATAATACACACTTTCCAATAACTTTTTGAAGACCCCTTGTATTTAAAAGTATTTTTCTTGTTCTTAATATTTTTTCAAAATTTCTCTTTATTTGGTAGTATTTTAATGATTTTCTTTCTCTGTTGATAGAACGGTAGTGAAATGTAGTATTGCCAAGTCCCAAGCCCTCTACAGTGCTCAGAGAGGACTGAAGACAAACAATGCTGCTGTGTTCAAAGTAGGAGCTATCAGCATTAACATTCCTCAGCACCCTGCCACCTTACACAGCATGATGGTTCGAAGTTCTCACCAACTGTCTAAGCAAATCTCAGACCTCATCAGACAGCCTTCTGCTGCGTAAGTTGTCTTATTTGTTCACATTCTGTGACTCCATATAATACCTCAGGGTATTCTTTGCTGTGTTAACAGAAGTTTGGAGGAAGATGCAGGGCTTCTAAGTATTGACCATTATGGACAGTGGGGTAGGCGGAGAGTAGCCCCACATGATTATGGGAGACTCATACTGGATATCATTAAAGTACTATGCCATACATGCAGTTGTCAGGATTCCATGTTGTGTAAACAAAGCTTAAGAGATCCTAGAGGTTTGTGGGTATTATTAAGAGGTGCCAATACAAGGCAAATTGGTGAATTCAAGGACTATATCAAGCTTTGTTTACTTTGAATTCATTGAAATTTATGACTGCATAGGTTTAAGAAATTGCAGTGGTCATTTATGTCTCATGTATGGTTTTGTGCTGCTCTATTTGAAATTATTGTATATGATTTAAGGCAGCATTTGGCTGTGCCACATAAGGGCAATAAATTCAACCTTGCCCATTAACCTTTATTCTCTATGTCAGTAGTCTTTGCTCATATGTCTGCATTGCTAGCCTTATTCCTAGTCTCCAAAAGCTAAAACTAATACTATATGCAAAAGGTTAAAGAATTATATTGACAGGATGTTTAAAAATATTTATAAGAAAAAATGTTTTCTTTTCTCCATCCTATAAAGTTGGGAAACATTAGTTTTTTGATGGTGTCCTAAAACAGTGGTTTGTTTCAATTGTTCTATCTAGATCTTTAATTCTGATGTAATATGAAATCATGGCTAAAGTTGACTATGCAGTAAAAATTTAAATATACTTCTCCTGTGAATGGAGTATGGAATCTAGAATCTGTACATGAATGTTAGTTTTAAAATACTCTAAAGAATCCTTTCTTTTTATAATGTATTGTTAGTATAGTATAGTAGTTAAATCAGACCCTGGAGTCAGACTGATTGAGTTCAAATCCTAGTTTCACACTTTCTCCTGTGCCTTCTTCATTTGCAGAGTGGAAATAATAGTACCTACGTAGTTAAAGGGTCTATGAGATAAATGAAATAAAACATACAGGGCACTAAGAACACTACCTGACACTCAAATAATTATTGTTATTGTTGGTGTTGGTGTTATTATTCTTAACAGTGGTAGTAATAGTTGTGGCAGTAGTATTAATACTACAGTCAATATTAGGGCATAATGGTTAAGTTATAGAATTTGGAATCAGACAAAACTCTGTTGAAGTCCCAGTTTTGCAGTAATTTTATCCAGTAAAATGGTAGCTCTTGTTTATTTTATATACTTTTTTGCTTTCTAGCCCACAGCCTGTAAAAGAAGATATTGCAACCCCACTACCTTCTGAGAAAACTCCAACAAGTGTTAATCAAACGCCTATTGAAACAAATGAATTTCCTCAGTTACCCGAAGGCTTAGAAAAGAAGCCTATTGTTCTTAAATTCAGTGCCATGTTAGATGGTATAGCCATTGGAGCAGCACTTTTACCCTCTCTGAAAGCAGAATACAAGATGGGAAGAATGAGGAGTCATGGAATGACAGGTGACATTGAATTTTGAATTTGATTTGTTTGAGAAATAGTAATTTTGTGATGCAAAGGTAAATTTGGTTCTATAGATATATGAATTTTCTGTGAATGTAATTTAATTGATTTGACAATTTTCACTATTTTCATGTTCAATCAGGGTTAGGAAACAAGTTGTTAACTGCCATCTGTTCTCTGTGAAGAAAGCACAGTGTGGATTGGGGATTTGTTTATTTATTTATTTTTTGAACTTGGCTAATTCTCTTGTTATAACTTGTATACAGTAGGAGCAATTTCTTTCTGTTTTGCCTTCTGTGAAATAAAGAACATTTGTAGGTAATTTTCCAGCACCTAACACAATGCTGGGTACCTATCATGCTTAATAAATAATAATTGCTGTCTTAATATGAGGGAGAACCCCAAAAACCTGGAATTTATAAAAAATTATATTTTTAAAATTGTGTTCAATATTAAATCACATTCAGAATACTTCGATGCAATACACTTATTGAGATGCTTTTTCCACTTTTCAAAACAACTTTTGAGCTTGTTAACTTTAATGCCTTTTAGTTCTTTTGCTTTTTTTTTTGCCTCTTCTGCATTGACAAAACGTTGCCCTTTTTTCATCTGGGGAAATAAGCAAACAAAAAAACCCACTCAGGGTGAGATTGGGGAATAGGGAGGGTGGGGCATGGAGGTCATGCTGTTCTTGGTCAAAAACTATTGAACACTCTGCCCACATTGCGCAGAGTGTTCGTGTAAAACATCCACCATGAAATGGGCAAACGTGTTGAAAGGAAAAAAAAGAAAAAAATTCACTGAAGATGAACGCAGCCTCTCAGGACAAGGCTAGCTGGTACATGGATGCTGATGGGTTCCTAGAACACTTCCTTAGTGGTGAAGCCTGTACTACAAGGGGCCCAACCTCACAAAAAATGATTTCGCTTTTTAGGGGGTCCCCCCTTGTACTTTCTGATTGACTTGTATATTTAACAATAGGAAATTATTTATAAACAAATTTAAAATATTCTTTCATATATTTTAAGATAGATTTTCGAATACCTATACATTTTTCTTAGATAACATTTTTGGAATGAATGCATGAATGACCACCTGCACAAGCAACTTTTCTTATTTCTTACAGGTGCACAGACAAGATTTACATTTGAATTGCCAAATCACAGATTGCGTTTTACTTCAAAAGTTTCTGCCACAGATATGTCAACCATTCCTCCTTCTGCCAGTCTTAACCTTCCTCCAGTTACCATGTCAGGGAAATATGTAATGGAAGAACATGATAGTTACTCAGATCAGGTGTGGAGTATAGACGAACTGCCTTCTAAACAGGGTTACTATTTACAGGGAAATTATCTACGTTGTGTGGCGGAAGTAAGTTTACTTTTACATTTTCTTACTTTTGTAATTTAGGAGTCTTCAAGGTTTAGGTAGTGATCTAAACTTAAGGTAGAGCATTAAATATTTATTCCCACATAATTCTGTACCAAATCAGGGTGTGTGTGGCGGAAGTAAGTTTACTTTTACGTTTTCTTACTTTTGTAATTTAGGAGTCTTCAAGGTTTAGGTAGTGATCTAAACTTAAGGTAGAGCATTAAATATTTATTCCCACATAATTCTGTACCAAATCAGGGTGTGTGTGTGTGTGTGTGTGTGTGTGTGTGTGTGTGTCTGTCTGTCTTTCTTTCCCTGTAGTTTTATTTAGACATGCTTTTAAAAATGTATTAGCATCTTTGAATTCACATTTCTTACACTGAATTTAACATCCATCTCTCCAATAGTTTCATGATTTATTTGATTACAAAAAGTGAATAGCAGCTCACATTTGTCAAGTATTTTACACACATTGACTTTTGCAGTCCTTCCATCAACCCTGTAAGGTATAAATATGTCTTCTCATTTTATAAGTGAGGAAACTGAGCCATAGCAAGTTAACATAATTCATACATGTATACACAATTATTAATGATAATCTAAAGGTCATATAGAAAGATAAAATAGACTCACAGAGTGATTTCTTTACTCAGGTAAGTTGAAAGTTGCATGCCTGATTCCATCAGTATTTTTTTCACTTTATATCTGTATAACTCTCAAAAGTTTAAAAAGCATTTGGATACACATTTGTCATTTGATTTGTGGTTAGCAGGTCATTCGTTAATATCCTAATTTGATTTAAGCTAAGAGAATATACCGCTTTTCCTAAGTCTCCCAACTGTCAAGTGAAAAGCAGGAGCCACACTTTGGCAGTCTCCTTCCAGGCTTACTGTGCTGCCTCTCAGTTTACTTATCAGTTCGTAAGGAACGGTTGCAATCATATAAAAAAGCAGTTTGCTGTATTTTGTAAATTTGGTTCTCTAGAACCTGAAGCATCTATAAGAAGGGTTTGTGGATTCTTTTATGGAGATATTACCACTACAGGTGGACATATTAAAGTCTGATTTACCTTTTTACCTTCTTTAGACCCTGCTTGCCCTGGAACGTCTCTAGAGTTAGGATTTCTCTGTGTGTGAAAAATGAGTATACAAAAAAAAAATAGTGTACAAGATTCTAACAAATCAAAGATTTGCTTAAAAGATTTTTTTTTTTTTTTTGAGTTAGGGTCTTACTTGTTGTCCAGACTGGGAGTGCAGGGGCACAATCATGGCTCACCTCAACCTTGACCTCCTGAGCTCAGGCCATCCTTCTGCCTCAGCCTTCTGACTAGCTAACTGGGACTACAGGCACGTGCCACCATGCCCTAATTGTTTTACTTTGTGTAGAGACAAGGCCTCGCTTTGTTGCCTAGGCTGGTTTTGAACTCAGATTCAAGCAGTTCTCCCTCGTTGGATTTCCAAAGTGCTGGGACGATAGATGTGAGCTATCGTGCTTGGCCTGCTTAAAAGATTTTTAAATGTGCTTCATTTGTACTTTCTACTCTGAAAAATAAATTCCTCAAACTCTAGTTTAGCAGTACTATTATTGTTTCATCTGAAAGAAAATAAGTGTAATGCAGTGTATTGCATAATTCCTTACTAGTACTAGATATTGGAAAGGCATCAAGTCTGTAATTGAGGTAGAACACAATCCTAACTTTAGTAAAAATGTAGTTTCAAACAGTGCAAAGAATCCAAGGTTACATCCCTCTTAGAGTTGCCTGTTTTATTATGGCGTGAAAGAAACACATCTGAAAATCATCTCTGCCCTGTTTATTCTTGTCTGTATAAAATACAAGTACCCAGTGCATCTTAGGCTTTCTATAAATTCTCAATTTAAAAAAAGACTGTCAAATCTATTTTGCTTTTTAATTTGACCAAAATATGAACCCTATTGGTGGCAAATGATGAAGCATTTGCCTTCATAAAGATTTATCTTTCTGGGGAACTTGGCAAGACCTCATCTCTACAATAAATCAAAAAAAATTAGCCAGGCGTGGTAGCACTCGCCTGTAGTTCCAGCTACTTGGAAGGCTGAGCGGAAGGTTCGCTGGAGCCCAGCAGGTTGAGGCTGCGGTGGCTGGGAGCATGCCACTGCCCACTAGCTTGGGCGACAGAGTGAGACTCCAACTCAAAAAAAAAAAGATTAATCTTTCCTATAATACTTAACCTCAGTTAGGTCCTGCTTTCGGTTTAGTGTTTATTTGCCAGAAATTTAATGCCTATACTAATTATAGGGCACAAATTATATTGAACCCTGATTAGGTATCTCTGATTTGCTAAATCACTCAAATGTAAGCCTTAGACTCCAAATTTTGTTGTTTTTATTCATTGCTGTATCATAGCACATGATATGGTACATACAGTAGATGCCCAATGTATATATTTGAATGAGTTAATAAGATTATTTTCACTTATAATGATACTTATCTATGAATCTAAGACCAGAAAATTGATCATTAAAAATAAATTTTGCTCTAGACAAAATTTTAATTTTAAACAGGTTACATATATAATTTTCATTTGTTTTCAGAAGATTTCTCACACTTTATTGACGACTGTCACTTAAAAAAAGTAGGAAATTGCCCATAATAATGTCAAGCCAGTAAAGTAGTACAAATTCTGAGTATTTGTAACCCTTCTTCAATATATTGATTTGAAATAGTATGTAAATTATAATCTGTTTTTCCTTAGAGTTTTGGATGCTTTATGTGAAGAAAAAGGTGTAAAACAAATATAGTCAATAATGTTAATCTAATATGATTTTGTTTGGCAGGTTGGGTCTTTTGAACATAATCTCACAACTGATCTTCTAAACCACTTGGTATTTGTTCAGAAAGTGTTCATGAAGGAAGTTAATGAAGTAATACAAAAAGTTTCTGGTAAGATTATCTGGTACTATGTAGTATAGGTGTAGAGCTTTTATTCTCCTTGGCTACATGATATCCCATGTGTCTGTGGTATGACTTTTGATCACAGCAATTTGATATAATTGTTGGGTAACTCCAGAAAAACTACTTTCCCTTTCTGGCTTTCCACCTACAGAGTCTTTGATTATTATTTTTGTTATGTATAGTATATACATTTAAGATTCATAAACTTTAAAAAGCTCCTTTATGTTTACCCCTTAAACAAGAAAAGCTTAAAGTATATTTATTAACCAAACTAGTCTTACTCCTTTGGGAGCAAAATGTAGATAATTTTTTAAATTAACCTTTATCTACACTAGGTGGTGCCTGGCTGCATGGCAAATTGTCTATAGCAACCCTCATATTTTTGCTATGTCTCAAAAAATAGATTACAGTTGAGCTTGGTCATTGTTGTACATTTCAGCAGAAAATACATATGGTTGAAAGATATTAATTGACTTTTAATTTATGAGATAAAATATCAAGAGGAATTAGGGTGCAAAACAGGTTGATTTGTATACTAATTCTTAGTGCTACATAATTCCAGTGTGAATGTTATCATATTAAAAGAATATTTAAGCCACATCTATATACTGGCATCAAGAGAAGCTTCCATTATGTTGATAGATTAATTCATTCTTTTAACAAATATATTAAGTATCTAGCTATTCAGTTATAACTTTGATGAGTTCTGTGAAAACTAATCTAGTCTAATGAATCAGAAAAGGCTTCTTAGAATTCATATCCATCACCTCAAGGAGGAAGCCTAGTTTGGCAAGAAAGGGGAGAGAGCTAGAGAGAAGATGCAGTTAAAGCATATGGACCAGTATTTTATAAAACTCTGAAGAATTATAGCATTCCTTAGGTGAGGGAATTAAATTATGTAACAACTGTGTAAACAACAGGTTTCCCTGGTTCTCCTGAGCTGGTTCTGATTGCATCTGAAATCAGGAAACTACTTAATGGTCATATTGAAAAAGCCCAGGTGAACTGTAGATTTTTACAAGTTAAGTCACAAAAGATCAGACCGTAGTTAGCCATGGAGTTTTTCTCAAAATGGTTGATTAGAAACCACTAAGGAATATATAAATATGTAGCAAAATTTCTTTCTGTAACTGCAGATTCCTCAACTTAGGGAACATATACAAGTTTTTGTGCTGCCCATTTGCTTCGTTAAAATTACATGAGAACAGTGCTATGATAGGAAAGTTGTTAAGAATATATCAAGCTTGTAAATTTTTATGAATTCTGAAGAATATTTTCAAGGCTATTTTATTAATGAATGTGTATAATTAAAAAATAGATTCATGGGAACCTAATCTCAAACCAGGCAAAGTGGAGACCAAAGGTAGGCCCAAACTTTACCTGTATGATGACCACTTGTATATCTAATTCTGAAGTGCACCTCACATCTTTAAAATAAAATAAATTTTTAAAAAATAGATTCTAATCCTGTATTTTTTGTTGTAAAAAACTAGTGTTGTAGGGTTCCTAGTGTCAGACTGTTACTGTAAGCCTTCCTTAAGTGGTTCTGATGAAAGAGAAAGTCTTTTCATAACCTTACAGTTAGTTAGAATATGCAAGTATACAGGGGGATCCCCAAAAAATATAATTTATTTTTTTTAAATTGTGTGTTTGTTTTTACATGTTTAAACTTCAATCACCTTCAAAGTACTCTTCGTTTGATGCAATACACCTATCGATACACTTTTTCTACTGTTCAGAATAGTTGTTGAACTTTTTAAATTTGATGCCTTTTAGCGCTTTTGCTATTTTTTGTTTAATCCCTTCCACATCAGCAAGATGTTTCCATTTGCAGACTTTTTTTCATCTGGGGAAACAAAAAAAAGGCACTCAGGATAATATCAGCTGAATGGGGGTGGGGCTTGGAGGTCATGCCATTTTTGGTCAAGAACTGTGAACACTTATTGGTGTGGGCAGTTGTGTTGTCATGATAGAAGAACCAGTCACCTGTTTGCTACGACTTGGATGTTTCTTCTACAAATCATGATGCCATCCTCTCAAAACCTCCAGATAAAAACTTTGGGTTGCCCATTTGATCCAGATGAACAAATTCTGAGTGTATTACAAGGGAGCCGCCCTTCAAAACAGAATTCCAGTTTTTTGGAGGTCCCTTCCCTTAACCCAAGTTCTGTGAAGAATGAGATAGAAAAGGAAGACTGAAAATTAGTATTTTAACAATGGAGACCTGTCAATCACTGAACAATGGAGAAATAGTGCCAAAGTCATTTAGTGGCTAGGTCTGCTCCTTGAAGCATTTCTTTTCAACTTTAGAGACAGCCATGAACACTGAGAAAATAGCTGAAATGTAAGTCACGTATCGTGTAGCTGGCCATAGGGCTTGAGGGAGCATGGACATTTTGTTATTCTATCAAGACCAAATAACAGAATATCGAGAGGGAATACTTTGAAACCTTGTAGCTCAAATTTCTCAGTTCTCTGATCTCTGTATTCCCTACTTTCCCATAATTTTCATAGTTTTTCTTGTTTTTTGCTTATATTCTTCCTCATGGTTTTCCCTCAGGTTGCCTTTAGTGTTAGGACATTTTCTATTGTATAGGGCGATTCATGTTCCTAACAATCATCAAGTTTGTTAGGAAAATATTTTTTTGAAGAGTTGAATCTTATTTGCTCTTGGAGGTCTTATAGGAGTGCCTGAATTTTAGAAAGATACAAATAAGCACCAACCACATAAACAGAAGAGACCTATTGTTAACTATATAAACTGTCTTAGAAGCATATGAAGAGCTTAGCTTCTTAGAACTGGGCTAGGTGTATATTTACTTGATAAGTATGTAAAAAAAACTGTAGAGTTAATGTGATTAATATAATAGTGTCTCTGATAGTTTTATAAGATAAACTTATTGTGTGGTACATTTTGTGAGTGGATGAGTTGCTTTTAAATTTTAAAATTTACTTTATGAAGCTAGATAAAAGGTATTTAAAGTAGTGATAGACCAGCACAAAGCAAATAAGCTTTTAAGATATGCTCATTCATTAAAAAGTTTATCTTCAGAGACAGATTGCCAGATAAACAGACACTAGCCATTATTTTCTGTAATGTAACTAGACTTTAAGTAAAATAAGATAGATGTGAATCTTCACAAACCTCTAGTCATTGTTTAGAGTATTAGTAGTACAACATTCAAAGTGACAGTGTGCCTAACATTGTAAATATCTAAGATTATTTCAGATGATACCTTTGATTTGTTTAGCAAAGGTGATTTAAGACAATAGGAAAAAGTGAAAAGCTTGCATTTAGACCATCAGAAGAAAGTAGTGTGTTAAGGAAGTTGACTGCTAGGTAATATAACAGGAAGATTTCACTTGATTGAGGTAAGTGAAAATTGAAAAAGAATCTGCTAAAAGCTGAGTAAAAAGGACAGTAAAAAGGCAGTAATAGAAAAATGAAAATGAGAATGATAAGCCTAACTGACCAAATTGTGTATTGATCTACAGGTTCAGATGAGATGTTTCCAATTTTTTAAAAGAAGTATTGGATGTACTCTTGGAACCTCTGGGAATGTATTTCTGTAAATCATAGGAATCAGGATAGGTACTCAAACACAAGAGAAATGTGGTACCTAACTTAAAGAAGGGTAGGAAGGAGGTCTCAAGGACCTAACAGCCTAATGACTAATCCAAAGAAAATACCTAACCATTTTTACTTAGTGTAGTCTTTCCTAGAGAAAAAAAGACACTGGTCATTATTTTTTGTTAAGTCATGCTACTATTTTTCAGGAAATTGTCAAGCTAGCTACAGTTTCAAGATAGCTTAAACAAGTTAATAGCTAAACCAAGAATACTGGATATGATGTGCTTAAAAATTTTTTTTTTTTTTGAGTTGGAGTCTCACTCTGACGCCCAGACTGGAGTACAGTGGCCACTCCCGCCCACCTCAGCCTCGCCTGCTGGGCTCCGGCGATCCTTCCGCCTCAGCCTTCCGAGTAGCCGGAATTACAGGCATGCGCTACCATGCCCAGCTGATTTTTTTTTATTTATTGTAGAGATGAGGTCTCGCTGCCCAGGTGGGTCTTGAACCTGCGGGCTCAGGCAATCCACTCACCTCAGCCTCCCAAAGGCGCGGGATTACAGGCTGAGCCACTGAGTCCGGCTTAAAATTATATATATATATGCCATAATCTGAATTAAAACTTTATTAAGACAAAAGTAGCCAAGATTAGTTGAATGAATAGATTACACCGATTCAGACAGTCTTCAGATTTATTTTTATTCTTATTACTTACTTAGAGAAAATACAACTTACACATTATTTAATTAAACAGATGGAAAAGACAACTAATGGTCAAAATAAAAATCATGTAGTTCTTATTTGGTAACATATGGTGTTGTGTTTGTTTTATCTCATGATTACTCTTAAATCATCTGAACCATGCTCGTGATGTGGTTTAATCTATCAAGATGTGGTTTAATTTCACCCATCCTGTTAAAAGTATCAAGATATATATAGAAAATCATACTACTACAATTTTTAGTAGCAGTATTCTAGCATCCCCAAAATATAGACATTATTCCCTGTAATATTTTTCTCTCTAGAACATAATTCATTCTGTATTTCAGAGTAGAAACTGTCACTGTATCTTAGAGAACATAAATTAAGAGATATTCTAAATCCATTTAGTAGTTATTTATTCAGAACTTAAAAAACATGACCCCAAGCTAGATCATGAGTAAGATACAAAGTTATGGGGATAAAACTTAATTATCAGGCTTAGGGAATTTATACTTTTTTGGGAAGATTAGATATTTGTATATCTAATAATACAAACCTTGAAACAAGGTGTAATGAATGAGGAAGTTATGCTTTGTAAATAAATATAAAAGAGAAAACACTTCATGGATAGAATTGTGATTTGAACTGATGCTTGGGTAAGTTCTACTTTTTAATAGTTACACGCATTTCAAAAGAGAGACCGTTTAAAGAAAGAAAATAGCAAGAAACTGGGATAGAAAGTCAGATTTATTTGCTGAGCATGAGATAAGAACTATGGGAGTATGAGGATAGTATGAAGACTTGTAGTTGTGAGGAATTTGTTGGAGAAATGACAGAAGATGAAGGGTTGGATCACAAGTGCCTGACTGCATTCAGGAAAACTCTGAGGGTCTCCTAAGGTACTGTTTGATAAGATCTGAAGACACATGGTTCCTGCCCTTAGGAACTCAGTCTAATTAGGGAGCTAGCTAGGTAGATAAATAAATAATGTAATAGAGATGTGTATTTTTTGGCACTTAATCATACAGGAAGGAAGGACTAAATTCTGATAAGGGTGCACCAGAGAAGGTTTGAACAAAGAGTATGTGATAAAGGACTTAGCCCTTGGCATATAATAAGAACTCAAATATTAGCTCATTCTTCTTAGGTATTAGGGTTGACACAAATGTCTGCTTAGTTGAAAAAATAAGAAATTAATAAGAGCAGAACATAAGTGAAAGGACAGAGTTATTCTAGGAAAGTGAGTTTAGGGCACAGTGATGTGAGAGAGCTGTGGTTTAGAATTCAAATATGATAAAAAGAGAAAGTAGTGGCTTAATGTTTTAGAAATAGCACTGAAAAGCTACACGCCATCCATTAGGTCAAAGGAATAAGTGAGTGTGAGACTTCAAAATGATGTAGCAGTAGAGTCATATATAAGTGAAATTAGGGAATCAGAGAAATAAAAAATGCATCATTTTAGACAACAGAAGCTTGCTGGCAGTAGATGGATGATAGAAAAAACAGGGATGAGAGGGGTCATTGATAGCTGGAGGGAGGGTGATGCATAGATAATATACACACATATAGATATATACATGTCTATAGGTAGGGTCATCACTTACAAAGCTTGGGTAAGACAGATGATTATAGACTTGAGATAGGAGGCAGAGAGAAGTACTTAATTATAAGTTGAAGAGAAGAAAAGAAAAGGCAACCAGTGTACTACCAACTTTAGAGTAGAATACTCCAAAGAGAGAAGGTGCAAGCACACAGGCAGGCACTGAGTGTACACAGACACGAGTAGTTTACCCGTTCCTCAAAACTTTACATATATGTTAAATAACATGTTCTAATATTGACCCACAAGTCTCTAATACTATTGTTCCCTGTCTCTTCATCCATATAATTATTTCTGTTTCCTGTGTGTTTATTCATATTTATGTACAAATGCATTTTTCTTTCTTTGTTCTTGTGTACCTTTTCTTTGTCTTACCTTGAATGTACCTTCTGTTGTTGATCACTACCTCTTTCTATACTTTCTTCCTATTTTTTTCTTTTCTGTTCTAGTAGACTACTAAAATATATTTTCTATCATATTACTAATTGAATAGATTTTGACTCCTAGTTTAAACTTCAAAAACCCATAAAAGATTAATTTCTGAAAACAAGCAAAGCCTGCTTTTTATATGTTGGTTCTTAGTTCTTTTGATAGCATCTGTGGTCCCTAATAGAAAGAAAAAAATCCTACCCAACTTTTACAGACTCCCTGGGATGGTGGTATGAAACACAACATATACACAAAAAGATTAATCATTTTAAGATAGAATAGTTGAAAGATAAGCATGCAGGAAGTTTTTAAACCAAGGAAAAGAGAAGTGAAAATAGAAGTTAGATATTAAGAACATTATTTTCTGATTGCTACATTGTGTAGGTTTAAAAAAAAACCCTATTGATAGGAACTTTACCTCCAGGGCCCTCTACAACAAAGTTCACATTGTTAGTTAAAGAAATTAGTTCAGTTTACTTTTTTCCTTAGATGTATTTTCTGAGATGTATAATCACATGATTTCATTCAGGTATATGTACACTTTTAATTGGGCATCAAAATGTTGATAAATGTCTGTTTATGCAGAATTCTATTTTACATACATCAGCCTTGGCTAATGATTTATGTTTAAGATTGATCAGTGATCAAAAAGAAAATATCTATTTTGTGAGGATTTTTTTTAAATTCACAAAAAATTTGGTTTTTTTTAACTTTTAAAGATATTGCCTCAAAACCCTCAATTTTTTAATTCTTCTTTTAGGTGGGGAGCAGCCTATTCCTCTCTGGAATGAACATGATGGAACAGCAGATGGAGATAAGCCAAAGATTCTTCTCTATTCCCTGAACTTGCAGTTTAAGGTAAAAAAAAAATTAATAATGATTTTTTAGAGGTACTTTTCTAGTCAATTAATATATGCCTGTCATAGAAAATTCATATAATACTTAGATTACCAAATGAACTGTAACTATTTTTAATAATTCTCACAGTATTTCAAACTTTATTATTATTATATCTGTTATGATCTGTGACCAGTGATCTTTGATGGTACTATTGTAATTGTTTTGGGGCACTAAGAACTAACTGCACCAATATAGGAAGGTAAACTTAATCATTAAATGTTGTTGTACATCTCTCAATTTCAATCAAAAACTAGAAATAATTAGCTTTGTAAGGAAGGCATGTCAAAAACTACCATAAGCCAAAAGCTAGATCTCTTGCTCCAAATAGCCAAGTTGTGAATGTAAGGAAAACTCAAAGGAAATTAAAAGTGATACTCCAGTGAATACATGAAAGAAGACAGTCTTATTGCTGATATGGAGAAAGTTTGAGTGGTCTTGATAGGAGACCAAACCAACCACAACATTCTTTTAAACCAAAGCCTAATCCAGAGCAAGTCCAAACTCTAGTGCTGTGACGACCGAGTAGTAAGAAAGCTGCAGAAGAAAAGTTGGAAGCCAGCAGAGGTTGCTTCATGAGGTTTAAGGAAAGAAGCCATCTCTATAACATAAAAAATGCAAGGTGAAGCAGCAAGTACTGATGGAGAAGTAGTGGCAAGTTATCTGGAAAATCTAGCTGAGATTACTGATGAAGGTGGCTGCACTAAACCGTTGTTTAAACTAAACAGCATTCTATGGGAAGACACTAGATAGGAGAAATCAGTTCCTGCCTTCAAAGGACAGTCTGACTCTTACTAGGGAATAATACAGCTGGTTGCTTTAAGTGAAAAACAATACTTATTTACCATTCTGAAAATCCTAGGGCCTCTGTCTGTGCTGTGTAAGTGGAACAAAAGCCTGGATAACAGCACATCTATTTACAGAGTGGTTTACTGAATATTTAATCCCACTGCTGAGATCTACAGGTCAGAAAAAAGTATTTCTTTTAAATATTACTGCTCATTGACAATATACCTGGTCACCCAAGAGCTCTGATGGAGATGTACAAGGAGATTAATGTTGTTTTTTTTCATGGCTGCCAACACAACATCCATTCTGCAGCCCATGAATCAAGGAGTAATTTCTACTTTTGAGTCTTATTATTTAAGAAATACATTTCATAAGCCTGTAATTGCCATAGATAATGATTCCCTTGATAGATCTGGGCAAAGAAAATTGAAAAGAATTCACCATTCTAGATGCCTGGAAAGGTTTCACCATTCTAGATGCCATTAAGAACATTTGTGATTTATGGGAGGAGGTCAAAATGTCATATTAACAGGAGTTTGAAAGAAGTTGATTTCAACTCTCAGGGATGACTTTGGAGGATTTAAGACTTCAGTGGAGGATGTAACTGAAGATGTGGTAGAAATAGCAAGATTACTAAAATTAGAAGTAGAACCTGAAGATGGTACTGAATTGCTTCAATCTCAAAATAAAACTTGAACAGGTGAAGAGCTACTTCTTATGGGTAAGCGAAGAAAGTGGTTTCTTGAGATGGAATCTACTGGTAAAGATGCTGTGAACATTGTTGAAATGACAAGGGATTTAGAATATTCCGTAAACTTAGTTGATAAAGCAGCAGCAGGGTTTGAGAGGATTGATTGCAATTTTGAAAGCAGTTCTCCTGTGGGTAAAATGCTATCAAATAGCATCACATGCTACAGAGAAATCTTTCATGAAAGGAAAGTCAATCAATACAGCAAATTGTGTTGTTTTATTTTAAGAAATTGCCACAGCCACGCCAGCCTTCAGTAATCACCACTCTGCTCAATCAGTAACCATCAACATTGAGGCAAGACCTTCCAGCAAAAAGATTATGACCCACTAGAAGCTCAGATGATTGTTAGCATTTTTTTAGCAATAAAGTATTTTTTAAATTAAGGCATGTACATTGTTTTAGACATAGTGCTTTTGCATATATAATAGACTATAGTATAGTATAAGCATAATTTTTTGTATGCACTGGGAATCCAAAAAAATTGTGTGACTTGTTTTATCGTGATACTCTATTTCAGTGGTTGGGGAAAAAACCCGCAATGTCTCCAAAGTCTGCCTGTACCTGAAAACCAAACTATTTTAGTTATCTATTGAAAGATTACATTTGAGTAGGTGTATGTTGTTGTTTTAACATATAATGTTTTTTTTCCTTCTAACATATAATCTACTAGGGTATTCAAGTAACAGCCACCACTCCATCAATGAGAGCTGTAAGATTTGAAACTGGATTGATTGAACTGGAACTTTCTAACCGACTTCAAACCAAAGCTTCACCAGGAAGTAGCAGCTATCTGAAACTATTTGGTAAATGCCAAGTAGATTTAAATCTGGCATTAGGACAAATTGTAAAGCATCAGGTGAGTACTGAATATGTGTATATATATATTGATATTGGAACTGTGGCTGGCTTTTACATTTTGGGCATCAGCTCGAACTATTATAACATATATTACTATATTTACTATACTATACTATTACTATATTTACAAAAATATTTAAGTGCCTAAAATTTCTAATTGTATGTTCTAATGAAAATTCATATAAGTAGGCCTTTGCAATTTTATCCTTGGCATTTCACTGAGTATTTTGGTGGCATATTGTTATAGTTTAGTGCAAATGTAGTCACATGATTCGGTATCTTCATAAATATTTTCTTGTAAGTTTTAAACTTTTGTTAGACATCATTTTTTATTTCAAGGTCTTATGTTAACATTAGTTGGTTTTTAAAAATGTTTATTTCATAATTTCCCTGTTGAACATTGGCAAGTTTTGCATATAATAATGTTAAATATATAAAGTTCAAAAATAGACAGCAGTTAAGAGTCTCTATTCTATAAAAACTAACTTTCACAGCTTATTGGAGATTTTTTGTTTTTACAATGCTAAAAGTTATTATTAGGTTTTTTAACTTTTTTCTCTTTGATAAAAAACAAATAAAAGGATGCCAGTTAGTTTCAAAACTGAATTGTTACATTAAAGATTAATGTGGGAAGAAAAATGAACAAAGCTTTCTTATCATCTAGAAAAAAAGTAATTTTTTTCTAATATAAACACATTTTGATAAGTATTAATATATTTAGAATATGAACTTCATCCTAGCTTTTTAAATAAACTTTATCTTTACCTTTTATATGGTTATTTATATTGTATATTAATTTCAAGTGTTTATGGTACTGCATATAAGGAATATATTATTAACAGCTGAATTTGAGAAAAATATATTATAGTTCTTTTTAGTGAACAAATGCCGTCAATAGTGTTTAGGTTTTTTTTATTAAAATATTTTCTATTCTCTGATTTTAGTGAGTTTTAAATTTTTTTTAGGTATATGAAGAAGCTGGTTCTGATTTTCATCAAGTTGCCTATTTTAAAACTAGAATTGGATTAAGAAATGCCCTTCGGGAAGAAATCAGTGGTTCTTCAGATAGGGAAGCTGTACTTATTACCTTGAATAGACCAATTGTTTATGCACAGCCTGTGGCTTTTGATAGAGGTAAGAGAAAGTAAATCATTACTGCCTTCTAAGATTTAGTCTTGCTTTGGTAATGCTAGATTAAAAATCTTTTGTAGTTTATCAGTGTAAATGCTTAATAGCTAAATGTCTTCTAAATCTGAAATGTGAGCATCTAAAAATTTTTTTCTTGCTCTTTCCCTTCAGCTTTTAAAAGTTATTTTACATTTTAAAATTATTTTGCTTTCTACATGGATACATAGGAGTGTCTGATTCAGATGTTTTAATTGTGATGCTGTTTTTTGGTTTCGATAACTTCGTGTTTTGTGTTTCTTTGTGTTTTAGTACCGTGTTTATTGATTTATTCTGTTAACATTATGTACTGTCTAGAAGTGGACTACAAAAATGCCACCGGGTTCTCTGCTCTCAAGGAACCCTCAGTGCTGTGGAAAAGAGAACTAAGTAGACTGCAGAGTGATGTTAGAGGTGTTCTAGGATTGAGGGAGTCTCTGTGTCTGTGCTTCTTAGAGGGGAAGCTAATTTTCCAAATTTGACTTAGAGTTAGGACGCTTCACTTATTTACTTTTATATCCCAGTGACTGTTTTAGGTGTTTAGTAGGAACTAAATAAACATTTACCGAATGGGAGAAAATATGAATGAGTGTATATGAGCACAGAGGTCTAAGAAAATATGGCAGCAGCTTTTGTAAAAGAAAACACGTAAAAGAAAATAATAGGGAAGAAGGCTGAACAAGTAGACAGGGTCTAATTAATGTGAATTGGGTAATGTGTTTGAATTCTGTTTTAGAGGTAATGAGGAACCATTTAAGATTTCAATTACTGATAGGCATAGCCTGGTAATAAAATCTTTTTGTCAGAAAATGGCCCTTTGGCAGTGTTATAGATAACATTTTATTTTGCTGAATTGTGTGCATATGTTTTCATTATAATTTTGCCAACTTCTCATCAGCTTTCACCTTAAGATATTTTCTCTTCTTGGTGTCCTTGACACAATACAGGTTAAGTACTGGCTATTTGAAATGTTAGGTACTAGAAGTGTTTTAGATTTTTTCAGATTGTGAAATATTTGTGTGTGTGTGTGTGTATGATGAGATATTTGGGGATGGGACTCAAGCTTAAACATGAAATTAATTTGTGTTTCATATACATCTTAAACAGGTAATTTTATACAATATTTTTAATATTTTGTGCATGAAACAAAGTTTTGACTACATTTAACTGCAACCTGTCAAATGAAGTCAGGTGTGGAATTTTCCACTTGTGGCATCTTGTTAGTACTTAACATGGATTGGATTGGAGAATTTTGGATTTTAGATTAGAGATGCTCCACTAGGACTTTACTCCTACTTCTCTGAACTCTCCATCTTTATCTCCTTTTTAGAGGCTCCTCCATATTTGGTATACACTGCAGTGAAATGACAGTTTTCCATACGTTTTATTTCTTGTTGATGGACTCAGTCTTCTTTGACCTTTTCTTCTAAATCAAATCCTTGTAACGTATATTCCTAGCATTATGTACCTTTCCTTCAGCAATTTTTAAAAGTAGTAACTATGAGCTCTACAGTTTAGGTCAAGTACCATGTCTGTTTTCATTGGTTATTCCATCCAGTGCCTAACGTATGATAGGCATTTCACAAATAAGTCACTGAATGAATTAATTAATTAATCCACCTGGATTTTCTTCTTCCTCCCACCATTATGTAATTGCCTGTCTTCTGATTCATTTTTTTCATTTGTTAATGAAAAATGTTTGACTATATGTCTTCTTAGATCCTAATTTGAATGCTATACTTTTCTGGGAGTAATTTTTATTAATCATGATTTTCCAACTGTTAGGGTATATTTACCATATAGATTTACAATGTTGATTTTAATTTTCTTTCTGCTTGCCTTAATTACCAAAAGCTGTGCTGTTTTGGCTGAATTACAAGGCTGCCTATGACAACTGGAATGAACAGCGAATGGCTTTACATAAGGACATTCATATGGCTACAAAGGAAGTCGTAGATATGCTACCTGGTATCCAGCAAACATCAGCTCAGGCCTTTGGAACTCTTTTCCTCCAGCTCACTGTCAATGACCTGGGAATTTGTCTACCTATCACAAATACAGCACAGGTACAAAAAATCAAGTCATGTTCCATGATTAAGAGCCAGCCATTTCTATGTAACCTTTTTAAAGTATGTAGAGTATAACAATAACATTTTCAGGAAAACAGTTTATAACTATTTACTAGATAGCACGTTTACTAGAATTTAGTAGATGGCAAGTAAGATTGAACTCCTTCAAACATTATTCATCGTTAATATATTAAATCTGAATCTCATGAGACTTTTCTCTGAAGCACTCTGATATTCCTCAGAATAGTGATAAGATTGATACCTTCTGATAACTCTTAATTTTACCTTGATAAATAAGAAACTTAGTTTTTAGAATTTTTGTTTGTTTTTCAGTAGAGAAATCTTTAGTATAGACTTGGTTATAAATGGAAATGAAAGGACATTTAAGAATACTGTTTAATAAACATCTATAATAGGGTAGGGAATTCCAAAATGCTTTTAAACTGTAATATTAAACGGTAATGAAACTTCAAAGTTATGTATACACTTGGATAAAGCAAAAATTTTCCTTTCATAATTTAGGACCAGTTCTCAGGAACACATATTTGCATGCCCATGGGTGTATAAGAGAGAAAAAGCTATGAACACCTGTCAGGCCAAGAAGTAACAGTTATAACAGTAGAACACAAAGGTCTATATTTTACTGTTATAATTTATCCTAAATAACTTGTAACCAGTTCTTGAATGTTTTCCTTTTTAGGATTCTGTTTGGTAAGACAGTTTTAGGAAAAAAACTTTGTGTTGAGGATGGGCAACTTTGTTATGTTTGTTTCAGGAATTGAAATATGGTAGTTTTTTAATGGCATGATGGACAGGACTTAGGAAGGTCACATACACCAGGGGTGAGTATCATAGTGAGAACACATCTCTATAAACTAAAAAAGAGGCTTGAGATAGAAAAGTAAATAGCTTTTTGCAAGTTAGGTGAGAAAAAATGCATGGGGCAAATGCATTTCACTTGAGCGATGTAATTTTTTTTTTTTTTGAGTTGGAATCCCACTCCATCGCCCAGGCTGAAGTGCAGTGGCACGCTCATGGCCACCCCAGCATCGACCTGCTGGGCTCAGGCGATCCTTCTGCCTCAGCCTTCCAATTAACTGAAACTACAGGTGTAGGTTACCATCCCCGGCTAATTTTTTGAATTGTAAAATGAGGTCTCACTAAGTTGCCCAGACTGTTCTTGAACCTGTGGGCTCAGGCAGTTCCCTCACCTCGGCCTCCCAAAGTGCTGGGATTACAGGCTTGAGCCACCATGCCCAGCCGATTTAATTTTTTTAGTCTTTTTCTAAGCTGTCTTTTAATGATGATGTCTAGACTTGACCCTTTCTAGATTTTTGTTCCTATGAATCTTGTGAGGATCTCTAAATTTAAAAAATTGTCATCTTTTAATCTTTCTTCTTTGTTGATATATTTTGCAGTCTAATCACACTGGAGACCTTGACACTGGTTCTGCTTTGGTATTGACCATTGAAAGCACTCTCATTACTGCTTGCTCTTCAGAGTCGCTGGTTAGCAAAGGGCATTTCAAAAACTTTTGTATCCGTTTTGCTGATGGTTTTGAGACATCTTGGGATGACTGGAAACCAGAAATTCGTGGAGATTTAGTGATGAATGCCTGTGAGTGTCTTTTTATCTTTTATATGTGGTTTAGAATTAAAAATAAATAAAATAAAACAGTGAATCTCCATTTGTAAAACCAAAGGATATTTAGATATAGGAATATTTTTAGACTTTGAGAAAGAAGGGATATTTTTAGTTAAAGATAACAAAAATATTTGTGAAAAACTGTAGCTTTTAATAGTTTTGACAGGCAAACCAGCCTGGCATTCTTTTGGGTAGTTTGACATTTGAACGTTTGCTTGCTCCTTGATTTTTCCTGTAATTATGAATGACCAGATAAAGCATCTTTGTCTGATGAGGATCTTGAAAGACAGTGATAAATGTGTATGATTCAACTTATCATAAAACATAGAACAGATTATAAATAGCTGAGAACAGGATCCTCAACCTTAATTAATATTGATGTAAACAAATCTATATCTCCAAATCTGTAAGCAATACAGAGTGTAACACATGAATTCTTCCAATTCCGTAATACTCAAGGCTGGGTATAACTGAATCTGTGCTTATATGTTAAATTGAAGGTATAGGCATTTATTTGCATTAATTTTAATATTATAAATATTATAACAGTTGGTACAGCATCATTTCTCTTAATATGAAGACAAATTGTAATTGAGGTGTTAAAAGGTTGTGAACTAAAATTCTTCAACCAATCTTACAGATTAAATAATACTTAATTACTTTTTAGAAAGTAGTATGCCATTGTTTATGTAATTCTTTTTCCTCTCTCCACTGGAGGGGAATCTTTCTAGTTATGGATTTTCTTTTGGGGAATGGGAAGACTTTCCATTTTATTTTATGCCAAAAATTAAAGTTTTCACATTCAATATTAACTAAAACTTAGAGAAAATTATGAATGAAATTCATAGTTTTGCAATATAGGGAAGGAAAATATCTTTTCCTTCTATCCTTTAAGGTTCTCTGCTGGGGCCCCTGTAACAAAAGACAGATTAATGAGAGAAATGCATACAGATTTATCTAATATAAGTTTTATGTGATATGGGAGCCTTCATAAGGAAATAAAGATTAAAAAAAAATGACTAAACCTCAGTGTTTTTATATGAGACTTGAAGAAGAGTAAACAATTGTAGAAAAATGTGAAAGAATGAAAAGGGGCATGAGTAAACAGTTGTAGAAAAATGCGAAAGAATGAAAAGGGGCATGAGTTAATGGCAGTAAACTGGGGGAAACTTACCAAGGTCTGTGTGTTCAGATTCCTTTTAGTGTCCCTCCCTTTTAAAGCTAAGGATGTGCCTTTCCTCTCCATATAGGAAGGGCACCTCTCACGTGGGGTCATATGACCTGCTTCAGAGGAGAATAAGAGTCCTTCCTGCATCTGCTCTTTCTCAGATTCCATTAGCCTAGAATATTTGGTATGCCAAGGTACCGTTTTGGAGGGTAGTGTGACCTAAACCCCATCAAATGCTTTGCATTTGGATAATCCATAGGTAAAATACTAGGATTTCTTTGAAATGCTTCAGGTTGCTGAGAAGACTTGATACCAAAGTACTCATGCCTATTGTCCAAACGACCAGTATTAGTTTTCATCAGAAATCTTTACAGATTATCATTTTACATAACAGTTATAAATGTTTTTTGAAAAATCTCTAACTTATGTTTTTTTTGGTTTTGCTTTTTTTCTTAGTAAAAGGTAAAAATAAATTTAAACTTACTGATTTTTATTAAGGTGCCATCTTTGCCATCACTGTATTTATTAAAATAAGTTGAATATATTCGGAAATAAAGGAAATATACTATTTCCTTAACAGTTTATCTTTTTTTAAATCTTTGTTTATAAGGTAGATTTATAAGAAATATAAAATAATATGCCTCTGACTCAAAGTCAGGAACATACATTAAAAAATGAACAAATAATGATTCAGCACCTCTGTATATATTCTAATAATAATGTAGAACACTAACATGCTGGTAATCATGATAATCAGAGTAATTTATCTTGCGCTTTAGAAGGGAATAAATGACTTGCTTTTGGAACGTGCTTATTGTTTGGGTTTCTTGGGAGGGGGGCCATAACAAAGTGAGCAGAGTAGTAGTTTTATTGAAATAATTATAAGAATTCCAAATAACTAGTTTACTAGTTTGTAATTGTTATTAATAGTTAATTGTACTTGTATATAGCTGCCATTTCATAATTTTTTAAAAATAGGACAAAGAAATAAGAAATGATAGGATTATGCCTAGAATTATTTTTGGGGGGTCATTTAAAAAATACATTCTATGCCAGGTGTGGTGGCTCACTACTGTAATATCAGCACTTTGGGAGGCCGAAGTAGGAGGATTGCTTGAGCCCAGGAATTCAAGACTAGACTAGGCAACATAGCAAGACATCATCTCTACAAAAAGTCAAAAAAAAAATAGCCAGGAGTTGTAGCATGTGCCCTTTAGTCCCAGCTACTTGGAAGGCTGAGGAAGAAGGATTACCTGAGCCCAGGAGTTCAATACTGCAGTGAGCCATCATCATGCCACCACACTCCAGCCTGGGTGACAGAGTGAGACTCCAACTCAAAAAATACAATAAAATAATTAAACATATCCTAGACTAAAAGGTGGCCCAGTGAAATTTTGTCTCTAGGTGATAATGTTTTTTGGAAAATGCAGTAAAAATTAGAAGGGGATAACCTATAGGAAGAGTTCATAAGACCATGTAAGTAGATGGTAAAGATTAAACCCACTCCATCAACATGTATTGAAACAAATTATATAAATTACCAGAAATTTGAAAGACTCTAAGCTCTCTGTTAAAACCTGGGAAGCATTCAGTCATCAGAGCAGAAAAACTGCCATCATGAATTCAAACTAATAGTTAATCCAAATCAGCATTGTCTCTGATACAGAGACCACACTTATTATGGAAAAATGTCTAGTTGATTTTTCAGTCTTCATTTTCAGGATTCAGATTTGCTCCAAAAATCATAATATTCCTTATTAATTCATCATAACTGTATATTCTATAAACTTCTATAATCATTTCCTAAACTTAATTTTTAAAAATTCTCTGCTACTTTTTGAGATAGGAAATTCTACTAAAAATGTTCTGCTCCTTTTTTATTTACTAGTTCTTTCTTTCACTTGGCCTCAATTATGTTCCTCAAATTTCAAAGGGTTTTCTTTTCATTCTAGCATTCTTGGATTTGAAAGGCTAATGTAGGTTTTATTTGTTCTGATTTGTAACCATGACTATAAAAGTGACTTGGGTGATACCCCAAAACCAGATTTAATTCTCAATTTAGAATTTGTGCATGAAACATAAGTACTACATGGTTCAAATATATAATTTAGATTTTAAAGTTATTGGCAATATCTGAAAAAGAAACATATAATAGAAATTGTCACTTAATAACAAATAGATCCTCTTTTACAAACTAAGTTATAATGTTTCTAAGTTGGGAGGATTTTTCCCCTTTTTGAAATTTTTCAAGGAAAGGCAGAAATTTAATACCAGAGTACCTAGAAAATGAATATCAAGATAAATTTAAGCAACATTTGAATACCAGTTTAAGGTTCAAAGTGAGTTGCAAAAGAGCATTTCATTTCAGATGTATGTACTGTCAAGATTGATATTTGGTTTCTTTTAAAGATTACTGAGAAAAGTCTTAATTTATGTTTAAAGTTTACTTTGTTTAAAAATTGTTTCAAGGGTAATATGTCCATTACTGTATTGTTGAATTTATTTATCCTTATTTTTGAAACTAAAGTTATCAGATGAAAACTAGGTGGTAGTAAATGTTTCAAAGTTAAAGTAGATATGTTCTGTAGCTCCATGACCTAATGATAATGACATTATGGCAGTCAGCCATTTTTTCTCATAAAATGTTCCTTGTCAAAAGAGAAGACAAGGCTGACCTAATATGGCAGTTCTTAGTTATCAAAAATTCTGTTTTAAATCATTTACAGTCTCAACATGCCATTTACTCTTGATTGCACAAACTGTCATAGCATTATGGATGTTAATAGAAAAACCAACTAGAGTGTCAAAGTAGGCCAAGTGTTGTTACTTAGATAAGGAAATCACATGCAAAAAATAAAGCCAAAATTGCAGTTAAATTGTTAAAACACAGAATAGAATATTGAGAGATATGGAATAGGTTTTATGAGTCATTAGGATAGCCTTTTCTTTCTACAAATTAGGAACTGAAGCCTAGAGAGGCTAGTCATCCTATTTATATTTAGATAGTAGTTTTGGGGTGAAAAATTAGAGTACAATATTTAATCACAAGCGTATTTTTATTGAAAACTATTTTGGGGGGTGATTTTTTGCAGGTGTAGTTCCAGATGGCACTTATGAAGTATGTTCAAGGACTACAGGACAAGCAGCAGCTGGTAAATTCACATTCAGTATTACCTTTTCTACATGTGTCAGGTAGAATTCTGCCTTTAACTTAGTAGCAAGAGAATCCTTTTGCTAAGCTAATTTATGATGTTCGCTAATTTCTAAAAGAGTATTCCACAATAGTATTAGCACATTTTTATTTCTTTATTTAAAAATTATTTATACACCTGCAGTGTATAATATCTGCTACAAAATGTTTTGGAAATTAAAAAGATTAATAACAGCTACTTTCTATCCTTCATTCATTTAAATTCTGATAATGTAATTAAGACACATGCAGCAAAATTACGTTGAAATAAATGGTATGTACAATAAAATTTAAAAATCCAGTTGTTACTGAAATGTATAAGAAGGAAAGATACTTTCCAAACATGGGAGTATACTGGGATCAAAGAAACTCCATGGAAGAACAGACACTTAAATAGGGACTCACAGGATAGATAAAATGTTTCTTAAACAAAAGCTGGGTGGTATGGGCCAGAGAAAACTCAGATGGAGAGAATAGCACCAATCATGATGCTAAAGCACAGTGTCTATTTAGAGTTGTCCATGCTGGCTGGAACAGAGCCATCTGAAAAATAAGATGAGAAAATGTTACATGCCAAATTAACATTGAACATTTCTGAATGAGAAAGCAGATGGTGATACTGTCAAAATGACACTTGCCAAGATTAGAGGGCAAAAAAGCCTAGGAAACCAGTTAGGAGAAAACTATGAAAGTAGTAACATGTCTTGACTATGATGATAGTATAATGTAAGTTTTTATTTCCACTTTTTGGGTGAGTTAGAGAGAAATTTATTTAAGGGCTCTTAAAATGTTGAAAGGGTAGATACTAACTATAGTTAGTAGATTTCAGGTCTCCCTTTACCATTCTCTGTTGTCCTCCCCAAGTCTACCCTCAGTGCTCATTCTAAATTAGTTATTTCAGAAAACACCAAGGGCTAGAGTCCCTTTTGACAGAGAACTGTAAAAGTTAGGAAATTTCCAGCAGAGGTGACTTAAAAGTCTTTGTCACAACAGTCCACTCAAACGAGCTCAAAAAGGGATACTTATTAAAAAGATATTTGCAGATTACAATTAAACTTAGGAATGGCTATTACAGGGACGAGAAGGAGTCAGGTCAATTCAGAGCCTTAGGAAACTAGTGGATCCAAGCCTTGCTGTCACCAGGCTTCTTTCTAGAGCTTGCTTTGCTCCCCTCTGGCTGCCTTTTTTTTTTTTTTTTTTTTTAACTGATAACCTCCTTCTTACACAAGGCATGAAGTGTGGTTACACAGAGTTCATGAGCCTCAAAAGTTGTATTAGAGTAACAACTTTTCCTCAATTCCAGGGAAAAGTTATTTTCCAGCTTTGACCTTCACCTAGACCTAATTAATTCTGTTTAATGAACTAGTGTCTTGGCATTTCCCACTATAGCCATGAGATGGTAGATCAGCTTGGAGGTGGAGGGGGCAGTTTGTAGTTCACAGGAAAAGGAACAATGTTATACAGAAGAAACAATAGATACAAATTATTCCATAGTCTAATGTTTCTGACAAATATAGCTGTGAAAGACATTAGTTATCATATATGGCTATCATCCATTTTATTACTGAAGTGTAGATTATTTAAATTTTTTTACTCAGGACTTACTAAAGATGCCACTTCTTTATTTAAACAGAAAGTAGTAGTGCTGGAACCTGGACACTCAATGTGTTGTGGAAAATGTGCGGGATTGATGTCCACATGGATCCTAACATTGGCAAGAGGCTTAATGCTCTGGGCAATACGCTCACAACATTGACGGGAGAGGAGGACATAGATGACATTGCTGACCTAAATTCAGTGAACATAGCTGACCTGTCAGATGAGGATGAAGTTGATACTATGTCTCCCACTATCCATACTGTAAGTAAACTCACTGTTAGAATTTTACAGGATCAGCTTTTACCCTGAGACAGAAATATTATTAATTCAATGTTATTTAGTATATTATAGTTGCTGTTTTGGAGAAAGGGAGGGAGTGGTGCTTTCTGTGTCTACATTTCATAATGTTATCTTTTAGTTGAGTTCCATGCTTCATAATGACAGTCCTTCTGCTGTGCCTTAACCTATAGGTAATGCAATAACATTAACAGTGAAGTGCAGGCAAATCTATGGAGATAGAAAGTAGGTTAGTGGTTGCCTAGGACGGGGAGAGTAGAGACTGGGACAGAGGAGGGGAGAGAAAGAGGCCACTAATAATTATGAGAATTCTCTTTGGATGCTGAAAATGTTCCCAGCTGAGATTTTGATGATGGTTGTATAACTTTGTGAATATGCTAAAAGTGACTAAGTTATACATTTTAAATGGGTGTATTTTATGGTATGTGAATTATATCTCAATAAAGATGTTAAAAATGAATCTCAAAAACAAATGTACATACACAAAATGAGAGTATACATTTAAAAATATGTATTTCCTTCTCTACTATACAGTCTATAGTATCAAGTTATTTAGTAATCAAAAAGAAAGTTATTCTGATTTCACTGGTATTGATTTTCTTAAAGTATTTTAAGCATCTTTTTAACTATTGTACCATAAAATAGTTTTGTTCTTGGAAACAATTTTTTTAATTAATATTCCTATTTATTGTTTAGAGTTCAGATGGAGGTTCAGTAAGTGGAGATGGCCACAAACTCACCTTTGGGCAGCGACTTGTAAACCACCTACTAGGCCTGGCACCCCCAAATCAGCGCTATTCTGTTCCTGCAGAGTATCTGTATGACCCCGAGCTGTGGGGCTCCCCTCATTCTAGCCAGTCCCACTTGAAAGCATGCAGAGCACACTCATGGGGAAACGTAGGTAGCAGTTAAATAGATTCCTTATACAAATAAAGGGATGTGAATCAATAGAGAATTCCAATCATCTTATTTAACATAGATAGCTTTGATTCTTGCATGCTTACTTTGATTTAAGGTGTTAATTTTGTAATAGTATAGCTTTGCTGTGTGATCTGGGGGTGGTCTTGACATATGTACGTTTGATTTTTCAGGAAGCTGTAGATTATCGAAGACAAGGAACTACCTCTAGCCAGCCAGGAGAACTTAGAGGAAGAAAAATTATGAAGCGCATAGTGGATATCAGAGAACTGAATGAGCAGGCCAAAGTAATAGATGACCTGAAGTATGTATAGTGATTTTTAACTTAATGTTAAAAATCTAATAATAATGTTATCTAATAATATGAGCCTAGGATGTTAAATATGGAAGAAACTGTGTTTGGGTTAATACAAACCATTTGGTATATCAATGGTATCACCAGGGTCTAGAGAAATGTAATAATTTGCCTGAGATAATACATTCATTAGTGATAAAGTTAGGCACAGAATCCTAGTCTAGTGCCTTTTTACAACTTCCTCATTTCTGAGCACTTCATGACTGGCACTATGTCACATACACGTATCTCTATGTGTGTATATATACTTATACGTATCTTCACATGCATATATACATATATGCATTAGTCTTTTGCTAACATTCGTATTTCTGGAATGCAATTTTTAGAAAGGAAAAAGTTAGTATTTATTAAGTGCCTGCTGTTTGACATATGTTATCCGAATTTAATCCACACAATGTTTCTGTGAGGTTGGATGGCATTATCCAAACTTTATTGATAAGAAAACTGACTCAGAGAAGCTAAAGAATTGAAATTTGAGCTTGTGTGTGTCTGAATTCAAAATTCATGCTCTTTTTGTTTGTTTGTTTGTTTGTTTTTTGTTTGACTGTATTAGCATTTCTCTAGAACTGAGGTGGGGGTAGGATGAGTTGAGAAGGGGTGTGGTAGGTGGTAGTAATCTTTTTTTCTCTGTCACCTGCTGAATAGTACTAAGATACTTCCTATGTAAGAATAAATTTTCTTCTTGGTAAACTTCAAAATTTTTGTTTTCCCAAAATGCGATGGCTCATCTTTTCTATTATGTGTACACCTGTACCTGTGGGGTTTTTTTGTTTTTTGTTTTTGTTTTTACATTCAAGGACTTTACACAGGTACACACATTTGGTACAATAAAAGGTGTTGCCTAAAATTTGTCTGTAAATTATCATATGGTGATTCACATTTTTCAGTTAACTTACATTACAATTTGAATTTTGTTCTCAGGGAAAAAATAACTGGAAGCAAATATACTTCCTCCAAAATCTTACCTGAGGCTTACATTATATGTAGAATTTTACATACAGACATTTTTCTGCAGAGTGGGTCTATGGCTTTCATGAACTTGCCAGAGACCATGATGCAGCAATGGGTAAGAAGTGTTTCCTCAAACGTTAGACAGAAGGTGTTTTTTTGTTTGTTTTTTGTTTTAATAGTTTACCAGATATTAGTGTCAAACTTATAGAGGGGTTTGGTACATAATTTTTGGTGTTTTGACAAGCTGAAAGATTAGGAAGGAGAAAGTTAAAATCAATCTTATTTTGTTACTTCCTTACAGTAATTGCCATATTTGTTTTGTATCCAGAAAATTAGGTGCAAGTGAAGGAACCATAAACCAGGAAATTCAGCGTTACCAACAGTTAGAATCTGTGGCTGTAAATGACATTCGAAGAGATGTTCGGAAAAAATTACGAAGATCCAGTATGCGAGTGAGTTCTCTTTTCTTCCAGTGCTAATGATAATACCACCTTATTTTTTCATATACCTACTGTTTGAAACACTTTACATTTAACAACCCATTACATTCTCACAACAACTCTATGAGGTAATTTGTGTTATTTTCTCATTTTAAAGATGAGGAAACAGAGAGAACAAATAACTTGACCAAAGTTATACAGCCAGTAATCCTGGGGAGCCAAGATTCAAACTCAGGCAGTGCCTTAGCCACTGTTTTTTGTCTGCTTTTCATGAAATTACAATTGCATTTTAGTCTCTAGTATGAACTTCGCAAAAAATATGAACTCTGTGAAATCTTTTGAGATGTCCATTTTTTCCCATCCCCTTCTCCATGGTCAGAATTTATTTCTCAGCCACTGTGTACACATGGCACATTATTCTTATCTTTATTTTTTGCGGGTTTAGTTGGTCCCTCCACCAGTTTGAGTCTAGTAGTGACAAAAAATATTTTGAACCATTTTGCCCCTTTTCTGCTGTGTTGTTTTAATTACAGACAAATTTTTTAGAGCAGCTTTAGGCTCTCAGCAATTAAGAGGAAAGTATAAAGATTTCCCATATAACCCCTGCCTGTACACATACATAGTCTCCCTTGTTATCAATTTCCCCCACCAGAGTGGTACATTTGTTAAAACTAATGTACTACATTGACACATCATTATCACCCATAGTTTACAATAGGGTTCACTCTTGGTATTATACCTTCTGTGGGTTTGGACAGCTGTATTAGTGGCATGTATCTACCATTGTAGTATCATACAGAGTAGTTTCACTGCCCTAAAAATCCTCTGTGCTTTGCCTACTCATCCTCCCCTTCCCCTAACTTCTGGCAACTACTTATCTTTATATTGTCTTCATAATTTTTCCTTTTCCAGCATGTCATACAGTTGGAATCATACACTGTGTAGCCTCTCAGATTTGCTTCTTTGACTTACAGTATGCATTGGAGTTGTCTTTTCATGGCTTGGTAGCTCATCTCTTTTTAGCACTGATATTCTATTGTCTGGATGTACTATCGTTTATTTATCCATTCACCTATTGAAGGACATTTTGGCAGCTTCCAAGTTTTTGCATTTATGACTATAGCTGCTATAAACATGTACAAGTTTTTTTTGTGTGGAGATAAGTTTTCAACTCTTTTGGGTAAATACCAAGGAGTACAATTGCTGTGTGGTAAAAGTATGTTTCACTTTCTAAGAAACTGCCAAACTTTCTTCCAAAGTGGTTGTACCATTTGCATTCCCACCAGCAAAGAATAAGAGTTTCTGTTGCTCCACATCCTTATCAGCATTTGATTTTGTCACTGTTCCAGATATTGATCATTGTACTAGATATGTAGTGATATCTCTCTTTTTAAAAATTTATTATTGTTATCTTTTGACAGACATACTCTTGTTGTGTTGCCCAGGCTGGCCTTGAACTCCTGGGCTCAAGTGATCCTTTCACCTCAGCCTCCCAAGTACCTGGGACTCCAGGCACATGCCATTACACCTGGCTTTGTTGTTTTACTTTTCATTTCCCTGATGACATGTAATTTGCTTATTTTCTGTCTGTATATCTTCTCTGTTAAGGTCTTTGGATCCACAGAGTAGAATTTTTTAATTCTAATGGAGTCCAGCTCATCAGGTATTTTTTTTCATGGGTTGTGCCTTTGGTGTTGTATCTGAAAAATTCTTGCCATACCAAATATCATCTAGATTTTCTATGATATCTTCTAGGAGTTTAGTAGTTTTGTTTTTTAGACTTAGGTCTGTGATTCATTTTGAGTTAATTTTTGTGAAGGATCTGAGTTCTGTGTCTAGGTCCATGTTTTTGCATGTGGATATTCAGTTGTTTCAGCACCATTTGGTGAAAAAAACTTTGTTCCAATGTATTGCCTTTGCTCCTTTATCAAAGATCAGTTAACTACATTTACGTGGGTCTATTTCTGGGCTATTCTGTTCCACTGATCTATTTGTCTTTTCTTTTGCCAATACCACACTGTCTTGATTACTGTTGTTTTATAGTAAGTCTTTAAGTAGGATAATGTTGGTCCTACAACTTCTCATTCAGTGTTGGCTATCCTGGATCTTTTGCTTCATCATATAAACTTCAGAATCATTTTGTTGATACCTACAAAATGGCTTGCTGGGATTTTGATTTGGATTCTATTGAATCTATAAACCAAGTTGGAAAGAACTGACATCTTGATAATATTGAGTCTTTTTATCCATGAATATGGAATATCTCTCCATTTATTTAGTTTTTCTAATTTATTTCATCAGTTTTGCAGCTTTCCTCATATATAGAACTTGTGCATACTTTGTTAGATTTATTCCTAAGTATTTCATTTCTGGGGGTGCCACTACAAATGGTATTGATTTCAAATTCCGCTTGTTCATTGCTGTTCTGTGAGAAAGTGATTTACTTTTGTATATTAAAGTTGTATCATATAGCTTGCTATAATTGCTTTTTAATTCTAGGAGATTTTTTGGTCAATTATTTGTATTTTTTGCATAGACAACCATGTCCTCTGCAAAGACAGTTTTATTTTTTCATTCCCAATCAATATACCTTTTAATATCTTTTATTTCCTTATCTGTTAGCAATTTGTGTCTTTCTTTGTTTTTGTTGTTGTTGTTTTTTCATAGTTAGCCTGACTAGAGGCTTATCAATTTTATTGATCTTCTCAAAGAACCAGCTTTTGGTTTTATTGATATTTTTCTTTTGATTTTCTATTTCTGTTTCATTGATTTCTGCTCTAATTTTTATTATTTCTTTTCTTCTACTTAATTTGGATTTAATTTGTTCTTCTTATAGTTTTAAGTCTTTAGACAACTGATTTCAGATCTTCCTTCTTTTCTAATATATCCATTCAATGCTATAAACTGCCCCCTAAACACTGCTTTTGCTGCATCTTACTAATTTTGATTAGTATGTTTTCATTTCCTTTTAGTTAAAAATATTTTAAATTTATTCTTGAGATTTTTCTCTTTGACCCATGTGCTATTTAGAAGTATGTTGTTTAATCTCTATATATTTTAGGATTTTTAAAAATAGTTTTTCTTTATTTCTTTTTTTTTCTAGTTTGAAAATAATATGCCTAAGTGTAGTTCATTTGGGCATTTATCCTGCTTGGTGTTCTTTGAGCTTCCTGTGTCTGTGGTTTGACATCAGATATTAATTTGAGGAAATTCTTAGTCGTTATTGGTTCAAATATTTCTTCTGTTCCTTTCTCTTTTCATTCTCTTTCTGGTATTCCCATTACTCTCACACCTTTCGTAATTGTCCCACAGTCCTTGAATATTCTGTTCTTTTTTCTTCAGTCTCTATTCTCTTTACTTTTCTTTTTTTTTTTTTTTTTTTTGAGTTGGAGTCTCACTCTGTCACCCAGACTGGAGTGCAGTGACCGCTCCCGGCCACCGCAGCCTCGACCTGCTGGGCGCCAGCGATCCTTCTGCCTCAGCCTTTCAAGTAGCCAGAATTATAGGCATGCGCTACCACGCCCGGCTGATTTTTTGTAGAGATGAGGTCTCGCCTGCCTAGGTGGGTCTCGAGCCCACGGGGCTCAGGCAGTCCACTCACCTCAGCCTCCCAAAGTCACAGGATTACAGACTGAGCCACCGAGCCCGGCACTTTTCATTTTTTTAAGGTTTCTATTGTTAAATCCTCAGGCTTGGAGATCCTTTCTTCAGTCATGTCCAGTCTACTAATAAATTCATCAAAGTCATTCTTCATTTCAATAACATAATTTTTTACTGCTATCATTTATTTTTGTTTTCTTCTTAGAATTTTTCTCTCTCTGCTTACACTTGCCAACTGTCCTTGCTTGCTGTCTACTTTATCCATTAGAGCTCTTAGCACAGTAACTGTAGTTGTTTTAGATTTCAGGTGTGATAATTCCAACATCCCTGCTGTCTGGTTCTAATGATTGTTCTTTCTCTTCAGATTGTGTTTTTTTGAGACTAGTTTTTTTTTTCTTGGTAGCCAGACGTGATAACCAGGTAATGGAACTGCTGTAAATAAGCTTTTAGAGATTTAATGGTATGTATCAGTAGAGAGTAAGCATTTTATTGTCCTCTAATTAGGTCTCAGTGAGTCTATGCCTCTGGACTGTGAACTTCACAGTGTCAGTTGTTTTCCACCCCCCCAGGTGAAACAGTATGGCTAGAGCTGTGTTGGGTATTTTCTTTTCCACAGGTCAGCTGTGCTTTGATAATACTCCCATGATAATACTCTGATAATGCTCCAGTTTAGGCTCTTGTTAATTAGTTTCTCCTAAGAGTAGAAAAACTGAGCACTCTGGTATTGTTTCAGAATGGTTCCTTATCTCCTCCCCCTGCTGGAAGCCTGAGGGAATTTTTTCCCCCTGCATTTACTGTAGGGACCTGGTCAAACTCTTGACAGAAAATCTTATAGTACTGTGGCGGCATCTTATGACTGTGTCCTCGGAATTTTTAATCTGACTTGTCTGCACTGACACTCCAGCGACTCATCAATTAAAGCTCAGGTTTTCCAACCCCATTCCTATGGGATCCTGTGGTTCCTATGGCAGTTTCCTATGGCACTTTCTACTTGTGTGTCTCTGTTCTGGGAAGCTGTACTTCCCTGTGTTTACCTGTTTCTCTAGTCTTGGGAGCAGAAGCTTGACCTTTGTCTTCCCCTCTTTTGCTGATCCAAAAAGAAGGATTGTTGATTTCTAAGTCTGTTCCAGCTTTTTACTTGCTGTTAGGATGGAATAGTTATTTCCAAGCTCCACACATGGAGCTGAAAACCAAAAGTTGTAAAACTACTTAAAGATAAATGGACTTTTAACTTCTTAAAATCAACAGAGAACCTTCCATTTTTTTCTTTACCAGAATGAGGTTTTTGGGTAGCACCCCAATATGTAAAGAACATATTAAATCAGAACTGTGGGGGTCAAGAGATGGGGGAAAATTCATGGCAGGGATTCAGGAACCATTGACTTAACTTTCCCTTGATCACCCATAAACTCCCAGAGAACATAGTTTGAAAATTGTCTAAATTATTTATGTAAATTCAAGTTAAAATCCAATTTATTTATCACTGATCTTGATAGTAATAAATGGATAGTGATAATCTGTATTGTATAATTCTGTGTTTTAACTTTTTCTACCTACCTAACAATCATATGCTAAAATTAAAATATTGCTTGCAGAGGCCAGGCTCAGTGGCTCAGCCTGTAATCCCAGCACTTTGGGAGACCTAGGCAAGTGGATCGCCCTGAGCCCGCAGGTTTGAGACCAACCCAGGCACCTTGGCGAGACCTCGTATCTCAAAAAAAAATTAGCCAGGCATGGTAGCGTGCGCCTGTAGCTCCAGCTACTTGGAAGGCTGAGGTGGAAGGATCGCCAGAGCCCAGCAGGTCAAAGCTGGGGTGACTATGAGTGTGGCACTGCACTCCAGCCTGGGTGACAGAGTGAGACTCCAACTTAAAAATAAAATAAAATATTGGTTGCATCCTATTGCGGGTTATACTTGGTAATTAACTGTTAAAATTAAAACTAGGTAGAATCAGAGAAGTTGCCAAAACGACATCTGTGTTCTTAACACTTGCCTCATTCTGCATTTCTCTCTCTTACTCCCTTTACCATCTTGAATTCCAAACCTTCACCTTCCTTGTTGTAATGAAGAGGCATTCTGCAGGAGTGCCATTAGATAGTACTAGAGATGATTAGTGGTCTTTTGTTCCTACTTCCCGGTGCCTAACTTTCTCCCAGAACTTTTAAATTCTAGTTTTCTTTCTCCATTCTTTTTAATCATTTCCTTTCTTCTCACCTTGTTTCTATATCACTCACCCCTGCCCCCTTATCTTTTCATTCTTTTCTCTCAGGTCAGCTAACATCTCATATTTTCATTGCACAGCCCTTATAATTGATATTGGGACCAAAAGATTGCTGATTCCTGCTTTACAGTGATCTCTCTATATTGTTAGGTGACATTTAATGTCACTTGGGGAAAACATACTAACTAATAAAATAATAGAATGTTTTCTTCTATCTGAAGTCAAATATTGTGATAATAAACAATTGCGTATACTCACCTTTTTTGTGCTCTCCTATTTCATTAGGCTGCTTCCCTAAAGGATAAGTGGGGTCTGAGTTACAAACCAAGTTACAGCCGATCAAAAAGCATTTCTGCTTCTGGAAGACCACCTCTTAAGCGAATGGAAAGGGCAAGGTAATATATATATTTCAGCCAATGAAATAAAAAATAAAATTCTTGACTCTTTTACCAAAGTTCACTACTTTTTTTTACTGTGTTCTACTTATAAAATTAAGATAACAAGAATTAAGCTTATTAGTAAAATAGCAATAATAGTGGATACTTAGAAGTTTATAAAACTTAGAAGTTTATTTGAGGAATTCCTCTATCATACTTGTACCACAATGCAGTGTGTTTTTAGTAATGAAATGCACTGCTATTTAGACAAGTTTTGTTTTTTTTTTGGACTCTCACTCTGTCACCAGGCTAGAATACAGTGACACACTCACAGCCAGTCCAGCATCAACCCGCTAGACTCCAGCGAGCCTTCTGGCTCAACCTTCCAAGTAGCCAGAACTACGGGCATGAACTACCACGCCTGGCTAATTTTCTTTTTTTTTAATTGTAGAGGCCAGGTCTCGCCAAATTGTCTGGGCTGGTCTCGAACCCGCAGGCTCAGGCAATCCACTCACCTTGGCCTACCAAAGTGCTAGGATTACAGGCTGAGCCACTGAGCCTGGCCAAGTTTTTCTTTTTAACATAGAACTTTGGTTCAGAATGATAGACAAGTTTCATGTGTAAATGTATAGACTAGCCAAAGAAATTAAAATATGTACACTAGTAACTGCTGCTTTAAGTTTGTCAAGCTAGAAAAGTTGTAATTGCACAGAAATTCAGCATATGAAAAAAATGGAAATTTTTTTCTTTTATTGAAGTAAAATAACCGTTATACTAGTAAAACAGTACAATACAGAAAGTACTATACATTCTTTTATATAAAGTTTAGTTTTGAAAAATCTTGAGTTAATCAAAACTTTGAGTCTTTTATGTGGGATGCTAAAATTTAAGAAACAGAATACAGAAAGTACAATCCTTTGAATAGTATCAGTATTTAGAAATAGAATGTTATTGCCATTAATCAGACTTTTATAAGGTCCAGGAATATTAGTGTTTCATAACTTTATATTTTACTTACAGTTCTCGAGTAGGAGAAACTGAAGAGCTCCCAGAAATCCGTGTGGATGCAGCATCTCCTGGACCTAGAGTAACTTTTAATATCCAAGATACAGTAAGAGATACACATTGCTAAGTAGTTTTTGAATTATGGTATCATACATTCCAAAACACTGATTCCTGCCTATAGTGAAATTATGGAATGTGATGGTCGAAGTGTCTATGTTTTACTGACTAGTGAGGTGCTATACTCATGCCATCATCTGAGAGCCATGCGGCAGGTGTTAGTGTTTTATATGCACAATAAAGACTCTGTAACTGCTTTCTCTTGGGTAGAAAGATTTTTGCTCAATAATTTTTCTTTCAAGTGAGAATTCACATTAAGCTATGTCTTACACAAATGTAAATATGGAATATTAGAACTCAGTTATGTATTTCAGTTAAATATATAGAGAGAGATGGTAGCAGAAACTAGAAGGTCAGTTTTAAAGTTGTATACTTATTTAGCATGTTAAAACTTATATTAAAATGTTTGTTTTTTTGGTATATTTGTCTGCTTTTAAACCATTGTTATTTTTCATGAGTTTTTAAAACATTTTTTTATTATTTTAATTAAGTTGAGATATACAGTACGGGGAAGTACACCACAATCCAGCTGTCCTGGGAAAGGGTATTTTCAGGTACTTATTAAGAACAACATAAATTTTGCTTTAAAACTAATCAGGCACCCTGCAACTTTGCTTTCAAAATGTCTCCCTCATTTCAAACTAAACTCAGTCCTCTGAAATACTTCACATAAAGGTTTAAGATTGTTTTAATTCTTCTTCTCCCTATATATCTCATAAGCTTTTGCATGCATATATCTCAGTATTATACTTCTGTGTAGTTTAATATTATTTTAACCTTCAAAATTAAGACTAAATCAGCATATCAAATCAATTCAACCAAATCATATCCAAAAACCACAATTCATTAGTTATTTGCTCATCTTTAAGTAAATCAGTTTTTCCTCAGATTCAACTACAAAATGAATCTTTTCAGAAACAAAGAATAGTTAACTAGTTTAGATTAGAATCAAACTTAATTCAGAACAGCAAAGTAATCATTGAATGTTATTTTCAGTCACTGATATAAGAAAGTATTTATAACACTATCCATTTAAAAATTATTCTCATGTTCAAAACAGTGTGGGTAATGTAATACATAATCACTTATAATTCATATTTTATATGCCAAATATTTTAAGTATAAATCATAAAAGTAAAAATAAACTTTAAAAGTATACCAGATATATAAATCTTTGTCTAGATTTTTTTCTGTCCGATGACATTTAAAAACTCTCACTTATTCCAAATATATTTTGTTTCTCTTTCTTTACTCTCTTCAAGCTTGAGTCTCAATGTATATTCTAGCATTACACTGAATTCAGTCAAACTGAGTTTTATTTTAGAATTCTTTGTAATATAATTAGCTTGGCAAACTGTCCTTTTTTCTTAAAAAATAAAAAACTTAGAATTAATTTACATGAATTGAGTAGATCTTACTAATTTGGTGACTCTTAAAGGGATTAATATCTGGAGTGATTGATGTTCTGTTTTTTAAATAGCAATGTACTCTGCTTGTAAAAACTGTTGTATAAAAAATAGTAAACTAGATATTGAGATTAGATATTAGATTTTCTAATTGTAAACTAAAATATAGATAAATCTAAAATACATGGGAGGACCAAAAAGAAGCCAGAATTATTTTTTGAAGGGCGAGCCCTTTGTAGTACAGGTTCCCTCACTAGGTAAGTGTTCTAAGAACCCATCAGCATCAATATACCAGCTAGTGTTGTTGTGAGAGGCTGCATTTAGCTTCAGTTCATTTTGGGGGGCCTAGGGTAGGGGGAGTAGAGAGTGTTGCAGTGCATTTGTCCATTTCATGATGGATGATTTACAAACACACCTATCCACACCACACTGAGTAATCAGCAGTTTTTCATCAAAAACAGTTTGACCTCCATGTCCCACCCTCCCTATTCCACTCAATCTTGCTCCAAGTGACTTTTTTTGTTGTTGTTTCCTGGATGAAAAAAGTCCTCAAATGGAAACATTTTGCCAATGTGGTAGAGGTGAAACAGAAGAATGGCAAAAGCACTAAAAGGCATCAAAATTGTTGAATTCAAAAACTATTTTGAACAGTAGAAAAAGCACCTTGATAGGGGTATTGTATCAAATGGATAGTAATTAGAAGATGCCTGAAGTTTAAACATATAATACACAGTTTTTTATTAATAAATTCCAGGTTTATTCCAGGGGTCCTCTCTCGTAAATATAAAACATAGAGACAGTTTATCTACACGAACTTAACAGTTTTAAAAACTGGAAGATGTTCTGACAAAATCTGATTTGCTTGTTTACTCAGTAATACGTATACTATGTAAAGAACACCTGGATTCTGCAAACGTTTGAAATTTTGGTTTTAGTATTTCACTATCCAACAGTAGTATTCACTAGCTTTTAATAAAAAATTTCACATAGATTACCTTGCACGTTATTCTTTACAAAGGCTTATCATTACTCAAGCGATTCTTTTTTTTTTTCTTTTTTTTTGAATGGGAGTCACTCTGTCGCCCAGGCTGGAGTGCAGTGGCACGCTCATGGCCACCACAACCTCAACCTGCTGGACTCAGGTGATCCTGCTTCAGCCTTCCGAGTAGCTGGAACCACAGGCATTCACCATCACACCCAGCTAATTTTTTTAATATTTATTATAGAGACAAGTTCTCGCCATGTTGCCCAGGCTAGTCTTGAACCCATGGGCTCAGGCAATCTTCTCGCCTCAGCCTCCCAAAGTGCTGGGATTACAGACATGAGTCACTGTGCCCCGCCCTCAAGCAACTCTTGAAACTGGGAATCGAAATTAGGTCATAAGAAGTTTTGTTTTTTGATCTACTTAAATGCAGTGGCCTCCTGGCAAAATCCTGAGTTAGTGACATGTTATTTATACAGACTACAGTTATCCCTCGGTGTCCATGTGAGATTGGTTCCAGGACCCCTGTGGATACCAATACCCATGGATGCTCAAGTCCTTTATAGTAAGTAGTGTAGTATTTGCATGTAGCCTATGTACATCCTCCTATATACTCAAATCATCTATAGATTATTCATAATAAATAATACAATATAAATGCCATGGAAATAATTGTTATATTGTATTTCTTTGTTGTTGTCCCATTTTATTGTTTTCCCAAATATTTTTAATCTGCGGTTGACTGAATCTCTATTTTCCTTAAAATACAGCATTTTTAAGTTTGACTGATTGACACGTTTTATTACTCAACTATTTACACATCTTTCTGAAACCCACAAAGGGCTCATTTTTAAAACATATATCCACAAAAAGCATCGACTGGCATGATAAGATAACAGTAGACTTTATACTGACACTGCATGCTCTTCCATCATTAATTGCTCTTGCCATTCTGATTTATAGTTGATCTTATGTGTTTCTTTTGTTTTCTCATGTTATGTTTACTAATTAATATGATAGGTGTTTATAAGGTAAAATTTTATTCTGATTTTTAGCATGTTAGTAATGTGACTTTCTGTGGTTTGATCTTCTGCTTCCTTCCCTAGTGTACCCTTTCATATGTTCATACATGTGACCTTAACTTCAGTTCAAAGTGAGACAATTCAACTCTGGGAGAATTTTAAAATGTTTAAATGTACATATTTCTTCTTCTTTTAATTGAGAAGGAACATGAAATATGAATCGATTAATGTTTTTATTTTGTTTTGTTTTTACAATTAGTTTCCAGAGGAGACAGAACTGGACCTTTTGTCAGTAACCATTGAAGGTCCATCCTATTATTCATCAAATAGTGAAGGATCATGTTCCGTGTTCAGTTCTCCAAAAACTCCAGGAGGCTTTTCACCCAGCATTCCTTTCCAATCTGAAGAGGGCCGACGGGATGATAGTTTGTCTTCTACCAGTGAAGATTCTGAGAAGGATGAAAAGGATGAAGATCATGAGAGGGAAAGGTTTTATATTTACAGGAAACCCTCGTGAGTAACCTTTTAGTTTTAAGATTCTTAGGTTGTATTTCAGAATTTAGAAATGAGCATAAAAAATTTTATATAACTTAGCTTTTACCAAAAAAAAAAAAAAATCTTAATATGCCTAGCTTGAGCGAGACACATCCATAGTTTAGCTCCGTATAGCATTTTTTTTAAAAAAAATTATATGGGTTTATTCAAATCACTGAACTTTAGTTATTTATCCAGGATAATCCTTGTCAAGAAAATGGAAATAAAGGTGTGGTTATGAGTAAATAAAGAAGAGGGCTGTATTCCTCCTGGCATTAAAAAGTAACAGATTGCAAGGAAACAAATAATGGTGAAGTCTAGTTAAGAAAAATAGTAAAGGGAAGTGGTTAACACTGTGGGAAAGATTTTAACAAATTCTTGGACAAATAAATAAGATGAAATCGTGTTAATGAAATAAAAGACATGTGTAGACATGTATACTCAGGAGGAGCTGCGAGGATCTTTGGGAAGCTGATCTACTTTAACCACCCTCAAGTGAGGTTGTGACAGTAATAGTAAGAGTTTCTGGTAATGGTTATGACAAGCTGGCTTAGTATAGGAGTAATAAGAGTGACTGAAATGTAGTCAGTAAGACACTTCAGTCTTCTCCATTCTGAGCTCTAGGAATTCTTTCTTCCTTTTCCTAGACTGAAGCTACTAACGCTTGAATCCGATATGTCAGCATATTTTGGTTTATTCCCTCATTTGTTACATAAGTTGTCATACAGATCTATTTTCTTGATTATTTTTTCATGTCTAAAATAACTTTATTGTTCTAATGTTTGATGGATTGTTGGGTTGGCTGCAGAATTCTAGTCTAATATTTATTTCTTCTCCTAAGTAAGAAAAACTCCATTTTCTTCCAGCGTCAATTTCTACCATTGGCTGGTTGGTGTCCTTTTCAGTTCTGTAAATGTGACTTGGGGTTTTTGTGTGTGTGTGTTTTTTGATATTTTAATGTCTGTTTTCTACCTGTGGTCCAGATTTGAGTCTTTTCTAAACAATTTTTTAAGTGTTTTGGTATTTGTTGAAACATAATTTTTGAATTTAGTTATAGAAAGATTATTTTATAGTTGTTTGGAAAAATTCTCCCCTTTGTCTTCAGTTTTCTCTTCTAATAGCAATCCTGTAATTCAGACAGTCATGCTTCTGGACAGATGATCTACTATCTCTTTTCTTTTCATGTTTTACACTGCCTTTTAAAAAACTATTTAAGTCAGTTTTATTAAGATACAATTTGCATTAGTGTAACTATGTTTTTCAGTGTACAATTTTATAAGTTTTTTTTAAAATTGTAATTTATTTTGGTAAGAACACTTAGAGCATGTGGTCTACCCTCAACATTTTAAATGTACAATACAGTATTATTATCTGTAAGCATCGTGTTGTCCAGTAAGTTCTCTAGAACTTATTTGTCTTGTATAATTGAAACTTGATACCTGACTGATTAGCAACTCCCAGTCTTCCCCTCCCCTCAGCCCCGGGCAACCACCCTTCTATTCTTTGCACCTATGAGTTGGACTGTTTTACATACCTCATGTAAGTGGAATCATACAGTGTTTGTTTCTGTGACTAGCTTATTTCATTTAGCATAATATGTTCAAGTTCATCTATGTTGCATATTGCAGCATTTCTTTATTTTTTAAGGCTGAATAATATTATATATGTATACCACATTTGTTTCCACATCTTGGCTATTGTGAAAAATGCTGCAATGAACATGTGAGGGCTAATATAATCTCTCTGACATCCTGATTTCAGTTATTTTGGATAAATGCCTAGAAGTGGGATTGCTGGATCATATGGTAGTTCTATTTATAATTTTTTGAGGACCCTCCATATTATTTTCCCTGGCAGCTGCACCATTGTGCATTCATACCCACAGTGTACAAGGGTTCAGTTTTCTTCACTTATTTGCCAATTCTTGTCATTTGTTTTTAAATAGTGATCTTAGCAGGGATCAGGCAATATCTCTTTATGATTTTGATTTGCATCTCCCTGATGATTAATGATAATGAGCACCTTTTCATGTATCTGATAGCTGATTCTTTGAAAAATCTCTGTTTAAGTTCTTAGCCCATTTTTTTCATCAGGTTATTGTTTTCTTTTTGCTATTGAGTTGTGGGAATTTCTAATATATTTTAGAAATGACCCCCTTATCAAATATATGCTTTACAAATATTTTATCCCATTCCATGGGTTGCGTATTCATTCTGTTAACTGTTTCTTTTGCTCTGTAGAAACTTTTTAGTTTGATGTAGTTCCACTTGTCTTTTTTTTGCTTTTATTGTCTGTGCTTTGGTGTTATATCCAGGAAACGATTGCCAAGATCAGTGTCACAAAGCTTTTTCCTATGTTTTCTTCTACAAGTTTTATAGTTTCAGGTATTTTGTAGTCTTTAATCTATTTTGAATTGATTTTTATGTATGTATGGTATAACATAAGGGTCTGATTTCATTCTTATGCATGTGGACATACAGTTTTCTGAACACCGTTTGTTGAAGAACATATGGCATTATTTTTCTTTCCTTGTTCTTTTGTATTTTAATAAAATATGTAAAGTAGCCTTTAAATTTTATAATTTTAGAAAATGAAGTTTTCTCCAACATACACAATGTAGTTAATACGTTGATATTCAAACTCCTTAATAGCAGTGAGTATGCCTGTGTCCTCATCACCTTGCACATTGCCTGGTATATAATTGTTACTCAGTACACAGTTGTTGAATAAAATGTGACTCCATTAAACTTAGAAAAACTTAATTAGTATGAGCTAATTGAGTAATTTCTGTGAATTTATAAAATAGTAAAATATATTTACAAACTGTTGCTCACATAACATATTGGAAAATAGTTTGTTAAAAAGACTTCACATTTTATTACAATGTAATGAACAAATTATTCTTTCTCTAGACATACATCTCGTAAAAAGGCAACGGGCTTTGCTGCTGTTCATCAACTATTTACAGAACGCTGGCCAACAACACCAGTCAACAGAAGTCTTAGTGGTACAGCTACAGAGAGGAATATTGACTTTGAACTTGATATACGGGTTGAAATTGATAGTGGAAAATGTGTACTCCACCCAACCACTCTTCTACAAGAACATGATGACATAAGCTTGAGAAGGTAAGAAATTGGTTGAAAAAGGTACATCTAACTTCATCTGTTAAAAATACTATTCATATATGACTGAATTACAACAAACGTCTCCCTATCCCAAAATATGAATTTTGTTGTCTGTTTTATTTTTGAGTCGAGATTTTATTCTGTTGCCCAGCCTGGTGTGTGGTGTCAGAATTATGGCTCACAGCAGCCTCAGCCTCAACCTTCTGGGCTCATGCAATTCTTCCACCTTAGCCTCCTAAGCAGCTAGGACTACAGATGCAGGCCTCCACGCCTGGCTAATTTTTTTTATTTTTTTGCAGAGACAAGGTCTCGCTGTGTTACCTAGGCTGTCTCAAACTTGTGGGCTCAAACAGTCCTCCTGCCTCAGCATGACAAAGTGCTGGGATTGCAGGCGTGAGCCACATGCCCAGGCATAAAATGCAAATTTGAATAGTAGATGAAATCATAGTTGTAATGATCAAGTGGTTATTTCCAATATACAATTTATTTAAACAAGTGCATAGTATTTTCTGGGAATTAGAAATGGATGTTTGACTTAGAGTCTGGCAAATTTGTTAATTAAAATAATTATATCTTTGGAATTCTTTCAACAGGCATGAATTTCTGTCTCTGTCCTTATATACATTTCAGTTTTAAAGAACAATGCTTATGCTTTTTGTTTTGTTTTGTTTTGTTTGAGTTGGAGTCTCACTCTGTCGTCCAGACTGGAGTGCAGTGGCCACTCCCGGCCACCGCAGCCTCGACCTGCTGGGCTCCGGCGATCCTTCCGCCTCAGCCTTCCAAGTAGCTGGAACTACAGGCGCCCGCTACCAAGCCCGGCTAACTTTTTGATTTATTGTAGAGATGAGGTCTCACCAAGTTGCCCAGGCGGGTCTCGAGCCCACGGGCTCAGGCAATCCACTCACCTCAGCCTCCAAGGCACGGGATTACAGGCTGAGCCACTGAGCCCAGCAATGCTTATGCTTAAATGTAATGCTTAGTGGTATCTTGGTTATTGAGAATTTTGATGAGTTCATAAAGAAATAAGAAAGACTGGGAGACAGTTGCACAGAGGCCTCATTCTGAAATGTTGTTTACAATATAACTGCAGCTTTACTATCTGTTTCCATCATTAACTAAATGATGATATAAACTGGCTTAATTTTAGATTATTTTTTCTTTGAATTTTGTTTTGCATTTTTTTCCTAACCTAAAAGTGAACTGTAAAAAAAAAAAAGGTTTAATTGAGTGGATGAGTTGATAGGTAGATAAAAAGAATGACAGAATGCTGACAACAGTTGAAGCTGGGTAATGGGTATATGGGGAATTATTAATAAGACTATTGTGTTTACTTTTTATATGTTTAAAGTTTCTATAATAAACTAGTTTGTAAATGAAGGTTGTATAAAATGAGAGAAAATAAAGACACTTTAAACAGTTAAAATCTCTTACAAGTGTAGTAGTGTTGATAAAAGGATTGACAGTTGCTTTTGTTGTTGTTGTTACTATATAAAGGGTAGTTTCATTTGATTCAACCTAATATGTTCAAGGGAAGTAGTCATGACCTTAAGAAAGAAGAAAGGTAACTACCCTATGTAGTTAAAGGACATTCAACATTTAAATCACTCGTATAAGACATTAAGCAATCTAGCTGGATATACTGATGATCTTTACGTTCTTAACTTTTAAAATAAAGGATTGCATTCCATTTACTATATAAATAAAATTTTGCTTTTACACAAAAGAGATGAATGTATCCTTTTTAAAAATATAAACTTTTTATTTATAGGAGTTATGATAGAAGTTCCAGGAGCTTAGATCAAGATTCACCTTCAAAAAAGAAGAAGTTTCAAACTAATTATGCTTCTACCACACATTTAATGACTGGCAAGAAGGTGCCATCATCTCTTCAGACAAAGCCTAGTGACTTAGAAACAACTGTATTTTATATTCCTGGAGTTGATGTAAAGGTAAAAACTAATTGTCCAGGGTAGAGGATTAGATTATTGGTAGCAATGTTTATTTCTGTCATATCAGGGGGTCCCACAAAAAGCCAGAATTATCTTTTGGAGGGCAGGCCCTTAGAAGTACAGGCCTCCCCCTCTAGGCAAGTGTTCTAGGCACCCATCAGTTTCAGTGTACCAGCTAGCATTGTTGTGAGAGTCTTTTGGCTTCTGTGATTTTGGTTTTGGTTTTTTTTTTTTGAAGATGCTATCAACACATTTCTCCATTTCCTGATGGGCGTTTTACAAGCCCCCTGCCCACACTGCACTGATTGTTCAGCAATTTTTGACCCAAAACATGACTATCATGCCCACCCACCCTATTCATCCAGTTTCCACCTGAGCTACTTTTGTTTCCCTGGATGAAAAAAGTCCTGAGAGAAACATTTTGCCAATGTGGACGAGGTGAAACAAAAAACGGTAGAATCACTAAAAGACCTCAGAATTGACAAGTCCAATAGCAGTTTTGAGCAGTGGAAAATGTGTCTCGATGGGTATATTATATCAAATGGAGAGTACTTTGAAAGTGACTGAAGTGTCAACATGTAAGAATAAGTACACACTTTTTTATAAATAAATTCTAAGTTTTTGTGGGATCTCCCCTCACATATGTTCATTTTTTGCTCATTATATTAAGAGTCTTCATTTATACAGTATTTTTCATGAAAGTTTGGCAGAAACAATTTTTTTAAATTGATATTCATAACACACTTTCTAAACTGTGCCTAGTGCAACTTTATTAAACAACCATTTTTAGATTCTAGAATTATAGACTACTTAGCTGGAAAGGACATTAAAGATTATCTGGAATTACCTTTTTAATTTTCAAAATGAAAAAAAGCAAAGAAACTTGCCGGGATTGCAAAGCTAACTTGTAAAATTTAGAAGTGAGTCTTCTGACTCCTGGACCAGTGGTTTTGTTCCTACCATATTTTCTACATTTCTTGGTTTTCCTCATCTGCATAATTTTAATTTTAAAAGTTTATTTGTTTTGATACAGTTGCATTACAATTCCAAGACACTAAAGACTGAATCACCCAATGCCTCCAGGGGATCTTCCTTGCCAAGAACACTCTCCAAAGAGTCCAAGCTGTATGGTATGAAAGATAGTGCAGCATCTCCTCCTTCTCCTCCCTTACCTTGCACTGTCCAGAGCAAGACTAACACCTTACTTCCTCCCCAGCCCCCACCTATTCCTTCAGGTATTTAAGGAGTATATATTCTAATTTTTGTCATTAAAAAAAAAATTTAGTCATCACCTGCTTGCTCTATTGAAACTTTAAAATGCATATGCTTAAGAAAAAGGACATAGACTTTTCAATAATGACTATTCAAAGTTCATTTACAGAAGTATGAGCCAATTACTTTTGGCTGTTTTTAAAACTGATATTACTTTAGAATATCTGTTATAAAATAAACTTAATATACCAAATAGTTTACTTAATTTTTAGGTCTATGTATATTTAGAAAAGAGTAGTTTTATGTAGTTCAAATTTGGGAGCTTATAATGAGATGGAGGTATCAAATTTATCAATTAAGACAGAGCACATTGGGCTTAACCACACTTATTATCTATTGATGCATAATAGATTACCCTAAATTTAGTGACTTATACCATCAGACATAATTTCTGTCAGTCAGAAATGCAGGAGCACTTTGGCTCAGTGGATTTAACTCATAGTCTTTAATGAGGTTGCAGTCAAGATGTTGGCTAGGACTGCTGTCATTCGAATACTTAACTGGGGTTAAAGGCTAGAATATCTGTTTTCACCATGTCCCAGTTACATGGCTGGCTAACTAGTGCCTCAGTTGTCCCCATGTGGGCCTCATGAATGGGCTTCTTGAGTGTTCTCATTCCACGGCAGTTGACTTCCCTCAAAAGAAGTGATCTAAAAGAGAACATGGCTGAAGTTGCAATATCTTCTATGGCCTAGCCCCAAAAGCACTATCATCACTGTCACATAGGTCAGTATGGGAGGGAACTACACAAGGGAGTGAATACCAGGAGGCAAAAATCATAGACAGCCATCCTGGAATCTCGTTACTGTAACACATAAATGATACCTTACTTTCATGGAGGAATTTCCAAAAAAGAAAATAGTGGCTATACAATAATTATTTGAAAAGATATCACTTGGAAAATGAAATTTGATATGTAAACCTTTAAATAGCAATTATGATGCTAATGACTAAAATTTTTTATCACTTTTCAATTGACAAGACATATCTATATCCATTAAGTGTATGGCAGATATTATCCCATTTTAGAAATGAGGAAAGTTTAAGCTCATACAAGTTGAAAATCTTTCCTAGATTTACACAACTAATGAATATAAGTGTTGAAATCATGAGCCAAAATTAACTAAGTCTTTGTTAGATATTCTACTCATTTTATGAAAGCAGAAATATTTAGTTACGTAGAAAGAAAGATAGATGACATCCCATGTAAGGAAGCATTATAAATATGTACAAGCTAAACATAGGAAAACCTGAAAAAATGTTTTTCTTCACTTGCCACTAAATATTGTTAATGTTTAAGTTCTCTGTATCTTCTTAAATAGACAATAGGACTAATGCTGACAAAAGACTTAGCAAGTTATAAAGTTGAAAAACTGGACCAAAACTTGTTACCTAGAGCAAGTAGGAATAACTGTCTTATATTGTATGTCATTAATCAATTATATTTGTATTCTAACACTAATATATCATTTTCTATCAGCCTGCTGTATTTCTTGCTTTCTTGTAAAGTCTGAGGTGTTTCACCTGATTAAACTTCAATATAATTCTAATTCCTCACAAAGTTTTATGTTTAATTGGAAACTTTTATTAAATTTCACTAAATGGAATTTATTAATATTCTAGCCAAAGGAAAAGGAAGTGGAGGAGTAAAAACAGCCAAGTTATATGCCTGGGTAGCACTTCAGTCATTGCCAGAAGAAATGGTCATTAGTCCCTGCCTGCTAGATTTTCTGGAAAAAGCTCTAGAAACTATTCCGATTACACCAATTGAAAGGAATTATACAGGTAATTCCTTTATATTCTTTATATACTTACTTCCCCATCACATATATTTTATGATCCTATTACATAGAAGATTTTCTTAATGCTATTATATGTTATTATTAACATACACAATTAAATATTTAAAAGAATTATAGAACCAAAAGAGAACTTTAGAGATCATCTAGTGCTCACTTACATATGAAGAAACTAAGTCCTGGTGAGTTTATATAATTTTCTCGTGGCCACAGTAGTTAATGAAAAAATTAACATCCTTAGGTCCTACATTAGTATGTCTCTTGGACAGGAATCTTCTTGAGGGGAAGAGCATAACCACTGTTTTCTTTGTACATTGTTTGGCATAGCCACAGGCAAATGTAAGTTTAGGGGAATGAGCAAGAGGTTTGACCAAGTTAAAAGACTAGAATGATGGGCTACAGAAGCAAATATTAATATTTCCAAGTGTTCATACCTCTGGAATCATTAGCATAAGAGATAAGGATCTCTTAATAAATTATTTGCCCTTGGCCTCATAATAAAACTTAAAACTAAATATTTTAACAGCTATCAGCTCACAAGATGAAGATATGGGACATTTTGAAATACCAGATCCTATGGAAGAATCAACAACATCACTAGTATCATCTTCTACATCTGCTTACTCTTCCTTCCCTGTGGATGTCGTGGTTTATGTACGAGTTCAGGTGATATACCTCATTTATTCCTTTTTGTTTTAAACAAAAACGTGACTGGGCTTGGTGGCTCAACCTGTAATCCTAGCACTTTGGAAGGCCAAGGCGAGTGGATTGCCTGAGCCTGTAGATTCAAGACCAGCCTGGGCAACTTGGCAAGACCTCCTTTCTACAATAAATCAAAAAATTAGCCTGGCATGGTAGCATGTGCCTGTAGTTCCAGCTACTTGGAAGGCTGAGGCGGAAGGATCCCTGGAGCCCAGCAGGTTGCCGCTGGGGTGGCCATGAGTGTGCTACTGCACTCCAGCCTGGGCAACAGAGTGAGATTCCAACTTGAAAAAAAAAAAAGAGAAACGTTTTTCTTAAATTTATTTGAATATTTTAACATTACTTCCCTTTAAAGCTTTCTTAACCTCAGACTCATGGACCTTTATTATGGTGATAACATCTTGGAGGTTGTCTGACCTCTAGAAAGTATATGTAAAATTTTGTCTATACACATGCTCCTCAACTTACAATGGGGTTATGTTCCAGTAAGCCCATTGTAAACTGAAAATAGTGTAAGTCAAAAATTCATTAATATACACCTAACCTACCAAGCAGTATAGCTTAGTCTAGCTGACCTTAAGTGTGCTCAGAACACATCAGCCTACAGTAAGGCAGAATCATCAAACTACAGTGATGAGTAGCTCACGTAATTTACTGAATAGTGTACTGAAAGTGAAAAACAGAAAGGTAGTATGGGTACTTGAAATATAGTTTTCACTGAAGGACTACCACTTTCATACCATTGTAAAGTAGAAAAACAATAAGTCAGAGATTGTCTATATTAATTTCTCTACCAAGAAGATTCATATATCTTTGAGTTTTCAGATTTTAGATCTCATACTTTTGTAGCAAAAATTAAAATATGTAAGTTATAACTCTTTTTAAATCATTTAGTGGCTTTTTTTAGTTTTGAGTCAGAGTCTCATTCTTTCACTCAGGCTGCAGTGCAGTGGCATGCTCATGGTCACCACAGCCTGGACCTGCTGGGCTCAAGTGATCCTTCCACCTCAGCTTTCCAAGTAGCTGGGACCACAGGTGCACACCACCATGCCCAGCTCATTTTTTATTTATTATAGTTGCCCAGGCTGGTCTCAAAGCCCTAGACTCAGGCAGTCCTCTCACCTTCACCTCCCAAAGTGCTGGGATCACAGGCATGAGACACCACTCCTGGCCTAATGCTTTTTTTATTATGGCACCTTTGTTTGTTGCAATTACAGTTCCTTCTGTGCACATATAAAATGTATTAAGATATAAAGTCAATAAGTATCTTTGTTAAAATATTTGCTAAGAGTTACATAGTTTTTATATAACATTTTATTTTAAAATGCAATCCTATCAGTGGGCATTTGAGTATACATTAGCATCTGATTAAATCTATTTATTAAGGAGAATTTGAAAACTACTCCTCACCATACTTTAGGACCTATTTTACCTTCGTTTAAAATCTTACAATCAATTTTAAGAATAAAAGAAACACTAATGGTCATGTGTTTCAGATATTTTCAATAATAGCAGTTAGGCCAAAAGAGCTTCAGTCTGATATTCTGAAGTTTATCACCAGCTTTTTTGAAGGTCTGATGAAAACACATAATGGACTGCTTGAATGTTTATAAGACCTTTGTTATTAATACAGTAATATTTTTTAAAGGAAATAATTCTACTTATGTTAACATTTAAAGATTTGATTATGGACAAACGATATGAGGATAAATATGTTTAAGGTTCTGGATTATCTAAATGTCTAAATACAGTTGTCTCTCAGGATACTTGGGGGACTTGTTCCAGTACCACCCTGCCATGTATACTAAAATCTTCACATACTCAAGTCCTGCAGTTGACCCTGCAGAACCACGTATAGAAAAAGTCAGCCCTCTGTATTTGTGGGTTTTTGCATCACAGAATGTTGTATCTTCAGTCCATATTTGGTTGAAAAAAACCTGCATGTAAGTGAACCTGCACAGTTCAAGCCTATGTTGTTCAAGGATCAACAGTATTTATTGCTCGGAGATGGCTCCTCGGGTATTTAGCTTTTAAAAAATGATACCATTTTGTTAATGCATTTTGGTTTACATATCATGCTTCTGTTTGAAAAAGCTAGGACAGTAAACACAAAATCTTTAATTGTCAAGTGAGTAAATATGATATACATTTGGCATATGTGAACTGAAATGAAAATTAAATGGAACTTTTGGAACAAAATGAATTTTTTTTTTTTGAATCGGAGTCTCACTCTGTCATCCAGGCTGGAGTGCAGTGGCCACCCCAGCCTCGACTTGCTGGATTCAGGTGATCAATCCTTCCTCCTCAGCCTTCCAAGTAGCTGGAACTATAGGCATGCACTACCACACCCAGCTTATTTTTTGATTTATTGTAGAGAGAGACAAGGTCTCACCAAGTTGCCCAGGCTAGTTTCAAACCCCTGAGTTCAGCAATCCTCTCACCTTGGCCTCCCAAAGTGCTGGGATTACAGGCTTGAGCCACTGTGCCTGGCCAACAATATGAATTTTTTTAACTATCCAGTTTCTAAAAACATTTGTTTGGCTTTCTGTTATTTTTAGCCCTCACAAATCAAGTTTAGCTGTTTACCAGTATCAAGAGTAGAATGCATGCTAAAGCTGCCATCCCTGGACTTGGTATTTTCTTCAAACCGAGGAGAACTGGAAACTTTAGGGGCAATGTATCCTGCAGAGACTTTATCCCCCGGAGGTAATGCTACTCAGAGTGGAACAAAAACCTCTGCTAGCAAAACTGGAATTCCAGGTACAGAAACATTCTTTTATTCCTCTAGTATAAAGCCAAATACTATTTTAAAATAAATATTTGTAACAACTATGTATTAATAAATATTTTTAAGTAAATTTGGGAAAGGAGAACATTTGAGATTTAGAGTATTTATAGAAAAAAATCAATAGTTGAACAAAGCTTTGAATATATTTCATTTGTTACTTGAATTTGAGTACTCATTAGTTTGTATTTTTACTGAATGGCATTTTGATTTTGGCTTGAACATGTATACTACAGGCATTATGAAGTAACTGTTGTATAATAATCCACACAGAATGTTTTATGTTGAGCTATATTTTATACTCAAGAGTAATCAATGTTACAAATGGAAAGTAAAAGATATTATTATCTTACAGGAATTTCTTATCACACTGAATTGAAATTATATCAAATAGCATATTTTATTTTTAAATGGCAGATTTTGATATCGGACTCAGAATTGTTTTGTTTTAAAACAATTGATTTTCTGAGGAGAGATTGGTACTCTTCACTAGGTTAAACCTGGGTGCCATTTCTACACTAAAAATTGATTAGAGATCACAAATGCAAATGATAGATTTATTGAATACTTTTAACAAGAGACTGAATAGATTAAAAATTCCTAAGAGAACTGTAATATCATTAAAATGTTGGTTCTTAGCCATGGGTGATTTTGTCCCCATAAGATATTTGGAAAAGTTAGAAGACAGTTTTGTCACAGCTGAGGAGATACAACTGGCAGCTAGGAGGCAGTCCAGAGATGCTGCTAAACATCTGACAGTACACATGATAGTCTCTCCCCTCCTAAAATTACTGTATCTAGCTGAAAATGTCAGTAGTGCCAAGGTTGAGAAAGCTGCATTAGAATGAAAAAAATAAAACTTTAAACTCCATTTTTTAAAGAGTTTAAAGGCAGTAGAGGGGGAACAACCTTCTGATTTGGAAAGATATACAGCCTAGGTGTTGAGTCTTGTTTTTTAAGCTGTCATCTTAAATTCAGAACTTTACCCTAATCTCATCAAGCATCAGTAGGAAAAACTATTACAAACTGGCTTGTGAGAAACCATTTCAGAATTCAGTCAATAATTTTTTTTCATAGATAAATGGAAATTATTTATATGTCTAATGTAGTATTTACTTGTATTACTAGGAAAACCATTTGTTTTGCTCTGTGAATCTTTGAACGTTTTTACCACCCAATAGGAAAACAAAGAGGTTGATTTTTTTTAGAAGTAAAGGTTTTGCTAATGTGGTCACCCATCATCTAGCACTTAGCTCCAAAATATTGCTGCTGCAGTTGTGTTGTCAGCAAAATATTGGAGTGGTAGTACTGGTTTTTGAAAACATATTTTCAGATTATGAAAGTAACTCATTTATTCATTAGAAAAAATTAGAAAACAAAAAAGTACTAAAGATGAAATGAAAATAAGAAATGATATACCTCTATTATAGATAACCAGTGTTATCAGTTCTTACTCTGTAGCATTTTTGTAGCAATACAATCTTTTTCCTAGGCAGAATTGAAATATGGCCTCTTCTCCTGTGTAACTTTCTAAAATTTCAAATATTATGTTTTACCAAATTATTAAATATTCTTCTATAAAATAACTTTAATAGCATTATGATATTCCATCATTTTGATCATATGTTTGAGATTCCCTGGGTTTTCTGGTTTTTTTTATTTTTATTATAATACTCAAAGGAACATCTTTGTATATAAATATTTATAAACAGATGTCTTCTTAGAATAAATTCTTAAAAATGGAATTTCTAAGTTAGAGAATATGAACATTTTTAAAGTGTTTGATACATTTGCTCTCTAGTAAGACTAAGATTTCTACACTCTCACCACGGTGTACATGGGCACTAATTCATTGTACTCTTCACAGAGCTGCTTTAAACTTTTTTTTTAATTTTATTTTACTATATGCGGGGGGCCAGCCCCTGCAGAGAGATTTAGGGGGTCCCTGGGAGATGTGGTGGTATCAGCGATTATTCTGGAGAAATAAAGAGAAAGAAACAGACGGGGGTGGGGGGAGGAGACTGGACTCTGTCTAGTGGAGATGCAGTTTAATGGGACAAACCATAATCCTTTTATCCCAGATTTTCACAGGTTAAATCACAAGACTTTCACGTGAACACAAAGCCAGGTGGATGAGGGGCGCCCCCACCCACCAGGTGTTTTCTCAGGCATGAGGAAGGACAATCCCAATTAAATCACAAGACATTTACATGAACACAAAGCCAGGTGGATGAGGGGCGTCCCCCACCCACCAGGTGTTTCCTCAAGCCTGAGGAAGGACTATCCCAGAATTCTCTCACTGTTTCTCATGCTTGGTTAATATTCCTCATAATATTCTAATAATCAATAACTTTTAAAACTTATGTATACACAACACCTAATGACTAACTTAAATCCTAATTCCTTTTTATTTTACGCTAATTCTACCTACACTATAAAAACTCTTAATTATAGCCTCAAACCAGTTCCTAAAGAATGTGGCCCAGTCAAAAGATCACGCTGGGCCGTTTTTAGGAACAATTGATTACAATCTCTTAACAAAATGGCTGCTCTAAAATCCTATATCTCTATTTTAACTTTTATAAAAGTTTCTAATTTCTAATTTTAATATATAAAGCTCATCCTCCATAAAGCTTCTAAAAATAAAACCCAAATATAAACTGTAAATTATATTAAAGCCAAAACTGCAAATGTAGAAAATGGAAACAATGAAATTTCCAAAGTTAGCTGTATTCTTATTAAATCTCAAAATATGCTTGATCCTGCTTGAACTAACATAATTCACTGACGTAGCATAACCTATTCTACAATACTTTTTATGAATAAAATAAATTCAATTTCTATAATAAGTAAAAAAAACCCTACACTAACTGTAGCTAAAACCAGTTTAAAAAAATGCAGCTCAATCCAAAGTATGTACTGGGCCCTTAGAAATGTGGCCCAGCCCAAAGTTTGTGCTGGGCCATTTCTAATAACTCTAGATAATTATCTATATTATTAAAGTTGAAACAGCACTCACTTTATATATATATATTATATATATATATATATTAGTGTATATATATATATACACTAATTCTACAAATATACTTTTAAATCTTATAAAAAAGCTTGTACCATATTAAAGGCTCCCAAATGTGACCTGAGTTTGAACTGTGTTAAGTTTAAAGCCAAAACCACAGTCTGTGAGAAATGAGAACAAGGGACTCCTAAAGTAAGCCATGTCTGTCGTACTTTCAGAGCTTTATGCTTAGATCTTCAAAGTTCCTTCTAATGAGATGTGCTAAATAGCAAAAAAGGAGGAGGGAATGGGCCAACAGCTCTTGAACACATCCTAGTGGTCTCAGGGTCCACAAACCACCTTGATCCCTAACATTCAGGTGGGCCTCCGTGGCCAGCTCCAAACAATTATAGAAATGTGGGTTACAAGTGATGATTACCTACATAAGTAGGCTGCATGCAAATGAAGTTTGGGCTTCTGACTGGCCCGTACTCCCCCTAGTAGTGGACCAGGTGCCCTTTGTATTGTCACATTCCCCTCACCCTCCCTCTCTCCCTCCCCTAGCAGTGCCCAGAAACTGCTGATCTCTCCCTTGTGCTTATGTTCAAGGCCTACTTATGAGTGGGAACATGTTGTATTTAGTTCTTTGTTTCAGTGATCAATCACTTAGTATGATTTCCAGTTCCATCTAATTTGCTGTGAAGTATATGATTTTGTTCTTCTTTATGACTGTGTAAAATTCCATTGTGTATATGTGCCACATTTTCTTTATCCACTCCACTTTCAATGGACAGTAGGGTTGGTTCCATGTTTTTGCTATTGTGAATAGTTTGGCAATAAACTTGCATTTGAAGGTACCTTTTTTGTAGAATGATTTATGTTCCTCTAGGTGTGTTCTCAGGAACTTGATTGTATGGAAGGCCAATTTTTAGTTATTTTAGGAATTGCTTTACTGCTTTCCATGGAGGTTGAACTCACCAACAGTGTAGAAGTATTCCTTTTCTCTGCACCCACACCAGCATCTGTTGTTTTTTGATTTATTAATTATAGCAATCCTTACCAGAGTTAGGTGGTATTTCATTGTAGTTTTGATTGGTATTTCAATGATGATTAGCGAGGCTGAGCATTTTTCATGTGTCTGTTGGTTGCTTGTATGTCATCTTTTGAGAAGTGCCTGTTCATGTCCTTTGCCCAGTTTTTAATGGGGCTGTTTGTTTTTTTCCTTTCACTTCATTTGAGTTCCTTGTAGATCCTGAATGCTAGGCCTTTGTCAGATGCATAATTTGCAAATATTTTTTCCCATTCTGTGTGTCTCTTTACTCACTTGATTATTTCTTTTGCTGTGCAAAAGCTTTTCAGTTTGATGAGGTCCCACTTGTCTATCTTAGCTTTTATGGCATTTGCTTTTGGACTTGGTCAAGAATTCATTGCTTACTCCGATGTGTGTAAAGGTATTTTTTACATTTTCTTCTAGAATTCTTATAGTTTCAGGTGTTATGTTTAGTTCTTTGATCGATTTTGAGTTGATGATTATATGTGTTGATAGGTAGAGTCCAGTTTCATTCTTCTGCATGTCGTCTGGCACCATTTGCTAAATATGGTCTCCTTTCTCCATTAATTGTTATCAGTGACTTTGTCGAAGATGAGTTGGTTGAAAGACCATGTTTTTGCTTCCAGAATCTCTGTCTTGTTCCATTGGCCTATATGCCTATTCTTTTATCAGTACCAGGTTGTTTTGGTTACTGTAGCCTTGTAATAAAGTTTAAAGTCTGGACATGAGCTACCTTCTCCTCTGTTCCATTTGCTGAGGATTGTTTTAGCTATTTATGCTCTTTTTTGATTCCATATGAATTTCTGTATTGTCATTTCCAGGTCTGAGAAAAATGATGTTGATAATTTGATGGATATCTTGACAATATAGATTCTTCCAGTCCATGATTATGGAATGTTTTTTCATTTGTTTGGGTCATCCTTGGTTTTCTTTGAGCAGATGCTTTGTAGTTCTCATTGTAAAAATCTTTTATTTCTCTGGTTAGGTGGACACCAAGGTATTTCATTTGTGTGTGTGTGTGTGTGTGTGTGTGTGTGTGTGTGTGTATCTATTGTGAATGGGATTATGCTTTTCATTTGGTTTTCTGCTTGCTTGTTGCTGGTGTATAGAAATGCAACTGTCTTTTGCATGTTGATTTTGTACTCTGAAACTTTACTAAAGTCGTTCATCAGTGCCAGGAGGCTTTTGACAGACTCCCTAGGGTTTTCAAGGTATAGAATCATATTGTCCACAAAGAAGGATAGCTTAACTTCCTCTTTTCCTGTTTGTATACCCCTGATTTCCTTCTCTTGCCTGATTGCTCTGGGTAGGACTTCCAGCACTATGTTGAACAGGAAGGGTGAGATTGGGCATCCTTGTCTTGTTCTCATTCTGAGGGGGAATGCTTCCAGCTTCTGCCCACTGAGAAAAATGTCAGCTGTGAGTTTATCACAGATGACTCTTACTGTTTTGAGAAATGTTCTTTCTATACCTAGATGCTCAAGGATTTTTATCAAGAAGTGATGCTGGATTTTGTCAAATGTTTTTTCTACATCTAATGATATAATCATGTGGTTCTTGGTTTTACATCTATTAATGTGCTGAGCTACGTTTATGGTCTTGCAAATGTTGAACCAGCCCTATGAAGCCCACTGGTCATAGTAGATGATCCTTGAAATGTGTTGTTGAATCCAGTTTGCTAGAATCTTGCTAAGAATTTTTGTGTCTGTGTTCATTAAGGAGATTGGCCTGTAATTCTCTTTCCTTGTTGGGTCTTTGCCAAGTTTGGATATCAGTATGATGTTAGCTTCATAAAATGAGTTAGGGGAAATTCCATCATTCTCAATTGTCTGGAATACTGCCAATAAGACTGATATTAGCTCCTCCTTATATGACTTGTAGAATTCAGCTGGGAAGTCATCTGGTTCAGGGCTTTTTTGGTGGGAAGATTTCTTATGACTGAGTCAACTTCCTGGATTGCTATTGTTCTATTTAAAGTTTCAGTTTCTTCTTCTTTCAACCTTGGGAGGTTGTGTGATATCAGAAAGTGTTCCTTTTCCTTTAGGTTTTCAAGTTCATTTGCATACAGGTATTCATAGTAATTTCTGATCATCTTTTGAATTTCTTCAGGGTCAGTTGTGACTTCGCCTTAACTTATTTTTAATAATTGTCAATGTGATAGATTAAAATGAGATTTTATTATTTTAATTTGCATTATATTAGTTTATTGGCTATTTGGTGGGAGAGGAAGTAAATATATGCCATACCCAATTCTCTTTTGGATCGCTCACCTTTTTCTTAATGGCAAAATGTCACATAAATTATTAGCATTGAAACTATTATAGCAGTATATATGCACTATGCTAGAAATAGGTAGTGGCAAGAATGTGAAATTTGAAACTCTTTTTATTTCCACATTTTTTGATTCTTTAGAGAATAACAACAATGAATAGCACTCTTTATTTTATCATCATAAAACACTCAAGAATAAATATATGTATATAGGAAGTATAAATTGTGACAATACCTATTCTTTCAAAGGATCTTTACTGAATGTCTTTGTGATCTGGGTCAGTGCTAGGGTTTAGGTATACTGTAATGAATTTAGGTAACAAACATGGTCCCCTGCTATTGTGAAAACTAAACTTGATTTGGAGAAACAAATAATAGCTAAGCAAGCTTACTTTAAATGGAAATATGAAGTGGGTAAGTATGAGTTAGCCAAGCAGAGAGTTGGAGGGATGAGTACTCCAGGTAGAGACTACAAAATCCATGAAGCAGAAAAGAGTTTGGCAACTCTGAAAAACAAAAAGAAACAAAAAAATTATTATAAGTAGATTGGCATAAGAAAGGTTTAAAAGGACAAGAAATAGACAGATCACAATCTACAATTTCAACACAATACCCCTTAAATTACCAACATCATTCTTCTCAGACATGGAAATGACAATACAGAAATTCATATGAAAACATAAACGACCACGAATAGCCAAAATAATCCTTAGCAAAAGAAACAAAGCAGGAGGTATCATACTTCCAGACTTCAAACTTTAAGCCTAAAGTAATCAAAACAGCCTGGTATTGTTACAACAGCAGGCATATAGACCAATGGAACAGGATAAAGATTCCAGAAGCAAAGTCTCAATTTCTCAACCAACTCATCTTTGACAAAGCCTCCAACAGCCACCACTGGGGAGAGGAGAACCTATTCAGTAAATGGTGCTGGCAACACTGGCTGATCCAACATGCAGAAGATCGAAACAGGATCCCTACCTATTCCCATACACAAAAATTAGCTCTGAATGGATCAAAGACCTAAACGTAAAACCTCAAACTATAAGAATCTTAGAAAATGCAGGAGACACCCTTATGGAAATTTGAAGTGGCAACCAATTCCTGATCAGAATCCTAAATGCCCATACCATAAGAAATAAGAAAAGTGGGCCCTCATCAAACTGACAAGCTTCTGCAGAGCAAAAGAAATTATCAAGAGAGTAGAGAAACAGCCCACAGAATGGGAAAAAATATTTGCCAACTATATATCTCACAAAGGCCTAACATCTAGTATCTACAAGGAACTCAAACACACCAAAAGAAAAAAAAAAAACAAACAGCCCCATTAAAAAGTGAACAAAAGGCATGAATAGACACTTCTCAAAAGAAGATACCTGGGCAGCCAACAGACACATGAAAAAGTGCTCAGCCTCACTCATCATCAGAGAAATGCAAATCAAAACCACATTGAGATACCACCTAACCCCACTAAGAATGGCCATTGTTAATAAAACCAACAACAGATGCTGGCAAAGATGCGGAGAAAAAGGAACACTTCTGCACTGCTGGTGGGAATGCAAACTAGTACAACCTCTTTGGAAAACAGTGTGGCAATTTCTGAAAGAACTAGAAATTGACCTTCCATATGACCCAGCAATTCTCCTATTGGGAACATACCAATATATTTGAGGAACTCAAATCATTCTACAAAAAAGATACCTGCACACACATGTTTGTTGCAGCTCTGTTCACAATAGCAAAAACATGGAACCAACCATGCTGCCCATTGAAGCTGGACTGGGTAAAAAAAATGTGATACATATACACAATGGAACATTATGCATCCATAAAGAAGGACAAACATATGAACTTGGCAGCAACTTGGATGGATTTAGAGTCTATCATACTCAGTGATCTGTCACAGAAACAAAGAACAGAGTACCATATGTTCTCACTCATAAGCAGACCTTGAACAATTATTGTAATACTATAAGAAAGGGATTGCCAGTATTAGGAAACTGCTGGGGGGTGAGGGGGGATTGGCTGTTGAGGGAAACTGCTAGAGGAGGGAAGGGCACACCTCATCTACAAGGGTACCTGCATAATCAACATTTATATACCTAACCCTGAATTGTATCCCACATCTTCAAAATAATATTTTTAAAAATTAAAAATAAAATAAAAATCACACACACACACACCAAAAATTTGCCAGATCATGTGGAAAAGAGCCAACTTGTGGGGAAGCCAGTGAAAGGTTAAGCAGGGAAGTAGATATGACTCAGACTGAAGGTTTTAGAATACCAGTCCAGCTGCAGTGTGGCAGTTGATTAGAGTGGAAGAAAGCAGGTAGAAAGCCATTTCAGTGATCCAGACAGTCAATGATTGCTTAAGCTAGAATGGTAGCCATGAGATGGAGGGAAATGGATAAACTGTATATATGTGAGATGTAAAAATGATACAGTGATAAATGGTGTGATAGAGTCAGGAATGGGAAGAATGACAAAAAACTCCTAGGTTTCTGGTTGAGCTACTTGCATGAAAGTGTTTGTGGGGAACACTAGAAGAAAATTCAAGGAAGGAGAAAAGATCAGTTTTATACATGGTAAGCTTTAAATGTCGGTGACCCATTCCAGTAGGAGATGAGGTTGGCAGTTATAATATATAAATCCAAGGGAGGTCTGGTCTGGAGATGTACTTTGGAAGCACCAGCAAAATCATATAATGATCTATTTACATGGTCTTGTATTTTTTATGTTTAAAAGTATATTTGAAATTTACCTGTCCATTCCTAGTAAATATTGCCAATAAAGACCCTTGACTTTTTAACAGAAAGAGGTCTTTTACTTTCTGTATTCTTGTGCCTTGCTCCACTGTTACCTACTAAAATGTAAACTCCAGGTTTATGATACAGATTTTTTATAGTTTATTCTTCTCCACCTTTGCTTAAAACCTCAACTCTTGGGCCTCTTCTTCCTGCTTTGGAAGAAAAGGAGAAAAGAAATAAGAAAGGCCAAACATATATATACATATATCTGTATAAGTGTGTATGTGTATATATACACATATGTATATACATATATATGTGTGATTGACAGAGTATTCAGCCCTGGTTAAATTAATTGCAAAATACATCTAAGTCCTCATTTCCATTTTAAGAATTTAAGTGTGTTGATCTGTTAGAGTGCTTCCATTTTATTCTGTATTTGATTTTGATTTTTGAGAACATGTAGTGATTGGCTTTCTCTTCTTGTGTTCACTGCAGGCTCATCAGGATTAGGCAGCCCTCTTGGCCGAAGTCGACACAGTAGTAGTCAGTCAGATCTGACCGGTTCTAGCAGTAGTTCATCTGGCTTGAGCTTCACTGCATGTATGTCTGACTTTTCCCTTTATGTATTTCATCCATATGGAGCAGGAAAACAAAAAACTGCTGGCCTTACACCTGGATCAGGAGGATTAGGTACACTTTGGATATCTGTGTCTTTTTCAAATTTATAACATATTTTCAAGCTTTCTTTTCATAAATTCTAAGGGATATAAATCAAGTCAGAAGCCTTTTATATTTTCCTCTTTTGATAATATCTATCTTATCTCTACATACTAAGTAGAAATATACAATAAGTAATTCAGGCCAATTCATTCTACAAGAATTTTAAAATTCACAATATTTTCTAAGTGATATATATAACAGTAATCTTTTGGAATATCAGAAGCTACACATTATATAAATGTTTAAATGTCTTACCAAATCACTGTTCATTTGTATAAAAAATTATGTTCTATATAAAGTAAAATTTTAAAGTACAGGGGTCACGTTTGTTAATTTTAAGTGAGACTATTATTTAAGTCAATTTAGTGAAATTATATTTCATTGGCATTTTAAAGTCCAGATGAACCACTACAGATGCATAGGATATTATTATTAATGAGTATCTCCTAACTTGTATGTAAACAAATGATGAAGACACATACTTCATGTCAATTCTAATTCTTTTTGTTGAAGAAGGGTTGCAAAAATCACCAGCTATATTTATGGGCTTGAACCTATTAAATAGTTGTAGGAATGCTGTTGCTTATTAGATAATTCTGCTTAAAGTTTTTACCTCACTTGAGTTATTTTAATTCCTAGCATATTACATTGCATTAGATCATTTTAATCTAACTATACAGCTGTGTGTGTATAAATGTGAGATTTTTTTTGTTATTTTTTTTAAGGGAATGTTGATGAGGAACCCACTTCAGTCACTGGTCGAAAAGATTCACTCAGTATAAACCTTGAATTTGTTAAAGTGAGTTTGTCTCGGATAAGGCGTTCAGGAGGCGCCTCATTTTTTGAAAGTCAGTCTGTAAGCAAGTCTGCAAGCAAAATGGACACTACCTTAATAAATATATCTGGTATTCAGTTTTATAGTCTTTATTCAAGATGTTGTTTTCCAGAATTAAATAATGGTCTCTGATTTTAAATTGTTCAAATATTAAGTATGCTTAATATTAAGCTTTCAATGATAATCTGATTTAAAGGAGAGGAATGACAGTCCAGCCTACTGTACTATCTCAGTCCAAGTAATCAGTGTCAGAAATATGATTTCTAGATAAGTACCTTCCAAGAGCCAAAATGAACCTAATTAAACCACTAAGCATTGCTTTTCTTCACTTCTTCACTTCTCTAATTGGTAAAATTTCTGACTTGCTATTTGTTTTTCTAATTGTAAATGCTTAAAATACTAAAGGGGGATGACTGATGTTTGAAAATGTTTATTTGGTATCAGAAGATCTTGAGTTGTGTGCATGTATACTGCTGGTTTTAACTAGCAATATAACTGGAAAATCACCTACTCATTTTCTTGACATTGTGATTTCAGTATTTAAAATTAAATGCAAGTAGAACATTTTGAATAATTCAGAGTACTAAGTGAATGAAAATTTTTATAATTATAAGTTGAGTAAATATGATATGTTCACTTAACCCAATATTCATTCAGCAACATATATTAAGTCTGTGTTTTAGGCTAGGCAAAATTTGCCAAAGATTCCTAGGTGATTGAGGGGAGCAGGCATGAATAAGACAAGGTCTTATTTGTAGACGAATGAATAAACACTCTAGCAAAGCTTTCTTTAAAGAGGAGGAAATAATAAATTCTGTCTTATATGAGAGATCTGAGAAAGCATCACAGAGGAAATGATAATTGGGCCAGATTTTGAAAATAGAGTAGGAATATTTTTAGAGGTAGCAGCATGGTATTCAATGGCATAAAAGCATCAAAAAGTATGCTTTTGGTTCATACTTGGTTCACTGTGGCTGAAGCTTAGGAAATATCTGAACATGTAACTGGTTGTACGAAGTAGGTGGAGCCAGAAGGAGAGAGGAAAGGATGAAGGTAAAGCTAGATGAGGACCTAATTATTAAGAAACTCATATGCTAGGCTAAAGAATTGGGTTCTGATCCTTTGGGCAATGAGAAGCCATTAGAGGAAAAAAATGGGGTGATGCTTTAGAATGGTGTTTGAGAAAGAGAGTTGAAGCATGAAATATGGGAGAGAAAAAATGCTTCGGAAGGCCGTTGAAATAGACCATTCAATAGTAGATGGACACTAAATTGTGACAGTAAAAAAGGAGAAAAGGGAATGGATTTAAGAGAGATAAGAGAATCTACAAGTTTGAGGACAAGTTGTATGTCGGGTAGAAGAGGAGACAAGAATGTCTCAAACTTTTAGCTTAGATGACTGAAGGAGCAGTGAAGCCATTAACTTAGAAAATAAAGAAGGATGTGCCTATAGAATATTTAGGTGGAAGGGTCTGGTAGGCAATTGACTGACAGCCCATTAGGTGTGCACTCAGGCAAAAACAGAAACTTTAGCTTTGAGAGTCATTGGCATGTAAGTCGTACAGAAGCTATGATGGAGGAATAGAAGAGCACATAAAACAGGAGTAGAAGAATGCTCAGAGCAGAGCCTGGTAGAAGGCCATTGGAATGTCTTTTTGTCTGAAAAGAAAGCAGTGATCCTTGCCACACAGCTAATTGGTCTACAACTCCTTTTGTAAAAAGGAAGTGTGTATCCCAGCCCATCTTGATGATTTATTTTCCATAATGAAGAGTGCTGTGCTAAAGTTGAAAGCTGGCTATAAGACTTTAGAACCTCTCAGAATCAAATGATAATTCCAGCTTGTCATCACCTCAAAAAAAAGGAAATGGAACTTATATTCTAGTGTTAAAATGTACTGTTTGTGTAATTGTAGAAGAACATATAATCACTTGATAGTCATAATGTGTAACTTATTTTGATATATCATGGGTTGTAACATAAGTGTAATTCAGCTGTATAATATGCTTACACCTACCATGTGAAAACACTGATGGTTTTGGAAATCTGTACTAACATAATTTATTTATGTGTCAGCTGTTTGTGATATAGGGTCTGCCTCCTTTAAATATGATATGCGCCGACTCAGTGAAATTCTGGCATTTCCAAGAGCATGGTATAGAAGAAGTATTGCAAGACGTCTATTTCTCGGAGACCAAACCATAAATTTGCCAAGTAAGCTTGTTAAATAATTATAATTTTATAATTTTAATTTTGTTTACAATGGGAGCAAGATCCACACAAACTTGATCTTGCTCAGTAAGTAGTACCATATGATTCATTCATTCATTTAAGAAATGTCTGTTGAGGCCCCCTTATATGCCAAGAACTGGGGATGTATCACAGAACCAGTCAAAAGTCTTGCCCTCTTGGAGATTCCATTCCAACTGACATGTTCTTCTACAGTGATTAATGATTACTCTATAATCTTTGTAAAATCTGGAAATGCAGAAATAATTTTAACCGTTCACGTTAATCATAGTTAGTTAAGCATGGAAAACAGAAAATGTTGGGAACTTGCTACCAATTTGCCAATATTTGTCTCTTGGACTTAGAGATATTGTTGTAGTAATAAGCTCAAGAAAGAGGTGTGGAAGTAAAAAAGTATAATCAGTATCATACAGCGGAAAATATTAGAAGTCCTAGGTCTGGGTCTATTCCCTCACCTGTAAACTGGGACTAGCATACCTGTTTTGCCCTTTTCATGAATTTTCTGTGTTTATTAAATAAAATACTGGAATGCTGTTTGTAAACTCTATATAGTTACTAAATAGAGAACTAGGAGGAATATGTGATGTGATTAGAAATGGTAGATGGGTGAAATTAATTTATAACATGATGATTTTACCCTGTTGCTTTGGATTTCATTTTTGTTTTCTACTTTTCTACTAGCATCTGGTCCAGGGACACCTGATTCCATTGAAGGGGTAAGCCAACACCTTTCCCCTGAATCATCAAGAAAAGCTTACTGCAAAACCTGGGAGCAGCCAAGTCAGTCAGCATCCTTCACCCACATGCCTCAGTCACCTAATGTGTTCAATGAGCATATGACAAATAGCACTATGTCACCAGGGACAGCAGCACAGAGCCTAAAATCACCAGCTTCCATCAGATCAAGGAGTGTATCTGACTCTTCAGTTCCTCGAAGAGGTAAAGCTGCTCTTACTGTTACCAGTAGCCCTCCAATGTTCCCAAGATAAAAAGCTTAGTTGTTCCCAGATTTCTGCCTCAATTGTATGAAGGTACACTCTTGAGATTTTTACTGTAGATTAGAGGAAGGGAGGAGTGGTGAACAAAGCAAATAATAAATACTTCAAACTACTGCAGGACAACTGTAGCTTTGCAATTGGTTAGAGAGGAGGAATTAGCATATTGTTAGTGTGCTCCATGTGTGCTTGGCCTTGTGCCTGAATGTATAAAAATGAATGATGCAGTTCTTGTCACAAAATAGCGTTAACTATAATGAGAAAATGCAGAATTCAGGACATACACTGAGTTCATAAGAACACAGAAGGCTGGTACCCCAGCTGGCCTCTACGTTTCATAATGGTCCTTGTCTTGGAGGCCTCCATTTGGCAGCAGAACCTTATGACTTTCTCCTTTGTTAAGAAAATCCCAGGGTGACAAATGATATGTGATGCTATAGTCCATGCACACCAGAATTTCCTCATATAAATTGGGAGCCATAGAGAATTTCATGAGCTTTCAAGTGGTAAGGCTGTCAGCACTTACTAAACATTCTGTAAATGGCAACCATCATTTTATATAATGGTAACCAATATGAGAACTATTAAACATTAGAGTGTAAGACAAGAATATAATATTTTTACTTCTTAGGTTCTAGTGATGAGTAGTTTTTGCTTTGTAATTGGCTTGACATTTATGTGAATGTGTATTTGATTTTTCTATTTTTAGATTCACTTTCAAAAACATCAACTCCTTTTAACAAGTCAAACAAAGCAGCAAGCCAACAAGGGACCCCATGGGAAACACTTGTCGTGTTTGCTATCAACTTGAAGCAATTAAACGTTCAAATGAATATGAGTAATGTAATGGGAAATACAACGTAAGCTATCCAAACACAAAGGAAATATATTTAATCATTATTTATAATTTTTCCTACATTGTAATAAAGCAATTCAAAACCTTTTTTTAAATGCTGAAATATTTGAGAAAGTAAAGGTAAAAGAGATTTTATCCTGAAAATGAGCATATGACAAATAGCAGTATCCTGAAATATATACCACATCATTTTTATAAGAAATGTGTTGTTTTATTGTCAAACTTGACCTTTTACTTAAATAATTTGAGTTAACTCCTTTTTAATGTAAATTCTGTTTTAATTCATAACATTGAAAGCCATACATCTAATGAATAACGCTTTTTCCTTTTTTTAGTTGGACAACTAGTGGTTTGAAGAGCCAGGGCCGACTGTCAGTAGGAAGTAATCGTGATCGAGAAATTAGCATGTCCGTTGGTCTGGGAAGATCACAGTTAGATTCTAAAGGAGGAGTAGTTGGAGGAACCATAGACGTCAATGCTTTGGAGATGGTTGGTATGTTGAAATTTTATGACTGGTCTGTCATTTCTTTAAAAATATATATTGAAAAACTTTTGAACTTGATTCTGATGAATTTTTCCCATAGATACGTCTGTGAAAAATAATTATTGTTTCTGCTTTAGCTCATATTTCTGAACATCCGAATCAGCAACCCAGTCACAAAATTCAGATTACTATGGGTTCTACTGAAGCTCGTGTGGATTACATGGGCTCAAGTATCCTCATGGGGATCTTCAGTAATGCTGACCTTAAGCTTCAGGATGAATGGAAAGTTAATCTGTATAATACATTGGATTCAAGCATAACTGATAAAAGGTATTAATTTATTTATTAAGACATTACTCTTAACATATTTTTAACATATTTTCTATCATGCAGTGAGGAAACAACAAGCACTCTTTCCTGCAAAATGATTTCCTATTACACAATTAATATAAATTTAAAAGCTGGGTCAGGAAGAGAAATTTCTTGTACTTTTAAAGTATCTTCTATTATATGATAAAGATTCTGTTTTATGCTCTAGTGAGATCTTTGTCCATGGCGATTTGAAGTGGGATATTTTCCAAGTAATGATATCAAGATCTACCACACCAGACCTGATAAAAATAGGAATGAAGCTGCAAGAATTTTTCACACAACAGTTTGACACCAGTAAACGGGCTCTGTCTACCTGGGGACCAGTTCCTTATCTTCCACCAAAGACGATGACTAACAACCTAGAGAAAAGTTCACAAGAACAATGTAAGAATTAGAATTAAGCCTTTGTATATGCTTTATCTTCTACTAAATGTTCCATTCTTAATTTAAAAGAATAATAACAAGAATAATCTATATCCATACTTACAAAACAGCCTGCAGACTCTTTATCCCATTCACTCAGCAAAGGACCAGATTTTCTACCTGCTTGGAATTAGAGGCCATCATTTGGGAAGTCATCACTTATTATCTCTTCCCCTGCCATGATGCATCTGCCACTATAGCCACCATGTGCTCTTGAATACTGTTTATGGCAATATCATGGCCTGGTTTGGAGTGTGGGATGTGGAGTCAGAATATTTGGGTTTAGATTTATTAGCTGTGTGAAAATGGGCAAACCACTCAGCACAAAATTATTATCACAAGATAAAATTTTATAAAAATAAATATTTTTACTCAGTAATTCAATTGGCAAACATTTATTAAGCACAGCTTTGTGCTTAGGCACTCTTCTAAGCACTACCTAGTGGTGGACAGAATGGCTACCCTCATGGAACTTACATTCTAATGGGAAAGACAGACCATAATAAAATTACTAACTAAATATATAGAATAATTTCAGTTGGAAGTGCTGAGGAAAAGAACAAAACAGGGTGAATATAGAGAATGATAAGATTTGAGGATACCTATTTAGAAAGGGTAATCAGAGAAGACATTTCGGAAGTGGAATGGTGAATGAGTGACAGAACTACACTAAGATCTGGAGGAAGAGAGTTCAAGGTATAGGGGGCTGTTGAGGGCTCTGAAACTCTTGTAGTAGGAACACACTTGTTTGAGGATATCTGCAGCTGGAGCAGAATGAGCAAAGAGGAAACTGGACATGAATTCAAATTATGCCACAGATAAGATTTTTAACATGATGGGTAGCTATTAAAGAGTAGCAGCTTTGATATCTGATTTGCCTTTTCTTAAAATAATCCTTTTTAAAGCATCACTCTGGTTACAGTGTGGAGAACAGACTATAAGCAGTTAAGAATGGAAGTAAGAAAACCATTGCAATAGTCACCATTTTACAAAGTTACATTACTATTGTAGGAGGCCCTTACACTGGGTTGATAGAGGTAAAAGTGGTGAAAAGTAGTCAGAATGAGTATAACCTTTTAGTAACTTTTTATTATCAAAAAAGCAATACATGTACATTGAAAAAAACTAGAAAATACATACAAGCAACAAAAATAAAACCATTACTTTCCACTTAGATATCACAGTGAACATCTTAGAACATCTTAGAGCATATACTTCCAGATATTTACTTATGCATCTGTATATATGCATACTTTTTGTCAAATACCATTCACACTGTTTTGTCACCTTTCTCTAGTCAACATCTCCAACATTCCATTTTGTAAATTATGTAAATCCTTTAGCTTTCAAAGCACATTCAAATTTCTCCAGTTGACCTAAAAATACCCTTTATAATTGGTTTGTCCAAACCAGTATATCCAATCCAAGATCACAGATTAAATCTGGCTGTGCTCCTTTACTATTTTTTAATTTAGGATAGTTCCTTTTTTGTATAAGCTGACTTGTTGAAGAGATCTGGTCAGCTATCCTATAGAATGTCCTGTCTTTTAGATTTTTTTTCAGTTGTTTCCTTGTAGTGTCATTTATCTGGTTACTCTAGTTCATGCATTTTCTTTAAACTAGAAATGATATCAGGCATATAGCAATACAGGGATATTCTGCAAAATGCTTGGCCTGGATTCTTCAAAAAAGTCCTTGTCATGAAAAATAAACAGGCTTAGGGAACTGTTTTAGATTAAAAGAAACATGTCAGCTGAATACAATTTAAAATCCATGGTTGGATCTGGGATGAGAGGTGTGGAAAACAGCCAGCAATGACAGTACTGGAATAAGTGGGAAGTATAAACTGTATGTTTGATTATGCTTCTCAAACGTTAATGTGCATCTGAAACACTGGACATCTTATTGAAATACAGATTCTGATACAGTATGGGTGGACTTGAGAGTCTGCAGTTCCGACAGGCTCCTGGGTGATGATGATTCTGCTGGTCTTCTTACCTCACTTTTCAAGAGTATAGGGAAGTAAAAAGTGTATTTAAAATCAGGGGGTCTGCATTTGGTCTCTAGTCTTCCAGTCACTGGTTCACTTAACCCCTTGGTTCTTCTGCTTCTTCACTTGAAGTCAGTTAAGGTGAAATACCTGGTTTACAGTGTTACTATGAGACTTATGTAAAATTTCGTGCAAGCACTTTGTAAATCATTATCATTACAGAAGTATTAGTTTTAATTATTAGCAAGTTACTACTTTCCTTAGCTGCATCTTCATGCAGCATATTTTCCCATATTGTCTTTTGATCAGCTACTGCTTAACATTAATCAGGTGTTGGACGTCGTTTCATCCCTTACCTGGGTCCCTTTCAGCTGAAGAAAGTAGCCATTTGCTGCTCTCCTACCCCATTTAGGGTACTCATGAGGAACTTTAGGATATATGGTTTTTGGTTTTCTTGCAGTGCTTGATGCAGCTCATCATCGACATTGGCCTGGAGTACTGAAGGTGGTATCAGGATGCCACATATCCTTATTTCAGATTCCATTACCAGAAGATGGAATGCAATTTGGAGGATCAATGAGCTTGCATGGAAATCATATGACACTGGCTTGTTTTCATGGCCCAAATTTCCGTTCAAAATCTTGGGCCCTTTTTCATTTAGAAGAACCAAATATTGCTTTTTGGACCGAAGCTCAGAAAATCTGGGAAGATGGTAAACTGACACATTTCCAGCTTTTACTTTTTCCTATCTTCTGATATGATTATAAAAGACAAGTAATTTTCCTTTCTCATATATCTTTTGTCTGTTTATATATTTCTGAAGTCCACCTATCTTTGTTATAGTGTATCTGACATGTGAAGGAGTTCTCTGTCAATATGTCAATATCTATAATGTCTGGAACATGTTAAAGAAATTATTTCTGAACTTACTGTCTCACTCCCTGTTTCTTACTTAGGCAATTCAGATTTCTGCTGCTGTGGCTAGCCATAGCCATAATAATAGTTATCCTTCATCTTTCTTATAAAAGCACACGGAGGTAGTTGAGGAAATGATTTGCCAGTCAAGACTATCTTATAAAGCTTTTGCTAGTTACAACCAAAAGAAACAAGAACTATTTGTGAATTATTTGTTTTTTGTTTTGTTTTTCTTCTCATTTATTTGTTTTTGCTTTTGTTTTTGTTTGTTTTTTTTTAGTTGTCATCTCACTCTGTTGCCCAGGCTGGAGTGCAGTGGCACACTCACAGCCACCCCAGCATCAACCTGCTGGGCTCTGGCAATCCTTCTGCCACAGCCTTCCAAGTAGCCAGAACTACAGGTGTGCACTACAACTGGCTAATTTTTTATTTATTGTAGAGACGAGGTCTCGCCAAGTTGCCCAAGCTGGTCTTGAACCCCCAGGATCAGGCAATCCACTTGCCTCAGCCTCCCAAAGTGTTGGGATTACAGGCTGAGCCACTGAGCCCGGCCTATTCTTCATCTTTATAGCCTTCCTATCCATGTGTGACTTAACTAATCTATTGCTCTTAAGCTACAGCTATTTTCTTGGATCTGAATATAGTTTGCTTTAAAAAGCAATTTTTTTTTCCATTTGTCCTAGGCTCAAGTGACCACTCTACATATATTGTGCAAACACTGGATTTTCATCTGGGTCATAACACTATGGTTACCAAACCGTGTGGTGCTTTGGAAAGTCCTATGGCAACAATAACCAAGATAACAAGGCGCCGCCATGAAAATCCACCCCATGGAGTAGCAAGTGTGAAAGAATGGTTCAATTATGTCACAGCTACAAGGAATGAAGGTTACAATTTTGAGTCTTTGGAGAGATGTATTCAGTTTTTTCTATTTTGGGTTCTGTTGACTATGTTTAAAATTTAAGTGGAGGTGGCGTTTTCGTTTCCTTAAACAACTTTCATTTCACTCCTGCTTACACAAGTAATGTTAGTTCACTACATGATTCACCATCCTGGAAGTGCAACTTCTTATAGACTCAAGTTATTTTAGATGTATTTAAAAACATTCAAAATAAAATTTGTTTTGTTTTGTTTTGTTTGAGTTGGAGTCTCGCTCTATTGCTCAAATTGGAGTGCAGTGGCACGCCCACAGCCACCCCAGCATCAACCTGCTGGGCTCAGACGATCCTTCTGCCTCAGCCTTCCAACTACAGGCACATGCTACCACGCCGGCTAATGTTTTGATTTAGTGTAGAGATGAGGTCTTGCCAAGTTGCCCAGGCTGTTCTCGAATCCGAGGGCTCAGGCAATCCACTCACTTCGGCCTCCCAAAGTGCTGGGATTACAGGCTTGAGTCACCACACCCAGCCAAAATTGGTTTTAAATAAATTAAGTTTATTATATTGGGGAATATTTTGGAAATTTTTGGAAAATGACCTTGGGAAAATATTCTTGTAGAAATGCTAAAAAGTAGAGGTTTGGGGAAGTTACTACACACCCAAATAATGGAATGCCACAGACGTAACGTTGAGGATGGCTGGAACAAAATTAAAGTAAATAATATTATCTCTATCAATTTGTCAGTTTAAAAAGAGTGCTTTAGATGAGTGTCTTCATTTTATGAGATATACTAGTCTTGTGATGATGTGGTCACAGTAACTCTTATTTCATAGTGGTTTTGGGATTTGAGTTTACAGTATTGCTTTTACTAGTTGTTCCATGTATTGGAAAACTAACTAGATTAAGACATGTTGAGAACTGAATGTTTTACATATAAATAGCCTTTTAAAAAAATAGAATAGATGATGATTTAGGCCCCACAGGGAATAGTTACCATAGAATAGACAACCAGGGATTAAATAGAGACTGTTAAAAATGTCCTGAGAACAAAGGAGGATAAGAAAGCAAAATAGATGCTAATGCCTGTATTGACTTTTCTACCTTCCAAACAGGACCTACGGGGGGAAAAGAGATCTTTTTTGACTGGACTGTTTTGGGGTGTCTGCTAGCATAATGACCTGCTGTCTGTATGCCTAGAAAAATATTAATTTTTATAAGACATCTGTAGTATAATCATAGCATATAGCTTGAGGAAAATTAGGACTTCTACCTGACTTCAAGATCATGATCCTGTTAAATCCTAAGTCTCTATAAGAGTGAAGTGTCCAATCTATGGAGACCTTTGGCCATAATAAAACTTAAGTGCAGACATGAATTCAGTTGAGAGTAATATTCTTTTTAAAGTCCCAGAAACCAAAACTGGAATGTATTTAGTTTATCGGAATCTCATTATAAAACTTTGGTCTTGAGAATGGTGGTTGATATATACATATATATTCTTTTTTATGTAATTCTTTCCGACTTTTGCAATGATAATAGTTCTGTGTATCACAGTGTCTTGAGCACTGTAGGCTTATCAATGCCTATTGATTTAATTTGACTCTTATTTATCATTATGCATATAGAGCTAAACTTACTCCGTAATGTGGATGCTAATAACACTGAGAATAGCACTACTGTGAAGAATTCTAGTTTGCTGAGCGGATTCAGAGGAGGTTCTAGCTATAACCATGAAACAGAGACTATCTTTGCATTACCAAGGATGCAGCTTGACTTTAAATCCATTCATGTTCAAGAACCACAGGAACCTTCATTACAGGGTATGTGGAAAAACAATCTAAAGTTACTAAGAAGGAATTTCAAACTATTGCTGCCTCCCCATGGGTTAATTCTGTAATGATAATCTAACTAAATTGATTTTCTAGCTCAAATGGATTGATTTTCTTACTAGCTACATGACCTTTGGCAAATTAATTAACCCACTTGTGCCTCTTTCTCCTCAGAAAAATGAAGAAGAATAATTGGACTTTACTTATAGGGCTTTAATAAGGAATAAATGGCATATACAGGTTGAGCATCCCAAATCCAAAAACCTGAAATGCTCCAAAACCCAAAACATTTTGAGCCCCAACATGACATTCAAAGGAAATGCTTATTGGAGGATTTCAGATTTTTGGATTAGGAATACTGAAACCAGTAAATATAATGCAAACATTTCAAAATCCAAAGTTCAAAACACTTCTGGTTCCAAGCATTTTGGATAAGGATATTCAGCCAATACTAGGAAAGTGCTTAATAAACTATCATCATTCTATAAGTCACATACAGATATTGCTCTTTTCTCTATAGTTGCATTTCATGTGGACCTATGTAAATTCGTATTAATGGGAAGAGGAAAACTCTTTTCACTAAATATTATACTGTAAAATAACTATTATTGCAGATGCCAACTTGAAGCCAAAAGTAGAATGTAGTGTGGTGACAGAGTTCACTGACCACATTTGTGTGACTATGGATGCTGAGCTCATCATGTTTCTTCATGATTTAGTGTCAGCTTATCTTAAAGAAAAAGAAAAAGGTGAGTAGAATATTTTCTTTTTTTTCTTTCCAGCTGCTGGAAAGGCAACTATCAATGCCTTATATATGTATTTTTATGGTCTTGTGAGAAAATGAGGGACTTTGTCCTTCTATGAGTTGGAAATAACAGTAAACAACACTAATAGGCCCATATGTGACAGGCTTCCTGAGTCTTTCCTGGATATACAGTACTCTTTTTCTAATCATACCTCACACAGAATGGTGTTGTATACTTTACAAAGTGTTTCTATACACATTATCTTATATACATTTTCAGGTAGATCTTGTAGGAGATTCTTGCAAAGTAGGAAAATATAAGAAAATTTTGCAAATCTAAGTGAAATGACTAAATAAACCACATAATAAAGAAGCTTGAGTTACATACATAAGCATTTTATATACATAAAATTTAGAAAACTAAATTGAATAAGGAGATTAATCTGTTTGGAATGCAGAGAACTTTTTCTTTTATAAATAAGTGATTTAGACCTTGGTGGTGGTATTTTGTTTTCATAAGCTGGCTAACATTGGTTCACTTACTAGAAACTTAAATGTTTGCCCATTAGGAAATATATGGTAGCCCTAATAGCCACCTGAAATTTGTTGACTATATTATAGTACTCTATAGCTATTTAAAAGAATGAGGTGGCTCATAATTTTTACAGCCCAGTCTTCACCTTAAATACCTAAGTTTGTTCAGTGGTACTTGTCAGTCTATATAATAGTATGTGTTAAAATTGGGGGAAATTTGTGAGTATTAATATTGTAATAAATAGAAGCCATCAAACCATTAAAAAAAAAAAAAGGAATGAGGTAGTTCAAATTAAGCCTTACAAATCATTACATTTTAAATGTAGTTATGGTGACAGAGTTCACTGACCACATTTGTGTGATTGTGAATGCATTTTGAAATGTAATGATTTGTAATGCTTCAAAAATACACTGTCACTCATCTAATAAATATGCATTATCAAATATGAATATACAATGGTAAAACTACAGATGTGATTCTTTTTTTTTAACTTTTAAATTTTTTTATTTTAAAATTGTGGGATACAATTTAGGGATATACGAATATTCATTGTGCAGGTACCCTTGTTGATGAGGTGTGTCCCCCTTTCCCCAGGCAGATTTCTACTACTGTCAATCCCACCTCCCCCGCCCCCCACTGCAGTTTCCTGCTACTGTCAATTCTTTTCTTATAGTATTACAGTAGTTGTTCATAGTACACTTATGAGTGAGAACATGTGATACTCAGTTTTCTGTTTCTGTGAAAGATCACTCAGTATTATAGACTTTAATTCCATCCAGGTTGCTGCGAAGTTCATGATTTTGTTCTTCTTTATGGCTGCGTAATATTCCATTATGTATATGTACCACATTTTTTAAATACAGTCCTCTTTTGATGGGCAGCATGGTTAGTTCCCTGTTCTTGCTATTATGAGCAAGGCTGCGATACCATGTGCAGGTATCTTTTTTACAGAGTGATTTGAGTTCTTCCTGGTATATTCCCAGTAGGGGGATTGTGGGGTCATGTGGAAGGTCAATTTTTAGAACTTTCAGGAATTGCCACACTGATTTCCACGGAAGCTGTACTAGTTTACATTCCCACCAACAGTGTAGAAGTGCTCCCTTTTTGCCACATCCTCTCCAGCATCTGTTATTTTTGAATTAATGATGATGGTCATTCTGACTGGAGTTAGGTGGTATCTCAGTGTAGTTTTATTTTGCATCTCCCTGATGACCAGTGAGGCTGAACATATTTTCATGTATCTGTTGGCAGCTCATATGTCTTCTTTTATGAACTGCCTATTCATATCTTTTGCCCACTTGGTAATGGGGATGTTTGTCTTTTTCTTTTCAGCGAGTTTGAGTTCATCATAGATCCTAATGTTAGGCCTTTGTCAGACATGGAGGTGGCAAATATTTTTTTCCAGTCTGTGGGATAGCTTGGAATAAGTGCAATTTGTTCAGGTCCCACTATAACATTGTCTCAATTTTTTCATGAAGAAAAAGTATAAAATTTGTCCTGCAGATATTTCAGAAATAAGATAATCAAAAGACCATGTTGAAAGAATAGCATGCATAGACTGAACTGCTCTTTATTACTATCCAGTCAAGATGTGCCAATAAATTCAGTGAGAGAGTAAAATCATTAATAATGGCTAGGAGAAATCTATCAGACCTCAGATGAAACTTGAAGTAAAATGACTGAAGCCATATAATGGGCATTATATATAACATACAAGTAGATCCAGTCTTCATATACAGCAATAACATACACCAGTCACTGGTAATCCTTTTGTTTTTTTCTCTGCCTTAATATTTAAACTTAATGTAGAAGAAAAACAGATTCTAGATAAACCTGTGACATTCACAGTTACTTTCTAATCTACCTAGATGTGAAAGTCTGCTGGATTTCTCTTCAATATTATATGAGAACTTTGTCATTTTATGAAATATTGTGTTGGTCTCAGTCTGCCATGAGCTATATGTATTTCTTAAAAAAAAAAGTTTGAATATAAGCTGTTGTAAACTATTTCGATAGGGAAAAGGATGGATTTACAATAACAAACTGTTATCTGAGAGGATTTCAGTTATAAAGATATTTTCATAGCTGTAAGAATATTTTGTTACTACAAATGAGAAACAGTTAGTTTTGGCCAAAATACTCAAACATCCTTGAGGAAATTCTTAACGGCATGTAAGAGTAGACCAGAATCAACATGTTCGTAGAACATCGAAATAAATTGTACTACTGTTACGACCATCAATAACAAACAAAAGCCCAGCATCTGAGCAGGCAGTGGAATCTGTGTTCTTACATAGTGTGGTACTACAGCTACATTCCTAGGCTCATTGCCAAACAAGTTGACCAGAGCTACATAATGCATAATCAATTATTTCACATCTAGCTTGTGTCTTGAAACTTCTGCCATAAGAGAAATGCTCTGTTCATTGAATAAGATCATATGAAAGCTACCTATGTCTCAGATTAGATTTTATATATATTTGAAATAGCAAATATTTTTTATATATTTGTGATTTTTTTTAAACTTATCTTTTTATAAAATATTTACTTGGGCATTCAGTATAAAGAGTGAAAAGGCTGCTTACATTAAAAAGCTCCACTTTTTTTAGTGCCACTGTTCAAGCACATACATAACCATTAACATACAAAAACCATTGATTTAGATACTTTAAATGAATTATATGATATATGAATTATATCTCAAAGCTATTTTTAAAAATCATCTACCTTCAACCATTCTTTGGGAAATCTACAGTGGTCAATTTCAGTGCCATATGCCTGCTATTAAATCAGTGATCTCAGTAAATTTTACCTTTAGTGTTGACATTGTTTTTCTCCAAGAAATACCAATAATTGGTACTTATACATGACTTATTTTAAAATATTACTTTCTAAGAAACATAATTAAATGAGAACCAATTATTCTGTTCTTATGGTATTTAAAATGAATTTATAAGATATAATATGAATCTATACTTTCCTTTTAGCCATTTTTCCACCTCGGATTTTATCTACTCGACCAGGACAGAAAAGTCCAATTATTATACATGATGACAATTCCTCTGACAAAGACCGAGAAGATGGCATCACTTATACTACTGTAGACTGGAGAGATTTTATGTGCAATACATGGCATCTAGAACCCACTCTAAGGTAAGTAATGGCTGTACACATTTTACTCATATAGCCTGAGGGATTACCATGAGAAAAAGGTTATAAATAATGTAGGCTAAATTTGATTACCAAAAGATGTATTCAGAATTTAATTGCTTGTAACCTCTACAGCTTCTGATTGCTATTTTTGCTGCTCCTTTGTGCTTTTGTGTTTCTAAGTAAGGCAAAAGAAGCACAAACACTGAGAATAGCTCAGCGCTGATAAGTTGTCCACTGTGTGACATTCTGTCAGCTAGTCACTAAAATATGAGAAAATAACTCTCTTTCCACTGTTGCTGTTACTTTTCACCTCCTCACTAGGATGTCCTTTTCAGGTGTCTGATGTAGCTATAGTAAACTGCTTTGTTACTTAGTTTGGGGAGATGCAGTACGTATCATACATCATTATTAAGGAGCCATTGTACTTTTTCACTGAATGTATGTTATGACAATGTCATAGACTCAGCAATGTCACAATGTCCTTCTGTTGGTATACTGAACAACATAAAACCATACCTAATAGCACTATCAAATCCAGGTTCCCTTATGAAGTCATGTTCTATTATAGTCATGATCCCAATTACATCACCTTGTTTTCATTTCAAAATTTCAAAAATATTTTCTAGTTTTAGTTATAATAGTTGCTATAACTAGTAGTATTTGTTTTTTGTGTCCTTGTTTGTTATTAATACACACAGCTTTCCTATTTTTTTCCCTCTTCTGCTTTAATTAAATTATGACTGTCCATATTCTGGAATAATAGTATTTTTTAAAGTCCATTACACTCCAATACATCATTTTGCATACTGATATAGACTTTATTTAGATAAGATTATTATTCAGATATATTTATGCCACAAAATAATTCCAAAATAAAATCTCCATGATACAATGGACTCTTGTATAAGCAGAAAGAAGTGACCTTGTGTAATTGATTTGTTTTCAATAAAATGTGCTGTAACCATTGGTGCTAATAGTACACATACCTGTGAGAAATAGTAACAGTGTTAAAACATTGCAGAGGTCTAATGTAGAAAACTATTTGTAAAATCTGTTTTGCATTTGTAAATATAAATAATTATAATGGAATTGACTATTTTTTACAGTGAGTATATTTAAATGGAATATACAATGAATTTAGTTTCAAGTGAGTATAAAAATGTTAACCATATTCTTTTTTAGCAAACTAACAAGGGTAACTAGTAAGTAATATGGCATAGTAGTTGAGTGCGTGGTTAAGAGCTCTGGTGCTAAGCCCAGCTGTATTGCAGAGTAGTTGGCTGAGGTAGGCCAAAAGACATAACCCCTTCTCTCTATGCTTCAGTTGCCTGATGTGAAAAATTTGGAAAATGATATCACCTACCTTGTAGGATTGTTACATTGGTTAAGTGACTTCATCAATGCAAATGCATTTGAGGAGATCAGTGGTTAAACACTCGCTACCTGAGTTTAGGACCAATTAAAACAGTGAGAGAAAAGCAGGCATAAGTCAAACTGACACTTTTAATACTGATAAAGCTGATAGCAGAATGTGGTTTGGATATAGGGCAACAGTGGCTTTCTACTACCAAGTCCAGATTTGGTCTTACCTACAGGACCTCAATGATGCAGAACTTCATGGAGGGGAGGTGGCTAGAGTTATACAATCTGTACTCAGCCACAGACAGCACTGAATGCTCTCCAGATGTTTAGGGGCTTGCCCTTGAAAAACCGGTAGCACGGAGGAGCAGACTAAAACGAGTTACACTAAGACAAAGAGGGAGAAGGGCTCTTTTAACCACAGTACTCAGATCCTCTGTTGACGTTGCTGATCGGATAAATCAGTACAGGGGCAGAGGAAGGCCAGGAGTGTTTCACTAATATTTGTTTCTCCATATGAAAGGAAATATCAGAAATGAGAAAAATATTCTCCAAACATGTTTAGCACATAGCATTCAGCCTTTTTTCCTCCTACTATGCCATATGCTTGTGAAATCATACATTAACTAGGAGTTCTTTTAAAAGCTCAAGATGACTATATAACAGACCTAAAACAAATTAATCAGGATGAAATTCAGTAAACACTATTGCTGTGTGTAGGGTGTTAAGGATACTTAGGATCACATATATTTTTTTTATTGTTGTTGTAGCAAATCCAGGAATTATAGGCTCAATCATTCAAATGTACCTACTAAAAGTATTTTGTCCTGAATATATTATGAAGACTTAATGAAGTTCTTGACCAACCTTTAGGACTGTGCTAGGGCATTATGCCCCTTATTAATAACTAATTATTATTTTAGATTAATTTCTTGGACTGGAAGAAAGATTGACCCAGTAGGCGTTGATTATATTCTTCAAAAATTGGGCTTTCATCATGCCAGGACTACTATTCCTAAATGGCTTCAGAGAGGAGTCATGGACCCACTAGACAAGGTTCTGTCAGTTCTTATCAAAAAGCTTGGTACTGCACTACAGGACGAAAAGGAAAAGAAAGGAAAAGACAAAGAAGAACACTAAAAATGTTATTTGATCTGTGAACAAATTATGATTGTGTCCGTTAAGTTTTATTACACTGGAGTGTTATTCTTTTTTAGTATACTTTTAAATATAACTTTAAAATAATTCTAACTTTGTGGCCATTATATTAAAAGTTTGTAAGTTAACCTGCTTATTCTAGTTCCACCATTCTGTGTACTATGAAGTATTGCATGATAATGTAAATTTTGTGAAAAACTAGATTAAAATATATAAATCTACTTATTAGGGTTTATAATTGTATTATGTGCAATATGATTCCTGCATCTTTAAAGTATTTGCAGAATAACTGTGAATTTTTTTGTTATTGGCCATAACTTTTAGAAAAAAAATCTTGTTGATAATGTGATTTTTGGGGGGTCATTAATCTTTTTTTAACATAAACTTGTATAAATGCCTATTTGTATATAGCTTGAGTAATTGTGATATGATTATATACACTAAAATATTATTTGTAACTATTGTAATAAAATCACAATAATGGCTTCAGTCTGTAGTTGTTTTTGAATCTTTTTCTTCTTTGGTAGCTTATGTTATAATTAACAGATGTCCATACTGCATTACAATTATCAGATGTTTTCTTAGAAGATGATTAATATTTATAAAATTTTTTTAAAGGACTTACAGTCATCCCTCCTGTATCTGTATCTCCATGGGTTCTACATCTGTGATTTCAATTAACTGCAGATCAAAAATATTTGGGGGGAAAAAAATCCCATAGAGTTCTAAAAAGCAAAACTTGAATTTTCTGTGTGCCAAGTACTACATTAATTCCACACAAGTATGGTGATGAGTAGGTACTGTATCCAGTATTATAAGTAATCTAGAGATGATTTAAAGTACTCAGGAGGATATATGTAGGTTGTATGCAAATATTACGCCATTTTATATAAGGGACTTGAGTGTCAACAGATTTGGTATCTGTGGGAGGTCCTGGAAACAATCCCCCATGGACACCGAAGGATGATTGTATTTATAAAAAAGTAACTCAAGGAAGATGCAGTCAGGGAGAGGCAAACCAGAGGCTTCAGAAACACTAGGCAGTGTTCTATTTTGTAAGTTACTGGTGTTATAATATATTCCTTATATATGTTTTGTATGTATTTATGCCTATGGAGGTATATCTTATATGTATATATGTAAAATGTACATGAGTGAGTAAGTAAAATAAAATGGATTTAAAACAGCAAGATCTAAAATAATATTCAAAGGTAGCTATAATGTTAATTACCTTGGATTGAAATCTGGCCAAGTCCCTACAGTCAGTTTAAAGATTGCGTAAACAGGGAAATTGAAGAACCTGGAGCTAGAAAAGACCTCAAGAAAGCCTCTGGTGCAGATTCTTTTAAGTAAATGAGACAGTTTTATTTCTGACAGATTAAATAATAACAAAAAACCTCCACAAGAGCCAAGGTACTTAGCCAAGTATATATCTAGTGAGTGTTGGTAGGGGAATTAAGATTTGCTGTCTAATGCCACACAAAAATTGAGTAACACAACTAAAACCCTAGTGTTGAAGTCCTAACTTTCTATTCTTTCTGCTAGACTATCTTATCTGTCATATTCTGATTTCTGAATCCCACCTCCCCAGCTCACCCCTAGAGTTGATGTCTATAATTGCATTCACTCCATTGGTCAAGCTTCCCAGAGAAACAACTTCCAAGTCTACATTCATTCTAGTGTCTAAAATAACACTGTCAGAAAGTTATTTTATATAACAAAATAACTAAAAATCAAAGAAATTAGTTCCCTATGTGAATCCCATTTTAGGTATCAATTATCTGCTTCAAATAAACTATGCCAATAGTTCTAAATGATACAAAGTTCCCATGCTTTCCAATATTGTTGCCATCCTTACAAAAAGTGACAAGTATAAACTCACCCTATTTTGGTACTTACTGTGATAATGTTATAAAAAGAAAGAGGCAAATTGAATCTATTCAAAATTTCTATGACTGGTGGACAAAGTTATGAAAAAAGTAGCATGTGTACTGGTTAAGAATGTAAATCAGTACAAACCCCCCCCCCCCGCCCGAAGGACAATTACTTAATAGCTATCAAAATAACAAAGGCCTGTAGTTACTTACTAAACAGTTTCACTACTGGATACGCAGTACTAGCATGTGTGTGAGATAATTATATAAGCATGCTCACTGAAGTATTCTTTACAATAAATGGTTGGAAACAGTTCAAATGCCCACCAATAGAAGAGAGGTTAAATAAAATATGACAGATCCGCTCAGTGGAATAGTACACAACTGCAAAAGAAAGAACAAAGTTTCATTGTTAAATGAAAAAAAAAAGGTACAGCCAACTGTCTCGATTACAAAGTTTCTAAGTGGTTTATTAAAGTTACTTTTTTTAGTATTACGTACCTTGTTCTATTCCAGTAACTTGCATGACAACTGTAGTTTCAGTAAAGTAACAAAATACAAAGATTTTTGTTCTCCTATATGTAAAGTTTGTACTTCTAAGTTCAGTAGAGATTTGTGATTTGCAAACTATCTGTAGTGAACAATCCTTTTCTTCTTTTTTTTTTGAGTTGGAGCCTCCATTGCCCAGGCTGGAGTGCATTGGCATGCTCACGGCTACCCCAGCGTCAACCTGCTGGGCTCTGGCAATCTGTCTGTCTCAGCCTTCCAAGTAGCTAGAACTACAGGTGCATGCTACCACACCTGACTAATTTTTTATTTTTTGTAGAGACGAGGTCTTGCCAAATTGCCCAGGCTGGTCTCTAACTCACGGGCTCAGACAATCCACTTTCCTTGGCTTCCCTAAGTGCTGGGATTACAGGCTGAGCCACCAAGCCCGGCCTTTTTCTTTTTTTTTTAAGCAGGATTTATTGAATGGGCAGAAAAGCTCCCATAGCAGGAGGGGACCCGAGGTGGTTGCCCGTGAATAATTCTTTTAAAAAACTATTCTGATGTAAAACAATCATAAAATACAGTAAGAATTTAGAATCCATTATTAAAAATGAAAAATTAAAAAATATCAATACAAAAATACAAGCTCAAGTTTTAAATTATGAGATTCAATTTTGTTATTAGATTCAAATGTCTATCGATTGCTATAAGAATTTCTAAACATGTACTTTCAATTTCTGTGCTTGTCACAGAACAGTAACAATTCCTGGAGTATTCTCAGCTTATGAACTATAAATAGGCTTGCTTTAGAATGTTCTCTGTCTTCACTATAGAGTGTTACCTTCTAAAGTTTAATAGAAGAAACTCAATTACTGTGTGGACTGGCCATTTTGTATGACAACTGATAGTGCCATACTGAGATAGTGCTTCTGCACAGAGCTAGATACTCACATACTTGTGTCACTGGCACATATTCTAAATGAGCTAAGGAGAACCTCTAATTTTGTTTTTCATTTGAGTATTAAAGTTTTTTTGTTTGTTTGTTTTTGGAGTCTCACTCTCACCCAGGCTGGAGTGCAGTGTCACACACGCGCACGGCTACCCCAGCGTCGACCTGCTGGGCTTTGGCGATCCTTCCGCCTCAGCCTTCCAAGTAGCTGAACTACAGGTGCACACTACCACGCCTGGCTAATTTTGTTGTTGTTGTTGTTGTTGTTTATTGTAGAGATGAGGTCATGCCAAGTTGCCTGGGCTGGTCTCAAACCCATGGGCTCAGGCAATCCAAAGTGCTGGGATTACAGGCTGAGCCACTGAGCCCGGCCAGTATTCAAGTATTAAAGATTAGAGTATGTTTAACCAAGAGTAACTGATGGATGGCTATCTGATCCTCATTTGAGCAATACCCTGTAAGTTCTGGTTTTGTAAGTTTTGTCTCCCTTACATTTTTAGGTAAGAGAGTCAAGCAACTCAAGGCCAGGAAAGGTTTTGCACTCAAATTCAAACAGCTTGTTCAAACAATGACACTTAACAAACTTAGGAAAGCTCTCACAGATCTATCAGATGTCAGAAGACATTTTTTGAATAAGGTGCTATTAAAAAGCATCTAAATGAGCAAAAGTTGTCAGGAATAACAGTAAGTAGATCTCGGTTGTTAGATGTATACCTGGTAGTCTACATGAGGGAGTGCTGTTAGGAAGGTAGTAACAAACTCGGGCTCTCAAAATACTGGTTTACTAGTCAGATCATCAAGTCACCTGCCAAGTGAGATGGTATGGAACAGACACAAAAGTTGCTTAACTAATCATCCTCGATAAACTTTTACTGTTTCCATTTGGTGAGGGACTTCTACCAGAATAATAACAGTTTCTCTCCCAACCCCTTATTCACTCCTTCCAAAATGATTTAATCTGTTTGGCAATCTGAGACAAGAAAATGAGCTCAGCCTCTTCCAGTTTTCACCTTTTGAAGCAAGCCTGACTACAAGGATAATACAATTCCAATCTTCTTTCTTGTGCATGTTTTAAGGAGCAACAGAATTTCTCTAGCTTGCATTGATAAGCTTGTCTAGTTAGAAAGCATCAGCAACCCCACTTAATCACACACCTTCCAATTTAGACGATTTAAGCAATAAAGCTTTTTTGTTTTTAGCTCTGTACCTCCGATACCTGTGTCCCTCAGTTCCAACCTATGGAGAGGAGAAAGCAAATGATATTGATTCCTCAAGCATCAAACATGAGCAGTAAAGTTTTCTGTTAAACACTTTACCATTACTCTTTCCTGTTAACACGTTTAATTGCTAACATAATGAAAATTTACCTACCTTACACTGAAAGAAAGCTGATTCCCATGGGTTTCACTAGTTTTATCATAACCCAGATGCAGCTGGACTTACAGAATGGTGGAGTAGCCTACTGAAGAGTGAGTGGTTCTTCAAACTGGGGTACTGTCCTGTAGGCTATCGTAGGTGTGCTAAACTAGTGATCAGTACTCATACTGTTTTCCCCATAAACACAATACATCGATCAGTCCAGTAACTAAGGGCAGAAGGAGGAAATGCCACCTCTCACTGTTTCAAGGGGGATTAAAAATTGTGTACTTATTCTTACACATTTAAACATCAGTCACCTTCAAAGTACTCTTCCTTTAATGCAATATGCCTATCGAGACACTTTTTCCACTGCTCAAAACAGTTTTGGACTCATCAGTTTTGAAGTCTTTTAGTGCTTCTGAAATTTTTTTTGTCTCACCTGTACTACATCAGCAAAACGTTTCCCTTTGAGGATTTGTTTTCATCAGGGAAACAAAAGTCACTTGGGGTGAGAACAGGTGAATAGGTAGGGTGGGGCACAGGACTTACGCTGGTTTTGGTCAAAAACTGCTCAACACCTAGAGCAGTGTGGGCAGGTGCATTAAGTCACCCATCAAGAAATGAACGTGTTGAAAGAATGTCCAAAAAAGACACCAAAAATTCACCGAAGCCAAACTCAGACTCTCACAATACTAGCTGGTACACTGATGCTGATGGGTTCCTAGAACACTTACCTAGTAGGGGAAGTCTATAGTACAAGGGCCTCACCTTTCAAAAGATAATTTGGGTTTTTTGGGTTCCCCCCTCCTATATCTAAAAAA